CTGAACCATTGCCTGCAACTTTGCGTCCTATCGCGCCCAACCCAGCGTAAGTTCATTTTCCCTGCTCAGCGTGCAACACGATTCACTATGCCCTATGCGCCCGCGCCCATTTCTTTGAACTGGATCATCTCGTCTCATCTCATCTCATCTCATCTCATTGTCTTTGATGGGCTCAATTCTGACTGCACCGCTGCTTGCAGACATTTCAATGGGCCTGATCATCTGGCCCAGCTTGTTGCGTGATATCTTCCTCCACCAGCAGTTTTGGCAGCTGTCCGACCAGTCCGATGTGCGCATCCTTCTCATGCAAACATTGCAACTTCTGGTCAAGTCCAGCTCGCCATTTGCAAAAGACAATGCGCGTTTGCTTCGCGAACTTGGCATTGTTCAGGTTTGCCTGGCCGTCATTCAGGTTTGTGTTTGTGTAGCGCGCCGACCCCCTGCTGTTTGCATTGACCAGCATTCGCACGGATTCGACTTGACAAACTCCCTGCTGGGCACAATAGGACTCTGTCTCGACAGACGATCAAGTGGCGACCTCGGCCGGCCTTTTGTTATCCTTCATATGGGAACCACATGTCGGCGGCAATGACATCCGTCAGCTGTTGGAAGCCCTGACAGCAACTTTGGATGAGTACGCCTACACGCGATCCGCGCCGTGTCAAAGGCACAAAAAAATTTATTGGGAGAAAAAATACCTGCCTCTCACTCACTGCGGTTGTTGTGCGGTCGGGCTTTACAGTCAGGACGACCGAGATGTTGCAGCCCGCGCGCAACGTGTGTTGCTGCAGGTGGTGCATCGCCTGCTTGACCATAGCATGGAAAGCAAGACGGTCTTTGTCGATACGCTTTGCAAAGTTTCAACGCCTTTGTACCCACTCTATCTGCTTCAAGCGGCAAAGGATGAAGCCGCAGCTCTCACGGGTCTGCGCTTGCTGTGCATCTTACTGGTGGATGAGAATCATCTCTTCCTGAACAAGTTTCAAGCTGCCAATGGATTTGAAATTCTTGCAGCTACCCTGGAGCCATACCATGCCGTGAAGGAGGTGGTAATCATGTTGGTGGGCACGATGCTTGGCCAATATCACCCCCAGCCGCTGCAGAACATGACTCTCAGCGTTGATACGCTGCGCCGCATTTATCACACCAATATTAAACCCATTATCAACCCAGACCTGCTCTTGGGGTTATTGCGCCTGGTGCAGACCGCACTGCGCAGCTTGGCCCAGCCGGTCGAGACGACCATTGACGTCACTGCGTTGAACACGTCACGCAGTGAGGAAGAAAGTGATTATGAGGTGATAGAAGTCACCTCAGGCCAAAATGAAGATGCCACTGTCACTTCAGAGTCCACGCTGGTCGTTGAGGCGTCCGCTCCTGATGAGATCGACGCTCCGATGACGACCACTGAGCCCGCTTTGACAGCGGTGCCTGATGCTGACAAGGACCAGTCCACCAGGCTTGATAATCCGTTTGGCATCTGTCCGCAAGATGTCAAGCCGCCGCTGCATGAAAAGACCAAGGCACCGGTCAATCCATTTGCGGAGGCCATTACAGCATCCACAGTGGAAACAGCCCCGACCAGCAATCCATTTGAGGAGGCATTGAAGGCTTCAGCGCATCTTCCCAAACCAACGAAGGCATCTGCATCGCTCAACCCGTTTGATGGCGATGTAGCCGAGAGCACTACACAGTCTGCCGGATTGACTTCTGCTCAATCTACTCGGGATTCTACTCAGGATTCTACTCGGGATTCTGCTCGGGATTCTGCTCAGAACGCACCCAGCCTTAATCCCTTTGAGCCTTCCTCGACTCCGGCCTCGTCACATGATAAAGCCATCAACGAGCACCCTATAGCCGCTGTGATTGTTGGCTACTTACAGTTCCTGCATGCCGAATCCCGACAAGCCGATTGTTTTGCAGCCCCTGCCGTCTTTTCCGCCATGGTACGCGTGCGTGCCCCTTGCTCCATCGGAACAAAGTACCTAGCATATTTGAATGTCTGTGGTGCTCTGAATGTCGGGACTACCCTCACCAATGCTTCGGCCTTTAGATCTCCTGCTTCTTGTCTCCCGTGCAAGGCGAGGCCAGCGCAACTTTGGAAGGAAGAACGGATAGCATGGTGGTACGCTCCCAATTTTGCTGGGCGCGCATAACCTTGACGCATATGCCAGACCCTGCCAACCAAGCATCGGTTGGCCTGAGCGTGAATAACCCGACCATTATTTCGTTGCCTCTGTATCTAGGATTGCATCTGGGATGTGCAGAACCCCACTCATGTGGCGCTCATGCGACTCATGACCGATGTGTTGCTACAGCACTTGATGACGTGCAAAGAAAAGTCTATTCCGCTGCTAGAGGTGCTTCTCGACGAGTTGAGCCTTGGGGGAGAGTCTTGTGCTACATTGGTGCTGGCTCTGTTGGCCGAGCTTCAGGCCACTGTCGTACACACCCAGAGTCTGGGCCATACCCCGGGTTCCCACACCCGTCTCTTGCCCAACCTGATCAAGGTCGTGGATGCCATGGGACCATTGCTGCTCAATCTGGGGAGAACTCAAGATGCCGTTGCGTTGGTAGAGCAGACGGTGGCCTTTGTCAAGCAGGTGTGTGTTCGAAAGAATGATCGTCCCCTTTCTGAGCCTCTGCCGCCCCAACCCGAGACTTTGATGGGACACCACACTCTCTGGCTGCCCTCATGCTTATTCTTCTGTCTGCCAACTTGTTGTGCTACTTTGATGTGGTGTGCCCTTGTGAATGTGCTTGGACAGATGGTGGACGAAACGGGAAGCCCACACTCATTTTTGCGCAGCATCCACGGCGCGTTGGCTGCTGAGCAAGCCAGTGCGGCCTATTTTCGCCTTGGCACGCTTGCACTTCTGCACGCTGTGCAGCGCATTGGCGACTACCTCGCGAAATTAGTGGTTGAGGAGCATGCAGCTGAACTTTTATCCCACCTTGAGATGATCGAGCGCCTCGTGCGCTGCACACCCGTTCTCTTCTTGACTGGCAACACCGAGAACGCTCTTTTGGAATGCGCGTTGTACCAGATCCTCGTTCTTTCGGTGCGTTTTGCAACAGCTTTCGCGACTCCTTGTCCTTGTCAGTTGTCAGATTCGTTCATCTGTTCTCTCGCGCGTGAGAAGGGAAGGTGGGGGGGTGTGTTCATTGATTCACCTTTTTTTTCTTCCCTTGCCTTTTTTCTTTTCTCGTTCTCTCTTCCTCCCGTTAACGTATGCACACAGAAGCACGATGACCCCACCGTGCGGGACAGTGCCACGGCGCTGGCGTACGCTTTTCTGCGGCAACGGAATCAGCACTTGTCGCAACTGCTGGACACGACCTATGATGGCTCTCGCCTCACCCGAGCGCTAGCCAATAGCGCTCTGAACTCGAACCGCCAGAAGCTCATGCAAGCGTGCAACAAAGCGTGGCTTTCCTTCTCTGCAACCCATGATCGTGCTCGTCCTGCCCGAAGCTCACTTCGTGGCTTGCCGCGTCGTTTGGGCAAAGCAAGCGCCCTGATTGAAGATTTTCGGGCCACTGCTGCCACAACTATCGCACACGCTTGTCACCATGTACGTGCTCAGCAGCTCCGTCGACAGCACATGTTCGCAGAGTCGGCCCGATTTGTGGTGAGCGAGTGGGATCGGCTTTTGACGCTTTTGTGCCGTGAACGCGGCGTTTTTGGCCCCATATCAGCAAGCCGTCTGGATAAATGGCAGCTCGACCATCACGAAGGCCCACACCGCGTGCGACGGCGCTTGCGACCCAACACGAGTTTTTTTGCCGAATATCCCCTGCGTCTCCGTGCTGATGCCCAAGCGCAGCGCGATGATCCAAAGCGCAATAAAAACTTGCCCTACTCTCTGGACAGCGATGAGTTTTGCCGGGCATTTGTACCGCTGCTTTTGGACGGCTTTCACGGGCGTGAGCTGCTCGTGCGCGCATCGCGAGCTGCTGGCATGGACCCAGCAGAAGCCCTGCTACCCTGCAGTCGTGCGGCTACTCTGATTCTTGATGCAATGGCCCAGGGTGAGGCTGAGGCGCTGCTAGGGTTGGATGAGGTCAAAATTATGCGCATGCTCTTCCGCCGTCCAGAGGGCTCAGACGCCTTCCTCTCGACGACCGCCTTTGCCCTGTTGCAAGCACAAAATTGCTCCTCTGCGCTTTCCACATCGCTGGATCGCGGCCAAGCACAAATGGAGCTGCGAGCCACGCGAAGCCGCCAATCATCGCGACAAGCGTCGGCCATTTCTGTGGTAGACAAGCTGCGTAGCGAGGGGCTTGCCTTGGGTCGCAAGCGTTCCTCATCCCTCTCAAAGCGCACATCGGCCTCTCTGGAAGGACAGCACGTACCGAGTCAGGAAGAGCTGCAGGCCCACCCCACGGTGTTGCGCCTGTTGGATCCAAGTGACCCGGTCAAGGCAACCTGGCCTTGCATCATTGTTCACGGCATGGATGCGATTGCAAGCGTGCTTTTCCTTTGCGAACAACGCGTGTGTCTCCTACCCGGCTTCACCCTAGAAAAGCAACGACTGGTGGAGATTGGAGCGGCAGCCGTCACCGACGGTGGAAGCCTGGGTGCCCGTAGCGGTACATCCCCCCCACTCAACGCCTCAGCACGCTTTGCGGGCGGTGCCTCCTCTGCTGCCGTGACTGGGGGGGACTCGGAGATGATCTCTGACGCGCGCACGACATGGATGTATGAGGATTTGCGTGACATTCGTCGTGCTCGATACCTGCTGCAGGACCAAGCCTTGGAGCTGTACAGTAGCATTGGCAACAACACGCTTTTGTCCTTTCCGGATCGCGCCGCACGCGATGCTGTGTATAGTGCCCTTCTGGCTCTGGCGCCGGCGTTGGCAAGCCGCGCTGAGGACAGCGTGGGTGGCATGTTGCGGGATGCCAAGATTGAACAAAACTTTCTAACCTCGCTCACCGCCGGAAAGACGATCATGCAGCGTTGGGAGAGTGGCGAGATTTCCAACTTTCAGTATCTCATGTCGCTCAACACACTGGCGGGCCGAACCTATAACGATTTGAACCAGTATCCCGTGTTCCCGTTTGTGGTTGCAAACTATGAGGCCCAGGAGCTGGACCTCGAGGATCCCTCAAATTATCGAGACCTCAGTAAGCCCATGGGGGCTCAGTCCGCAGCTCGAGCCGAGAGCTTTCGTCAGCGCTTTGAAGCCTGGGACGAGAGCCTGGACGCAGACACGCCGGCTTTCCACTACGGCACCCATTACTCCAGTGCGGCTGCCGTAGCCACTTTTTTGGTTCGCCTGGAACCGTTTGCCGAGTTTTTCTTGCAGATGCAAGGCGGGCACTTTGACCATCCGGACCGCATGTTTCATAGCATCGGAGAGAGCTGGCTATCTGCCTCGGCTAAGAGCAACGCAGACGTGAAGGAGCTCATTCCCGAGTTCTTCTGCTTGCCCGAATTTCTGGTCAACTGCAATCGCTTTGATTTGGGGATTAAGCAAAGTGGCGAACCTCTGGACCATGTTCTCTTGCCACCCTGGGCCAAGGGCGACCCTCATCATTTTGTGCGAGTACATCGCGCTGCCCTGGAAAGCGACCTCGTATCAGCGCACCTGCACGAATGGATTGATCTGATTTTCGGCTACAAGCAGCGGGGGCCAGAGGCTGTAGCCGCGCTCAACGTGTTTCATCACCTGACCTATGAAGGCTCGGTAGATATTGACGCTATCCAGGACCCAGTCCAACGGCGGGCTACGATTGGCATTATTAACAACTTCGGTCAGACGCCACGCCAGTTGTTCAAAAAGCCGCATCCTAACAAAAAAACCATGTACCGCCAAACTGTTGGACACAGCGTCAAAGCGACCGCTGCTCTCGCCGGCATGGTTGTATCGGCACACCCTATTAAGGTGATCAATGCCCCCGTCGGACAGCTGGCCCTTGATGAGACAGGGCGATTGGCTGTCTGTGCGTTTGGCCAGGTGCTGCTGCCGTCTTCCTACACACGTTGCTTGGACTTTACTCAGGAGCTGGGTTCTATCGTGAGCTTTGACCTGGTGTCGGAGCGAACAGACTCCACAGTTTTTTATGAAGGACTACACCAATGTGCAATCACATGCGTAGTGGCCCCCTCCTCTCGGGAGATCTGTACCGGTGGTGAGGACGGCACGATTCGCATGTGGCAACTCTCGCGCGACAAGACGGTGCGTGTACCATTTGCTTTTGTCACCGTTGTACGCGTTTTGAAAAGTGATCGCCTCTCTTGCCAAAGTTTTGCTGTCGTGGTTTTGCTGTGTTGTTAGCTGTCGTGGTGGCCCTATGTGCTCACGTGCCATCACCGCTTGTCTTGCGTGCTTGTGTGACCGCGTGTACAGCCTCGGCTGGAGTTGCAGGAAACCCTGACGGGCCATGTGGGACCCGTCACTTGCTTGGCGTGCAACGCAGCTTACCACACGTTGGCCAGTGGCTCAGAGGATGGAACTTGCATTTTGTGGGATATGGCGCGGCGCAATTATCTCCGGCAGTTGCGTGGGCACGACGGCAGTGTAGTGGACATTGCCATCAATAATCACACTGCAGACATTGTGGTGGTAACAAGTACCGCCATTTATTTGTGGTCTCTCAACGGCACTCTCTTGGCCCGCTCCATCGTTGCCGCCATCAACAACCCCATTCTCTGCTGCACCTTGAGTGAGGTGTGCGAGTACTCGCTCGAGGATTTGATTATTACGGGCCATGAAGATGGTCGTATACGCATGTGGGATCTGCACTACACACCTGTTGAAGTGGATGTGGAGGTGGCCGAGGAGTTGCCCCAGCTACATGAAACGATGGGCACTGGCCAGGTACCGTTGGATCTCCCGCTTGGCGGTGTGCATGGGCAACCACAATTCGTCGCGATGGGTGACTCTGAAGAGCCCGCGCTAGCCGTGGTCTGGACGCGCCATCTGCGAGCGCGGGTGGCCTTGCCACTGGAGGCAACACATGCGCCGCGGCAGGCCGACCCCTCGCCCATCGTTGCACTTAGCGTAGACAACAGTGCAGGCAAGGTATACACGGGTTCGGATAATGGGCATGTGTATAGCTGGACATTGCCTGACGTGGCTGGACAATCCAACGACCATTGGGCGGACGATGATGCGGCCACGAGCTGTATGGAATGCGGCACCAAGTTCACCCTCACTGCGCGACGTCACCACTGTCGGAATTGTGGGCGCGTGGTGTGCCACAAGTGCTCCAGCCATTCGGCTGTCATCCCTGCTTTGCACATTAACCGCCCCGTGCGTGTCTGCAACTCATGCTACGCGGGCATCCGCCAACACGCACACGACATGGACCCTGACAGCATTGCCTGAGGCAAATGATTAACCGTGTTTTGTTTTGCCCATTTTAAATACTGGCACGCGCAAGGTTGAGACTTTGCTGCGTCGCATGCGATTTGACTGCATCCTGGGTGTTCACCGATGTCAGTTGAGCATATAATATTCCGGTGTTGATTCCTGATAATCTTACTAACACGAAGCGCAAAGAGGGGCATAGAGCTGGGGCAAACGGGCCCGGGTGAAAGCGTCTGTGCTGGCTCTCATGCTCCGCGCAATTGTGTCTTGTCTTCTGTGTTGGTGCCAGCAAAAAAGAAGCTACTCGTTGGAGAAAAGTCAGAATGTAAAAGTCTGGGATTTGATACGTTTATAGCAACTAGTAGGGAATGAGATGGTCGAGCAAAAAGTCATTCTCAGTCCAGAAGAATCGGGTCATGGCGCGATCCTCGCGCGGGACCGGCAGCAGACGGCAATGCCGATGGCTCTGTGTGAGCTCGCTTGGCTGGTGGCGCACTGACGGTGATGCTGGCAGCCGCGACGTCTGGAGCGTCGGCGCTTTGTGACTGGCTCAAGCGGTCGTCTTCCTCGAGCATCCGTACCTGCATCAAACACACACACACACACACCAATGGGGAGGGAATGAATGGGTTGAACATTGGGACGCGCAAAAATTAACAGATATGATATGAAACAAGCCGGTCAGCCTCGAAGCGCACCAGCTCGCTGAGATCTTCTGGACTCAAGTCAACAGGATATTCGTCCTTCGCCTCCTGCTTCATCGAGCTAAGCGCATGGGGTCCCGCATCTACACGTGGGTGGTAGGAGAGCAGTGAGTTGCACCGAATGCATTGAGTTGCTTGACTTTGAACATTACGGACCGCTTGATGGTGAAGTGGGCATCGAAGAAGGCGCGTATTCCACGCGCAAGTCTGGATGCACGAGTGCCTAAGAAATCAAGGTTCAAAGGCAAGGTCCATGAGAATAAAATCCGTGCCCATGCTGACGGGAGCGGCTCGCCTTGTTTCATTGGTCCGACACGTGGCAGACAGAACGCACATGTTCACAGTCCGACGGTGCTAGCTCAAGCACCCCAGTCATCCAGTCACAAATGCGCAGGCCTTGAATCAGAATTGGGCGGTGACAAATGGGGCAATTCCAGCGACACTGCAACGCATTCATCTACCACAGTATAGTCAGGAGAAGTTGACTGGGACGACAAGGCAGAACACTGCTCTTGCGAGTTCAGATCCGGTAGGGATGATGTGCCTGACCTGGATATAGGTGAGAGCGTCAAAGCATTGAAGATGATTACAGTACTCGCCGCGTGCGGGTGTTGAGATGCGCTTGTGGCTCAAGGGGCACTTCAAGCTGATGGATTCGGTCGTGTTGACAATCAGGTCCTCGTCTCCGCCTTCACTTTCGGGGGAAGCGAGCTTTTGTTGTGCCCAAGCTCTTCCTGCCTCGGCCTCAAGATGAAGTAGTCCATGGAACAATTCCGTTGGAGACACTTCGTTGGCTATCACAACCTGACGCACGAGGAGAGAGGGCGTGTGAAACGGTTGTGTTGTTCGTATGAGAGTGCCGCCCATGAACCACGCGGACAAAGCACAGTGGCATGCCAGACCCACCTCAACCAGTGCGACGTCGAAGTTTTGAACCTGGTCTGTGGTTCGAATACCCTCGATTTTGATGCGCGTGGCCATGGGTGGGTTATTGATATGAACGTACGGCGTGATATCCAGCGGTCGGCCCCGCAAGCTCAGACGATCAACCTATATTTAGCGCCGAGTAAAAGTTGATGAGCTGTTCCTCCCCTTTTATTTGCAACGCTGGTGTTGTGCATTTACAGATGGCACCGAGAAGCCCAACTTACTGGTGTCCGGTCGTTGATTTGCCAGCTGCCGTTTCTAGGAAATTCGTCGCTATAGTAGGCGTCGCCTTTACGTTTGTGGCCAACGCTATTGTTCAACATGTGCCGTTGAAATGTTGGATGAGCTGAACAAGCATGTTCAAGGAGACGGACTGTGATAAACTATACCCGCTGAGCCTGGCGTCTGGGGCCTTGCAAGTGCAACCAACCGTAGAAAGAGTCGAAAAGGCTTGTTCGTTGGCGTGACCGACCTGTGCCGCGTGAACCAAGAAACAGTGCGACTTTGAGGAGGGCGTTCTGTCCCTGGCCACACGAAGCCACAATTTAAAAAGGGGGAGGGACTGACTGCAGCAGCATCACTTGTTGTGGACTCAGCTCGGCATGGAAATAATATGCAGGTCGTCCCGCTAAACATGCGCCACGAGAGATGACCGAGGATAGAAACACGGAAATTGTCAACAAGGAGCCAATCTGTGAGCACTATCTACGACAGGGCTTGACACATCCGGTGGCAAGACCGACAAGAGGCAGCCTACCGGGACCAACGCGATGCATGGCGCCTGTGGTCATGAGCTGTGGCGGGATGACGGAGATTACGCTTTCCAGAAAAGGGGTGTGCTTCATCTGAGGCTTTGGCGCAGGTGGATGTGAATGGGCCGTGCTTTGTGGCGAGCTTGACACTGTGGCTGGTCTTGATGGGCTACTCGTGGTTGCGCTAGCCCGTGCCGAGGCGTTGTTGGTGTCTCTCTCATCAAGTCTGCAGCACAAACAAGTGGCATGAGGCGTTGTCAGCCACTATGATCACACCCTAAGCGGCCGTGCGATGCATGGCAGTGGGTCACGTACAGTTGATGATAAAAGTGCTCGAGGTTGCTGCGTGTTATGCGGTGCGTGTGTTGGTCGGCCGAGTCGAGATAAGCCTTAATTCGCTGGACCAGTAGGCTACGATTGCCTGCCAGTTCAAGACAGAAGTACGAGAGAAGCGGGAACCACGGGTGAGAGGCGCCGGTCCACACGTGTTTTGAGGCAAGGCACAACTGCTGCGTACCAGTTGTACTGGTGCCAAGGGCCCTAAGGACACCCTTCAGCTCGTTGACGCGCAGCGCCTTGAGGATCTGGTCGTCCTTCATTCGACTCATTTGATAGTGGAGATGTGCCATACTGCTGGCGAGCTAGCAGCGGTGTTGTGCACGGGCAGCCGGACACACCAGCTCCACAATAGTATGGCTCAAAGGTGGGGCCGGCTTGCCTGCACTTCCCTGGGGCCGGCCCGCGCAGAAGTCTTTGACACACTGTCACTGCTTCGTGGGTCTTGCGCCCCGAGGAGGCTTACTCGAGAAGATGCATTCAGGCGACAGTGACGACGCCGAGGACGCTCAAGTCACACGCACAACAGCTGTGCCAACAACAGTGGTGACGCGCGACCCGTCTCCAATGATGGCGAGAAGCGGCAGTCAAGCGCCTCCGCTACACGCGTCGCCCCCGATGCACGTCGAGCAACAGCAATTTAAAAGTCGAGAGAGAGAAACAGAGGCAGAGATACAGATGCACACGGAGACACAGACAGAGACAGAGCGACTTGTGGACGCGATGTAAGGCAAAAAGAAGAGCATAAGGAGAGAATACGAAAAGGGGGATGCAAGATTCAGAGACACTGTTATTTTGAGACAGGAAATGCCCTTTATGTGTGACACGATGTTGTTTTTGTTTTGCATTCGCTGACTGTCGTTGATGGTGGTGCTCATAAGGCAGAGAGAACTATGGAGGCTTGGGGCAAGTGGAAGTGGAGTAAAGCACGAGGGTTTCCATCACGAGAACAGCTGACCAGACTCTAAGGCACTCGCCTGCCGGGTTGCCGGAATGCTGTGGGCACGCGACGAGTAGAACTCATGACTGATACACACAGGAACGAACCCAGTCCGAGATTTCTTTCGCGCCCGATTGGGTTTCTGGAGCCACAGTTTCTGAAAGGTTGAGACTCAGTTTTAGTCGAAGAGTCAGCGCGCTCTTTGCCATTTCAATGTACCTCACACGTCCAAGGCTGAGAGGTGTGAGGAATTGCACACAGGGAGACATGCGACACACACACCGAGGATTCTCAGTTGCCAACAAATACACATCCAGATGCAATAAATGAAGAAAAAACCTTAAAAATTCAGGAAAAATTCAATCAAAACTCGAATTGAACCACAGCGAGATGTGCGCGGTTTCCAAGTGGATCGATGCTTTGCTCAAGCACGCTTTAAAGATTGCCAAGCTCAAAACAGGTATCCACTCACACACTCACGCGCGCGCGCACACAAACACACACGGTTGCTACATGATCCCTACGGACATTCTCCAACTTGTGTTTTGACAAAAAATTGAAAAGGACCCGAGTTGAACATCCCGCTCGCTGGCTGCGCAGGTCGGCGTCGCACATTAGGGGCTCAAGGTCCGATCGTTCCTTCTTCATTCTGACACGGACAGAGAAGGTCTGAAGTGTCTTCCTTTGGTTGGTCATGGCGTGTGTAAAGCAAGCTTCTGTTTCGCATTGAGATGGGGCCGAAAACGCCGAGGTACATTCAGCTCTGATGGCTGGAGAGAGATCTGATTGTGAAAGCACTGTCAGTTTTAATTAACAGGCATCATTGTTTCATATGTTCATGCAAACGAGCAGCGCCGCGCAGCCCGCAACACCGACCCCCTCTTCCCTGGAGAGAGTGTGCTGGTTCAAGCTGGCACAACAGCTCTAGGCCTGTCCACGTGCCGTCGCCAACAAGGTATCCGTCTACAGCAGCACAAGCCAGCATCAGAGCAGGTTCGAGACGCGCCACGGGGGCAGGTGCGGCCAATGTGCATACCTCAGATGCCACCGCCTCGAGCTCATCCTGCAAAGCACGGATGTCGGCGCGATCGTGCTCACGGCCTACTGCATTCTCCACTGACTTGATGGCACCCCGCACCAGCAAGCGGGACGACGAGAGCTGTTTGGCCTCAGGGTTTTCCCGGTTGGCTATTGTCGCACGGCAGTGGTGAGTTGAGAGCCTGGTCAACGTGCTACCAACTTGGACACCCCTGCCATCGCTGACTGAACCTCTCGGCTGGAATACAGTGTTGCATGCAGTAGCCAGAGGCAAGACGGCGCTTACCTTCCAGCATGTCCTGCAAGCAACGCACGACATGGACTAATTGCTGAGGATCGCGGTCCCAGTGCGCCTGAGCCTTCACCAGCTGGTAGGCGTTGCGGCGTGCCTCAAATGCCTGCGCATGCTGATGGGCATAGTTGTAAAACCGAGCCGCTGAAATCCACACCTGCAGAGTCAAATGGGGGTTACAAGCATAAGATAAAGGCCGGCCTACATTGTTTGCGGGCCATGAAGATAAACTGTTTCAATGTCGCAATGTCGCACAAAGGTGAAGAAGCAAAAACGTACCTCATAGCGAGACACCTTGATGGTACGCAGGCGATCACACGCTGCACGAACTCGCGCTTCTAAACGCCGTGCTGGTGAAAATGCAAGTGGAATTCAGAATGAGAGTGGCGTCCAAAATTGCACGAAAAACTTTTAATCACCAAAAGGCAAGTCTTCGGAAGAGACTTGAGAGCTTTGAGCAACGTCACAAACCTGGGCTATCAGACAAGTCCTTGACGTCAGCCACCAGCGCATGAACCAGTGCACTGAGTACCTGCCATATTCAAGAACAAGTGCAGCGTGTGAGCGGTCATGATCTCTTGAGCGAGATGAAGTGCAAACTAGATAGAGTTGTCGAGGATGCCCGTTCAAGTGCACACCTCAAAGTCATCGTAAGACTTTTTAATGTCCATGATGCGCTCGATGGCATGCAGCACATCTTGAAACGCGCCCACGTCGACCGCCACTGCACTCAAATTTTCCCACACTTTCCAGTTGTCGTAGGCATGGCGACTGGCCTCGTGAAAGGCATAGTACGCGCGACGCTTGTCCCCAGTCTTGACGTAGCCATTGGCCAGGTTGTTCCAAGACTCAAAGTCCTACAAGTTGGACCAATGATCGTAAACGGTGAGTCCAGGGCCAACAAAAACAACGGACTTGGGGGCAAAGGCAAGGGGAAAAAGGCCAAGAAGGCCTTGGCATCACAGCAAGCAAAGTTGCGTACATCGTCATCGATTTCAACCTTGCGGCGGAAAGCCTTGCACACCAAGGGCCAGCGTTCCAGCCGAAGGCCGCAGGCGCCCAGCGAAAACCACACATCCGTTTGCATGTGATTGAGCTTCAGGCAGGCCTCAAAGGCTTCAATGGCCTTTTCATACTTCTCAGTCTGCAGCGTGCCGTGTTTCTCCCGGTTGCGCTCAGCCTGCCCAACGAGCGCACGTGGTACAAAATTAAATCACATGAAAGGTGAGTCATGAAATGAGGGCAGTCGCCTTCCCCCGGTGTAGTGCCGATGGCCAGCCGGAAGCTGCCACGGCAAACAAGTAACAATGTGTCGTACGTCGCGCAAAAGGAAGATGCCTTTGCTGCGCATGGCTCGGCTGGAGCGATGCTTGCTGAGCTCCCAAGCTTGGTCATAAAACGTCACGTCACGTTTCAGATCACCCAAGACACAGTACAAATCGGGGCTGGGCTCCTCTGACAGACGGCGGCGAACCAATGCCTCGGCTTGCTCATCCTGATCCAGAGACTGGTGACACGAAATGACGCCTTCCCAAAGCTCCAAGCGCTGGAAGATTTCCAAAGCATCTCGATAGATGCCAAGCGAATTGTACACGCGGCCCAGCTCCCGCAACAGCTTCCAGTGCGGTGGCAAATTCACGCAGGATAGATACCGCAAGCGCGCGACAGCGGGTGCTGCGGAAGCGCTATCACACCCGAACCAAGTAGTTATGGCAGTGTCATGTCACACACGAGTAGATCATGCAAGACCCATGCAGTGGGCTCGCGCGCACTCGACCAATGACGTGACGACAACTGGTCACCTCAAAAGACGTACCTGTACAACCCGGATACGGCGTCCAGTTGCTCGCAGGCACGCTGCAGGGTGCGCACCTTGGCCTTTTCCAAGCGGGCTTGGGTGAGCAAGGCCATGGTGTGGAGGCTCCAATCCTGTGGATGGCGCAATACGTAGTGCACGTAGGGGAACATCTCTTCCGTGGTCAACCTGCGAGGTCAGGAGTGCAAATTAGGGTTTCATGACTGCCAGCTACCAAGTGTCATGGCTTTAGCCAGGCCTGGACAGCGTCTCTGAGCAGGTGAGAGTCTTCCAGTGGAAGCGTTCTCATACCCATTGCGAGGATTCTGATTTTCCACATTCAAGCAAAGGGCCATGATGGCGGCCTGAACATGAGTGGCCAAAACAGCATCAGCTGCTTGAGCCAACTGCGGGTCTTCCTCGAAGCTCCACTCAGCCAAAAGCGTATCATCGATCAGAGCACATTGCTGGCGAAGCCAAATCGCACACAAACGTAGGCCAGGCATACAGTGGTTGTGAGATTGAGGTTGGCGCAAGTCAACGCATTTTCTCAAGGCCGTAAATGACCCTGCACACCTTGGGAATAAAGTCGGCTTCTTCCGCCACGTAGGGTGGCAGGACTGCGCCTTCTTGCACATCAACAACAAGAACGGGCTAGGACGGGAAACAGCGGTGCAACAGTTAAGAGAAACTAGGATGGTCCGACAGATCCTGGGGTCAAGGTGGAAAATCATTGCGGTACCTGGGCAATGGCATCCACTTGGAACTTGGTTCGGCGGCCAAGCTTGCCAGTGACCTCAAAAGAAGAGCCGCAGGCTTGCTGTGCTTGCTCAAAAAAGGGACGAGCCTGGGCCATCTCGCGGTAATAAGCCCAGAAAAGTCCAATCTCCAAGTTCAGGCGGACGGCCAGACCTCGCGCACGCGCCATCTTCAAAGTATTGCCATCCTCAGCTTGTGCAAGACCCGCCAGCACTATGTGCACAATCTGAGTGAGGGCTCACATCGTAGCATCGACTCGAGCGACGGGAAGCACAGGCAAGTACGAGAGCAGACAAAATGACTGTCTCATGTGCGCGCGGGAAGCTTACCATGCTTGGCCAGTTGTTCAAACTCAGTGTGAATTGACCCAGTGGTTTGCTCAAGCATCTGTTGATGAGCAAAGAGTGTACGGAGGCGCAGTACGCTCAAGCCCTGCGCAAAATGGAGTACCGCGTCGGCATCAACCAAGGTAGATGAGAAAACATGGGCGCTCAGCGGTGGCGTGCGAGCATTGAACAGACCAGGTCCAGATCTGGGTGAGCAGCGAGGGTGGGCAGGCCTCGAAGCGCAAACAGCAGAAGCAGCGGTGCCTTGGCCCATCGGTACATGCTCTAAAAATGGCGAGGCGGAAATTAATTTGTGGCCCCGGGATTATTTAGTGTGAAGTTGCAAAAGCGAGAGTGACCCCCAAAAAAATTAAAAAAAAAAAAAAAAAAAAAAAAAAAAAAAAAAAAAAAAAAAAAAAAAAAAAAGCAAACAGACAAACAAACGTAAAATAAGAACCCGTTTGCACATCTTCTTTTGAGGTGGGCGTGAATGTCAGTGCCACGAATGTCAATCCTACGAGAGAACGCACCTCGCCATCGACTTGCAAGAGCTGAAGTAACGCACGGTCCCAGGTGCTCGAGGTCTTGGTGGACAGGTAACGGGACCATGGTTGTTCCTCACTTTCGTCCAAAGCCGGACCTGGGGCCAAGTCATGCATGCATTGAATTGGGCAGGGGGTTGATCTAATAAAGGCCCAGGGAGGCTGAACTTGAGCAGCGACTCACCCGTCCAGTTGAGCTGCTGAAATAGGCCGAGGCTAGCTGTGGCCAACACATGGCGCTGTAGTCTACAGGATGTGCCAGTATCGGCCGACAGCATTGGTGCACAGGCAGGCAACGTGTCAAAGGCAGGCAGTGCATACAAGAGTGAGGGAGAGGTGCTAGGATGCGAGAGGATGAGCATTTGTCTGCCAGACATGTAAATGACGTGGCGTCAGAGGAGCGAGCGTACGTGGGGAGGGCGGCAAGCTGCTCTGTGATGCCCTGCTCGATCTCGGTCACAAGATCATCTGGGTGATGAGATTAAATGTGAGACAATGGTACGCCGAATCAAGAGGGAGTGCAAAGGCCAAAGCCAACGCCCGCAGAGGTGGCGTCGGCGGCTCTGCCAAGCAGGCTGCCAAGCACAGGGTCTGAGTGATGCTTCACACTCGTGGGCCCGTACCTGGCAAAACCCCGGTGCCTAGGGCGAGGGCTTGAGAGAAAAGAGATTCGATGGCTGTCCAAAGAGGACGAAAAGCATCTTCCGCAAGGACAGCCGGATATTCGGCACGCAGCAGACGGGGAAACGCCGAATCTATTTTGCGTCACGACGCGAACGCGGGCATTGATTTATCATGTTGTGTGCCTCTACAGCCTTTGAGCATGATGAAAACCAAGGTACCCAAGGCACCGCAGCACAGCAGCCACCGTACCAATATGTGCAAGGTCAACATCGCTCTCCAAGAGCGCCACCAGGAGAAAGGCCTCGACCATCTCCGACGACTCGAGCGCCATCCCTGTTGTTGGTTCCGCGGCCATGCTTGCGAATGACGAGGGAGTGCTGACAAATGATGTCAACACACACACACACACACACACACACACAGAGATGCGTTTGCACGTGGTTGGTTGACACTTGTCTTACTTTTGTGTTTCTTCGAGTTGGCCTCTATCCGTGTCTCTATCCGTCTCTCTTAGGCTCCCCTTGGAAGCATGACTGTCGACGGGCGGGCGATCATCATGCCATGATGCAGTGGATGTGCAGGTAGAGTAAGGAGGTGGAGTAAATTGTCAATTAGAAAGATTCGAATAGGCTGACGTGTTCACAACCAAGGCACTTGAGTGGATGCTATGGTAGATGAGAAGCATCATTCCGACCCACGGACGCGGGCTGCAAGCAGGGTGTCCACTGCCTGGCTGACGGCGCGTGGATCCGCAGATTTGCCTGATGACCAACCAAAATAGACGTGTCATGAGTGGAAAAGTTCACCAGAAAAAAAATGTGAGAGGCTTGCATCATGCAGGCAGACAACACATCATCAGCTTGTTGTCAACATACCCAGTTTGCGCATCGTTTGCCCAACGAAAAACTTTTTGATGCCTTCTTGGCCTGTGCAGGGTATATGGTGGGTGAGTGGCTATGCTTTGGTGCGGATAAACACACAAGTGCCGGCCTGGCATACCGCACCGTTGAGAAACTTTTCGACTTCGCTGGGGTTGGCGTTCAAAACGTCAGCAACGACACTGTCCAGATTCTGTGCCACCTCCGCCGAGCCGCAGCAATGAGTTGAGCGAATCGGAGAAAGCGAAATGAAGGTTTGGGTGCACTCGGGAGGGTTCTCGGGACCATGACCCTGCCCGCATCGAAGCTTGTGTGGATGATCTCCAATAGCGGAGTGACGTACGTCATGCTCTTGTTGCAAAAGACCGGCAGCTTCAGCGAGGGCGCGCGGTGCAGCCGAGTTGGTCAGCATTTGCTCCAGGACGGCCACGGCGTTCAGCTTGCTCAGCTGGCGGGCTGCAAAGAGACGCCCCAGTTCCGCCAAGCGCTCAGGCTCAATGGCCAGCTCTGAGAGCGACACCGCTTGTTGTCTACCCCAAAAGCCAAATACAAACAATGATGCTCGGGTCCGAGCGGGAGAATAGACACCTTTGCTGGGTCTAAAGGCCAAGTCGAGCAGCCCCCAAAACATACCTCAGTATGGCAAAGACACTGCTGTAGAGAAGAGTTGCGGTGGCTTGGATGGCTGCCAGGGCCGAAGCACTGGTGTTGGCAGACAGGTGAGCTACACAAGCCTCAAAGTAGTGTGCACCTCCTATTGGCCAGCGTGCATCGCCGAGCGTGGGTGAGGCAGGTTTCGCTGTGGCTCTAGGCAGGCGTTTCTGATAAGAAGCGTGGGACAAGACCTGATTCCTCCTCGATGGTGATGGCATCGGCCAAGCGCAAGCCTACGATCAGGAGCCACTATTGTGAGTGAGCTTGCCCAATGGCCTGCTTCTTTGGCTCAGCATGGGGAAACTTGGTGGCGCGAGTTGTGATTGCTCTGCGCACATCAAGTGCATGGGATACGAACCATAGTCCTGGACCCAGCGATGGACCCGGGCTCGTGGAAGCTCAGGTAGGCGCTTTTGTACATGAGCAATCTGCTTTTACATAGCCAACCAAGGAGCAGGCACATGAGATTCAGGAGTTTTCAAACCGGTGGTGCATCCAATTGGCTGAGACGCTGCCTTGCCTCGGCTTCCGTCAAAACAAGAGGGGGTAAGTCAGGATCTGGCATGAAGCGGTAATCGAGGTCATCTTCCTTTGAGCGCATGGCAATCGTCGTACTAGTGCATCCGTGCAACACAGGGTAGGGCGACATGAGTGCAGGCCAGGTGTCAGGCAAGCAGAAGGCTTGCACCCGGATTCAGCTCATTGAGCAGGGCAACGCGCACTTGGTGGCCGCATCGTAGTAGCGCGTTTCGCGCACGAGTGTTTCACCGGCCTCGAGGAGTTGAACGTGGCGAGCAAACTCAAAATCTGATGTTGGCCCAGGCGGACAGAACATTGATCAAAGCACGGGTGTGTTCGCTCGAATATGCATGCGCGTGATTGGTGTCAAGCCAATGGCAGGCGGGGCGAGTCGTACGCATGTGGGCACCGACACGCAGGGGCACGAACATACCGATGGCTTTCTTCAAAAAACGCATGCCGTTGATGTTTTTGATCTCGCTGCGCGGGCCATCGATGCCACGCGCTGGGCAATGAGCGCTTACGTTGGCATCGACGCGCAGCGAGCCCTCTAATTTCATTGTCAGCAACCGGCATCAAAGAAAACAAGAACCAGCAGGGGACATGGAGAGCAGGTGTTGGTGTGGGTGAGCGGGGTGCGATAGTGCTACACCATGTGAGGGGGCGAAAATTCACCTGCCAGCTTGCCATCGTTCACCTCGAGTGCCGTCAGGATGTGAATGAGCTGTCGGACAAAATTCATGGCAGCCGTGCTCGAAGTCAAGTCGGGCTCTGTTACAATCTCCATCAAGCCTGCGCCTGTGGGTCGGAAAAGGGTGTGGGGCAGCTCAAGCGTGGTGAGGCGTGTCAGATCTGGGGTTGTACCAAAGGCCAATAAACCAGCCCACAGCGCTGACCTGCACGGTTGTAGTCTACCAGGGTCGTCGCGCCATGCGTGTGAACACTTTTGCCACTGTCTTGCTCAAGTTGAATTCTTTGCAAACGAACAAGGGGTGCCTGGCGAGAGCAAGAAGCAAGTGCCCCCATACAAGAAGGATGACATATGATGCATGAGAGCGCGGCACGTCCCTTCCCAACATGACAAATGATAAACAGACAAACACGCAAGAACAACATGAAAAGAGCAGCATGGTCGGGGGCGTTGGGGCGAGTTTGTTCAGACCTCGGGTTCAAAGCCAGCAGCAATAGTGCCCTCTTCAGCGATGGGAACACGCTGTTGAGTGATTTGGTAGCCAGCCTAAGGAGCATCCAATGGTCATGGCACGGGTGGCATCAGATCAGCTAGGTGTGCATGAAATAGCAGCAAAACAATCGTTCGGAGGCAAAGTCACGAGGCTGGCCAGGCAACGCACTGGCAAGTCATGGTAAAAGTAGTGCTTTCGGTCAAAGAAAGACTCGTGATTGAGACGAGCGCCGCAGGCTAGTGCAGTACGGATGGCGGCTTCAACACAACGCTTGTTCAACACCTACACGCAATGCGTCGGAGAATGAGACATGGGCATAGAACCTTGGGGCATGGAGGTCGGCTGCAGAAATCTGAAATTTACCGGCAGGGCGCCTGGCAGCGCCAAGTCCATGGGCTGCACCTGATGAGGACAAAGTGGGGAAGATAGCGAGCAAAGAGAGAGAGAGAGAGAGAGAGAGAGAGAGAGAGAGAGAGAGAGAGAGAGAGAGAGAGAGAGAGAGAGAGGGAGAGGGAGAGGGAGAGAGAGAGAGAGAGAGAAGGGGATGCAGTCATTAACATGGGATGGTCGAATGAGCAGCGGGGGTCTGTTCAGCGTGCAGCATTCAAGCGCAGAGGACGAACCAAGGTATTGGGTGCTGCATTGAAGCGGACGGGGGCTGACGAGAAGATCTTGCTATGCGCAGCAATCTGAGCATGAATCTCAAGGCCAACCTTCAGCTGCCATCCCGCCACATTGGGCTGATGAGCCCACCGAAAAGAGCCCGGGAGCCATCGCCCCACCCCTGTCGCTCGCGCCCTGGCCCGCCATGCTCGTCCCACCACCACCACCACCATCTTGTGGTTGTGCTCGTTTGTCAGAAGAAATTATTTGTCAGCATGTCAGATTCTCGAGAGAGTGGGAGAGAGAGAGAGAGAGAGAGAGAGAGTGTGTGTGTGTGTGAAGAAGGGAGAGCGACCTTTTTCTTTTTTCTTGTTTTCTCGTCGGAATGGAGGGGGCATTGGCGGCCGTGCCGCCCGTGGAGATTGATCAGGGGGTGTTCAAGTATGTGTTGATTGAGCTGCAAGAGGCCAATGGTGCGAAGCGTACGCTACTGCGCGGTTATACACATGCAGAGTATCATGGTTAGTTTTAGTGTGCGCGGGGCAGATTGGCGGCACGCGGGGTCACCTCGATTGACGAGGCTGATGTGATGGCCTTGTAGATGATGTGTATCAGGCGGTGCGGCCGGGTCTGGATGCTTTGGGTCTAAAGTCTCGCGTGCTGGGCGGAGGTCGCATCCGCCATGTTCCTGATCAAGAAATTTTCGTCTATGGCTACTCGATGGTCAGGCTCGATTCGCTTGCCTCTTGCCTAGCTCTGTTGGTCTTGATTTGACTCGTTGTAGCTTCATGAACCGACGCTACTCAACTCACGGCCGCCCTTGGCATACCAACAGGCATATGGGCAAGGTGATCATGCTCTGGCCGTGGACATGCTACGCAAAGCGTATCCCTCTTATCCCAAGATTCACTTTTCCAATGAGGGTTATTGAGGAGAAGGTTGAGCCATCTCATGTGTGCGTTGGAGCTGTGTGCTTGGCATTATGAAATCGATTCAATGATAGGGGAAAGATGGTGCATCTTATTCCAATGAACTGCCGCTAACGGGGTACTCCTTATCCCGGCCTGGTCCGTCACAAAGTCTGTTGTCGGGCACATACAGGCCAAAGCAAAATAAAAAGCCTCAAGCCCAGTTGAGCGCAAGCGCATGAACTGTCGGGAAGAACGCCGAGGCAATTTGCAGCAGGTTTTAAGTACAATGGCACAACCAAGAGAGGTGGCTAGAAAAGTCGGTGGAGGCGCCAGTCGTGGCTCAAGGAAGCATGAAAAAAAAAAAAAAAAGGGTGGGGTATATGCTCCAGAAGCCGAGTGGGGTTTCGGTTGGCTCTACTCTGCAGCTGCAGGTTTGGGTGCAGCCGCAGAGGTCGGCTTGCGCATGTGCTTGCAGCGAGGTCCCTGGAAAGAGTGGGCCAAATAAAAATGAGTTTGATACGGCCGCAAATCCATTCAAAGGGCGCTATGGACGAGTGCCACGGTTGCGTGGACGTACCGCGCTGTACTTTGTAATGTCTGGTTGCTTGAACACGTTGTAACGAATCAGGTTTTGATCAAGACGGCAGAGGTCGAGGGCAGAGGTCATGGCCTCGGGCGACGCATCAAATTTCAGGTACGCATATCTGTTGTGGGGAAGATGGAGTAGCAAGTACGGAATCAGGGTCCGCCCGGTCAGGTTGATTTAGCCAAGGTGCGGTCAAAGGTGTTCAACGAACCGGCCTTGAGTGTGGTACTCAAAGTGTGCGCGCATGCGGAAGGGCAGGTCTGTGTTGTTCTCTGTCTGGACATTGCGGATGATGCTGCCGCGCTGCAAAAGGTGCTCGCACAAGGGACGGATGGTCTTGGCCAGCTGGGTCTGCAGGTGCGGATGTGTGCGACATGAGGAACCAAGACAGAGGTGCTCAAACGAATCTTACATTCCAACACATGCGAATGTCGGAGTGCTGGGTTAGAGGGGGGAGAGGCTGAGCCGAAGCCAAGCAGCCTCGTGAGCAGCCTCGTGCGCGTACCTTGTCCATGGCCCGGTAGATGAGCGACAGCTCGTACGACGGCGCCATGCTACCGAGCTCTTGTAAGTCACGTGGACTTGTACAAAACTCACTGGTGATCAATGACCTCTGCCTGGCACACTACTTTCCCCGCCAAAAAAACCCCCGGTGGGAGGATGAATATCAGGGGTCCAGGAATGCATCCAGGGCGAGGCAATGAAGCGGGAGGACGAGTCGAGCCGGGGCACCACTACCACCACCTGACCTTGAGCGGGACCACCTTGAAAATGTCCCGTGCAACACTCGATCACAACACATGTTGCCAACCACACCAGTCTTCTGACAATATATTCTGACAATCATCAAAGCTAGCTTTTTTTGAAGAGAGAGAAGAGAAAGAGAAAGGGATAAACAGCAAAGACACAAGAAAAACAGGTCACAGTGTGCCGTTGGGGCTTGTGTTGGGTCGGTGGGGAAGACACTTGGCTGTCCTCAAATGGGCGGGCCACCAACCCCGGGCTCTTGGAGAAGCAGTTGTTTTGTTGATCTGACCAAGCATGCCAATAATGAAGCCCGGGCTTTTGTTTTCTCTTGTAAGCATCGTCATGGAGGCAAGGTGATGTGATATTTGGACGAAAAATAAATTGACGGGAAAACACGAGGGCTCATCCCCGACTATGAACAGGCACGCATGAGCGGGAGGTGACGGGGAAAAGCCCGAGCGAGCACACCCGGGACGCACAGCGTCGACACGACAAGCAGTCAAAGCCAAAACCAAAAAAAAAAAGAAAAGGAATTAGACAAAAAAGGCAGAGGCTGCGTGTCGGTGCTCAAGCAGGTGGCTTGCGAGAGGCACAGCACCCAGATTGATTTAAAGCTTGGGCAGCTGCTGACCCATCATGAACAGGTTGCTCTGAATGGGCGTGCGCTCGGCAGGAGCAGGCGTCTAGACACGAAAAGGCAAGAGAGAGAAAGGTGAGAAGCGGCTCATCACAAGTGGCAAATCGCTATTGAGCACAATATTTGCGCTGAGCCGTCGTGTCGAGCTCAACAAGCCTACCTTGGGCAGCCTGAGCTCAGCCTTGATGTTCTCACGGATCGTAGGCACGCCGCGCGAGTCTGAAAAACAGAAAAGAAAGAAATTCCACTTTCAATGAGATTCAGCGTTTGACAACATGGCGGTGGCATGGGCGCCAGATCAGTCCAGATAAACTTACTCTTGCTCAGACGCGAAGCAGTGCGGGTCATCTCGCTCAAGACACGACGGTAAGTCATAATGACGGTAGTGCAGATGAAGTAGAAGATTAAAAGCGGGGGCTGCCGAAACGAAAAGTTGATCTTGATCGCGCGGGGGCGTATAGCCAACAAAAGTTCTCTGATCACGGGAGTGGCGAAAGAAAAATGCACATCTGACGCCAACCGCAACGCCTCCCCTCGCCAACCTCAAAGTCCAAAAGGCGCCCAAGGGATAACGCAAGCTAAAAGTGTGTGTGTGTGTGTGTGTGTGTGTGTGTGTGTGTGTGTGTGACCAGTTGTAACAAGACAACGTTAGGTAAGAATGACGATTTTTTTTTCTTTGTTGTTCTTTACGGTTCCTTGCTGTAGAGAGCACGCGCGCAAACCCACGTACCAATGTCAGCGTGTGTTTGCGGTTGAAGAAATCAGGAACAAGCACTTGCCCCATTACAGCAAACAGACCACGCCACACCATTGGAGGGAAGATGCATGTTGTTGACAATTATTGTTGTTGTTTATTGTTGTTTGTTGGTGGTCACCGAATTTTAAAAAAATCGGACAACTCCGTTTGCGCGCTCCCAATCCACACGAAGTGCCGAGTCTCCTGATCTCCCGGTCCCTGCGGGGTCGAGAGAGCTCGGTCGAGGTGAAGTGCCGTCCAGAACACATGTAGTGGACGAATCATGGTTTCTCAGTTCCGTGCACATTCTCTCTCTCTCAATGTCCGTGTTCCTGCTGCACCGGCTGGCCAACCCTCGGACCCTCGCCGTAAGCCCGTCCGCGAGCCCCCGTCGCGCTCCCTGCACGGAGGCATAGCGATGTGTTGATGACCTGTCGCCCAAATGTGCCTCGAAAGCTCCATTACCCATGGCTTCCGAAAACATCTTGTCCCACGCACGAGTCCACGTGTTGCTCACCACCGTCACACTCGCCCTTGCGTATCACTGCGGCCTCTTTGGCATCGTTCTGCTAGGCTCTTCAAAGCGCCAGCTTTGCCAGCACCCGCGCCATGTCAGCTCAGTCCTATGAACAGCGCGCCATCGAGGCTGAAAACCTCGTGCTCGCCCTGACCGACAAGGTCAAGCTGCTCCGTGAGCGTGCCGAGGCTGATCGTCTGAGCGTACTGGAAACTGAAAACGCGCGCCTGCGCGCCCAGGTTGAGGCAGCCAAGCGCGAGCTTCGCAGCAAGCACATGGCCCAGGGACAAGGTGAGTCCCGCCTTCTTTTTTCTCGCCCGAGCTTAGCTCGACGGCGCACCCGGCACGCCATGCCGCATTCCCTTTTTGGTGTGCGTGACTTGACACTCCGCCTCCCCCTCTTGCTACAGCACAAATTGCCGTCCCCGGTGACGCCATCAGCGAGGAGTTTGCCGAGAAATGGGCTGCCTCCACAGGCAACACCAAGGCCGCTTCTGCTGCTCAGGCCAAGCCTGTTTCTGAAAAGCCAGCCCCCGCAGCCGCTTCCGACAAGAAGGCCGCCAAGGCCGACAAGAAGGCCAAGGCCAAGAAGGAGGTTCGTCCGTCTTGTGCTGCTCTCTACATGCAATACGGGAGTTTGCCTTGCTCATTCCAACTTGCTCCATATGATGTGCATTTTGCATTGAACTCTTCGTCTTTCAGGGCAAGAAGAAGGAGGACAAGAATGCTGCCCCGGCCAACGATGGTCCGTTGCCTTGTACATTCGCCCTAGCCCCTTCTTATCGTCTGTCAATCCACAGCATTCATCACTGTTGGATTTGCTTTTGTACACCTTGTCATATTGCTAGATCTGCCTCCCATTTCTCGAGTGGACTTTCGCGTCGGTCTCATCACCGAGGCCAAGATGCACCCCGATGCTGATGCTCTTTACGTTGAGACCAGTGCGTCTGCTTCCTTGTGCCCATCCTGTATATCACTCTGCTTTTTTTGCGCTGACACGTGGCGCCGCAGAGAATGAAAGGGGATAGAAAAGGGCCAATTGTGCACCGACTTCCATCTCTTACATTCGGACTCACACCTCGTCGCCCCTTCATGTTCTGGTCCACCGTACCTTCATGCAGTCGAGGCTGGTGACGCCGAGCCACGCACCATCATCTCGGGTCTGGCCAAATACGTGCCTCTAGAGGAGATGCAGAACCGCTTGGTCGTCATTTGTGCCAACCTCAAGCCCCGCAAGTATGTCCACACTCGCATGCTTGCGGGCAGGCCTCGCCAGTGTTGGGCATTTGACTCACCTCGCACTGCCCCACCTTTTAAGAATGCGTGGCATTGAATCGCAGGGCATGGTCATGTGTGCCAGCACACCGGAGAAGGTGGTGCCCATTGCGCCACCGGCTGGCAGCAAGCCAGGCGACCCCGTTGTATTTGAAGGCTTTGCTCGTGCGTATGCCCGCCCTTTTCGATCTTCCAGTTTTGTTTATCCTCGAAAATGCGTCACTCGTTGTGGTGCACCAAAATGACTTGACCATATCCGGCCGGCACCCGGCGTTTGCAGGTAACCCCGATGCCGTGATGAATCCCAAGAAGAAGATTTACGAAGCGGTGGCGGTATGTTATGCAACGCCACAAAACGCCTCTTGGGCTCGGATATCTGGGCCACCTCTAGTGTCATCGCTCAACTCATCCCGTTGGCATTCCCATCTCTGCCCCATCCCAACTTTTTTTTTGTTTTTACGTGTTTCTCCAGCCTGACCTTGCCACCAACGCTGAGGGTATCGCCACCTTCAAGGGCATTCCGTTTGTCGTCGAGGGCAAGGGTCCTTGTGTTGGTGGCCTGGCCAATGTCAAGGTGGCGTAACTGCTTTCAACTTCTTTCGTAGACCTCAACATGCCTCTTGTTTTTTTTGTTTTTTTTTTGGCTCCTTGTGTTCTGTTTTTTTTTCTTGTTTTTCCGGCAAAGTCAAAAAAGAAAACTTAAAACGTGCACCTTGTGCCATCTATTTTCTCATTCAATGGTACGGCGTAAGAAACGCTTCATGACCAACATTGCTCGTGTGGTTGAAATTCCAAACTGTTTCTGTGTGTTGGGTTTGAATATGATTCGATTTTCAACTGCAAAACGCTCTTGGGCATGGCATAGCTTGGCGAAAGGATAAGAAACTTTAGACGCGGCGAAACACGGCCAGGTGAGGGAAGACGAGCTGGTACTTGCGACGATGCTCGCGAATCAAGAAAGGCATGTCACCCTCCTTGACCAGCTCGAAGCCTGCATTGGTCACCACCTCAACAAGCTTGTCGCGCGACTCCTGCATGTCCAAAGCGCAACATCGGTCAAGTGAGCTCGCCAATGTTGGAATCCCACAGGGACAGGTGGTCACGCTCACAAAAGTTATCTTTGGGTGTGACACACACACACACACACACACACACACACACACACACACACACACACACACACACACACACACACACACACACACACACACACACACACACACACACACACACACACGTACCTTTCCATCGTAGCCACCAAGCCATTGGGTGCGCTCAGTAAACTGATCGAGCCATGAGAAGGGCGAGGTGGTGACGAGGATGCCCCCGGGCTTGACCAGATGCTGCATGCGCTCAAGGCAAGCCACTGGGTCGGGTAGGCGGCACAGCAGGTTGGCCAACAAGACCACATCAAACTGACCCAGGTCCTGTTTCAACAGTTGAGGAATGCAAAATACACATGCAACATGAACAATCTCGTCAAAACGATTGTGTGTGTGTGTGTGTGTGTGTGTGTGTGTGTGTGTGTGTGTGTGTGTGTGTGTGTGTGTGTGTGGAAATTGGCAGGTCTCAGCAAGCTGGGCTGACCTCAGGTAAGGCACATGCGTCGCCCTGACGAAAGTGGCAGCTATGTGGAAAAAAAAAGCACAACAAAGAAATGAGCTCAAGTTGGTGAGGGCGGCGCCGTGTTGGTGCAGGCCCACAGGCCCACAGGCGAGTGGCCATCGGTCTTTTTCCAGCTCGTACCGCGCCCGATCAACATCAGCAGCCACCTCAGCGACATGTTGGGAGTAATTGACGCCTTCATCGAGGCGCTCGTAAGGCATGCTGCCCTTGGCCTTGAGTTCATTGCAGCAGTCCACAAAGGCTTGGCTAAAGTCAATACCAACGACCTCATCGGTATGCTTGGCAAACTCGAAGCAGGCACGGCCCACAGCACATCCGACGTCCAGTGCACGCAATTGAGAATCAGCCGAGCGATCCTGCAGTACACGAGGATAGGGCACCATGAGTCACAAGGAAGTGATCCAGTTACATTTATGCAGCATAGTATTGACCTTGGTGAGGTGGCTCATGCACTCCTCAACAATGTGGACGTTGAAATCGATGGCATTGACTGGTCCGGCTGCGGAGGTGGACATCTGGGAGGTGAGGCGAAGCGTCTCACAAACATATGGCGCATCTGGATACACCGCTGCTACAGAAGCAACTCACCCTGGTACGGCATGTAGTCGTCCTTGTCTTGGCCATAGTGAAAGGCGAGATACTCAGAGACATACCTAGTGAGTGTGGTCACGGATGTGAGCGCAAGGGCGACTGCTTTGGCGTCCACTGGCTTTCGCGAGCTGCCAAAACCAGTTGACAGATTTGTCGCTAAATCAACGTACTTGTTGGTTTCATAGACGTTGTCGGCCTGAAGGGACATGGTGGCTCGGCTATGGGCCGCAAGGCGGTGCAGGGCGGCAGGGCGGCGAACAGCAGTCCAAAGCTGCGACCCGATTGGCTGCAACAGTCGACCCAACATTCGAGCAGTCTCAGCAAATCTCACGCTAAGCCGGCGTAAGGCATGCACAGCACGCGAGTCAGAGACAATAGGAAGAATGCACCACCATCAGCACAGCACAGTTGACAGACAGCATCGACACGGCCAGTGAACCCTGGGGCCACCACCACCCCCTCCTCCCAGCCGCCACCACATGATTGTCGTCGGCCACGCACCTCCTTTGAGATTGAGAAAAAAGGTGTGTGTGTTTGTGTGAAGGAAAAGTCATGATGAGGCTCCTCCAATCTGACATTCATGTGCGTTTCTCTGCTTTGGGCTTCATGATGATGTGTTTGAAGTTGTTGGAGCAAAAAAGGAGCAAAAATCTCAATTTTTTTCTTTTGATTAGGAGGAGGTTGGATGAGGGTGGTTGTTGGTTTTGAGCAGTCGAGCAGCTTCATCGCGCACGGGTCTGGCTCTTACAAAGAGCAAACCACACGACGCGAGTGGAGCGAGACGGTGACACATGAAGCGAAGGGGGAGGGGGCCAAATTTCAGGTCGTCATCATGTCAAGACATCAGGCCTCCTTGCGTCGACTTGGTACCAAAACACGCGACCTGTTAGGCAAGGAGAACGGGAAGTCTAAAAGGAACGAGGGCAGAGCCCGGGCCAATTTATTTCAGCTTCTCGGTCATCTCAGGGACGGCCTTGAAGAGGTCCGCCTCGAGGCCATAGTCGGAGATCTGGAAAATGGGGGCTTCGGCGTCCTTGTTGATGCAAGCGATGGTCTTGCTGTCCTTCATGCCCGCAATGTGCTGGATGGCACCAGAGATACCAACGGCCAGATACAGCTCGGGGGCCACAATCTTGCCTGTCTGGCCGACCTGCAGGTCGTTGGGGACGTAGCCAGCATCGACTGCTGCGCGCGAGGCACCAACGGCAGCACCCATGGCATCGGCCAAGTCATAAATGATGGAAAAGTTCTCCGAGCTCTTCAGAGCACGACCACCCGACACCACGCGGGAGGCATCGGCCAGCTGAGGGCGGTCCGACTTGGTCAGCTCCTGGCCCTTGAAGGTGGCCAGGTCTTGAGTGGCATCCACCTCAAACGCCTCAGTGGTAGCAGAGCCACCCTCGGCAGCCGCCTCATCAAAGGCCGTGGGACGGATGGTCAGGATCTTGACGGCATCGCTGCTCTTGACACTGGCCATGGCGTTGCCAGCGTAGATGGGGCGCTCAAAGGTGTCTTCGGAAGAGATGCCAGTCACGTCCGAGACCATGGACACATCGAGCTTGGCGGCCACGCGCGGCATCACGTTCTTGCCGACAGACGAAGCAGCGGCCAAAATGTGCGTGTACTTGTTGGCCTCTTGGGCCTTCAAGATCACAGGCGCCACGCTCTCTGCACGTAATAAGAAGGGGACAACGAGCGCCGGCAACCACACAAACAAAACAACAGCAACAACGCAGAGGATTGGCAACGTGAGCAGTCATCTTCGAGGGCTCAAAAGAGTTTGAAAAATGGACTCGGCATGGGAGTGCCCAGGGCGCATCAGTGAAGATGAAAAAGCTGGCACGTACCGGGGAGGTGGCCTTCAAAGCTGCCGCCAGCCACCAGAACCTTGTTGACACCGGCAATGCTAGCCACCGACGCAACGACCTGAAAAAAGTAGGGGCCAGGATTAGCAAAGAGCTCGTCCGTCAATCAACTCCTCGATCCGCAAAAGTATCAACCTCCAAAACGAGGCGATAATGCCGGGAGCCCCGAGACGAGACGTCCGCTTGAGCGTCAATGGGTTGAAGAAAAAAGAAGAGCAAAAAGAAGAAGCAGAAAAAAAGACAAGATGGCGAAAATAAACGACTCACCGCGTCATCACCACCAGCAACGAGGGCAGTCACATCGCCGCCCAGCTTGGAGGCAGCATTGATGGCGCTGCGCACGGCTGGGTTGAGGGCACCGTTGTTGTGGTCCACATACACCAAGGTGCTGGCCAGACGCGAACGAGCGTACTGGCGCAGCTATAGAGGCAGGCCACACATACAAGCCAGGGGACCCGGTTAGCGAAGCAATTTGGTCAATTCCTTTGATGATGCGAAAAGGCGCGCCCATGTGGTGGCATGTGGTGTGAATCAGGCTGCCAAATGTGGGCCCCCCAAAGCGCTCATGGCGCGTGCGAGGAGGCGCACGTCACTGGCATCGACCTGGAGCAAGCACTCCTGGCGACCCATATCATACATACCGGGGCGGCAACGCGAGTCACGGGGCGAAACATAATGACTGATAATGATACTCTGCAACCAACAGGATCCAACAAATGTGAGGCAAGCGCCGGCGTCGCGCCACAAGCGAGCAGAGAGCCGTCAGACACGAATCCTCACGGGCTGCAAGACCGAGAGAAGAGAGAGAGAGAGAGAGAGAGAGAGAGAGAGAGAGAGAGAGAGAGAGAGAGAGAGAGAGAGAGAGAGAGAAGAGAGAGAGAGAGAGAGAGAGAGAGAGAGAGAGAGAGAGAAGAGAGAGAGAGAGAGAGAGAGAGAGAGAGAGAGAGAGAGAGAGAGAGAGAGAGAGAGAGAGAGAGAGAGAGAGAGAGAGAGAGAGAGAGAGAGAGAGAGAAGCGAGAGAGAAGCGAGAGAGAAGAGAGAGAGAAGACCTCACCAGGAACGATGAGCAAAAATGCCTCTTTGTTCAGGTTTGAGCGATTGAACACGTCGCGACCATTTGCAAAGGGAAACGTAAAGACATGAGCCACACCTGCAGGCAGGTGGAGCGCTGGCTTTTCATTTGGTAGTTCTTTTCCAGCAGTCTGGGGGTCAAACTTTGTAGAAGTAAAATTTGAAGCTTCAGCATCGTCAATTTTCTGACAATTCCTTCCTTATGGCGACGGACGGACGTTCTGCCCAAAGCATCGTCGCTGTACTCCAACGATGCCCGGTTTAACACAGGGGATCCGGAAGAGGTCAAGCTGTCAAAGACGCTTTCCGCCTTAGAACAAGGCCCGAAGCACGGTCCATATCTTTGATCGACTCATGTGTAACATGACGTTGTAAGTCGTGTAAGTTGAACATTGCACATCCCATGTCAAATAAGTATGGGGGAGAGTTGTATTTCTTTTTGCTATTGTCACTGGCCAAGCGCACCGCGCGTGAAGGGCCGGAAAGAGTCAGCCAAAGTCACAAACAAGCAAAAGACAGAGACATCAAGGAGTAGAGCAAGAATCTCTGCGAAAGAACAAGGGACACCCCTCTCTCTTGCTTTGGAGATCTAAAGAGCCTTGAGAGGATCGTCCTTGCGGCGCTTGCTGCTCTTGTTGTTCTTGTTGGGTCGTCGCTTGCCATTAGCCCCACCGGCACGGCCGTTCTTGTCGTTTGCCCCGCTCTGAATAGCAGGCACGCTCACACCTTGCTTGATGTACGCAGGCAAGTGCTTCAAGTGATGCATATGCTGGTCTCTCTGTTGCAGGTTGCGGTCGTGCCGCAAGACCTCCAAATCCTTGGGATTATCTTCAAAATGAGCCTGGCGTACAATCGCATTCGAATCAGAGAATGAGAGATGAAAGATCAGGTTGAATCGACGCAGAGGGCAGAAATCGCGCCAAACAAAAGGATAGACGATCTCACCTGCAGCTTTTCCGAGTTGAGAATCTCGTTCTCAATCTCGGCCCGGCGAGCCTTCTTGATGGCATTGCGGCTGACCATCGAGAGCACATCCTCCACACGATAGCGGATTTTGTCCAGGACGCGCTTGTCAATGCTGTACGCCACCAAGCGATGCGCACTGGCCTCGCTGTTAGGCTTGGCCGTCTCAGCCTCTTCCTGCTCCTGCGCCTCGGCCACCTCCAACAAGCGCTCAACCTGGGCCACTCGCTCGTTATCGGCATGAAGGTAAAAGGACAAAGCCAGACCGGCCCGATGACCACGCGCCGTCCTATGTTGCCATGACATCCAGTCAGCAGTCAGCAATCACCCCACATGGGCACCACACACCAGCTCTGCAATGCTCCGAGTACACAAGCCAAAGAAGGCAACAAACTTACCGGCCGACACGATGCACATAGGCTGCCGCCGTGGCTGGAAAGTCAAAATTAATCACGTTCTTGATGCCCTTAAAGTCAACACCACGCGCGACACCATACTCCTGGTCAGCACTTGGCTCTGCACGACCCTTGCCTCGCTTGCTCTCGCTCGCGTCCGAGCTGGCACCAGCTGCAGCTTCCGCTGACTGCTCAGCAGTCTTGGCCGTGGCCTGAGTCGAGGACAACGTCGAGTCTTCAACCAACACGATACGTGAGCTAGTGCCACTGCCTCAAGGCAACCATATCCCGCCCCATAGACTCTTACCCGTGGCACCTTCGTCCGAGGCAATAATGTAGTCGTAAACTCCCTTGTTGAACTGTGACACGATGTGGCGTCGCGAGTTCAAGGGCAGCTCAGAGTTGAGAACACAGCACCTGTCAATAACCAAGCAGTCAGCACAACACTAAAAGACTCGGGGCCAAGCCTTGGAAGACCCAAACACACGCGCGAGGGGGTTTGATACTCTTGCCAAAGGGTCTGAACAAGTAAAGACAACAAAAGCTCGTTCAGGCGAAGCATACCGAATGCCAAATTTGTCCAGGAAGAGCTTCACACGGTAGCAGCTGTCAATATCATTCACAAAGATGAGCGTCTTGCCACGCACAAGCTGAAACTTGAGGAGCGCGCAAAGGTGAAGGAGGCGCTCTGATGGCTCGCAGTAGAGCTTGTACTGCTTGAGCTGATCCTCGTCGGGAAGATCGCTCTCCTCCAACTTGATGACAGCTGGGTTGCGCAGGGCTAGTTCCTTGAGGGCATTGACATCGTCGCCCATGGTGGCGCTCTAAGTGCGACGAGATGAAAAAAAGCAAAAAGCAAACAAACAAACAAACAAACAAACAGGCAAGCAAACACACAAGCAAGGGTGGACAGCAGAGAAGGGTTAGCAAAACCAGAAACTAGACGGCAAAGAGGAAAGGGAAAGGGTTGCATCTTTTACCATGAGGATGGTTTGCCGCAAGCGAGGCAGAAGTGCGCACAGCCTGCGGAGATCTTCATGATAGCCATAAGAAAAGAGCAGGTCGGCCTCGTCGAGGATCATGAGCTTGAGTGTTTGGCGCACTTCTTTGGCCTGTGCCCCCACCCCGCAGAAAATTGAGGTGAGCTCAGATAGCCGTTGTGATGTTGCCTTGCCTGCCCGAACGAGCTTTGGGCATAGGGACAAACCTCATTTTGAATGTGTTGCAGTATCCGCGTGGGCGTGCCAACCAAGATTGGCGGCTTTGAGGCCGCCAGGCTCCTACCACGGGCGTGCAACAGATGAGAGAAAGAGATGAAAATAAAAACCAAAAATCAAAAACACAGCAACTAAAAAAAAAAAAAAAGCAGAGGAAATCAGGCGGTGCCTGCAAGCCGCGTGATCAAGACCGACTTGAGTTGCTTCTTGGACTGATTGGTGGCGAGGACGCCGACGTTGATGACATCAAGGCAGAATTTGGCCAGTTCCTGAGCGACATGGCGGCACACGGGCGGGTCAGGACGGCTAGCTCCTTGCGGCAGGAGCAACACAGAGCGGCCAACCGACATCTAGGCCACGTGCAGACCTTGATATTTTCTGTTACTTGGAAAGCCAACTCTTTGGTCGGGACCAAAACAATGCCAAGAACACCCTGTTCCTCATCCGTGGCCGAAAGCAGGACGTTGAGCAGAGGCACGGTATAGGCCCCAGTCTTGCCCGAGCCCGTGCGAGCGCGCGCCAGCACATCGCGACCATTCATCAGCTCGCGGATCGCATGTTGCTAGGCGAAGTAAACATGGGTAGACGTAACGTGGGCAAGTGTCGTGAGCAATGTGCAAATGCGCTTCTCATTCGCAAAACTGTGAGCGGCTACGCCGCCTTTTTGTCCAGAAGTGTTTTGACTTTTTCCTCGGGTTTGGGAGAGCAGCCCCACGTGGCCACGAGCGCGTCGGCAGCACAGCCGACGGAGTCAGACTGGGTCGTGACGCCTCTTCCCCGGAGCCAAGGTCCATGTGCACAATCTTTTCATCGTACCTGAATAAGGGTAGGTTTCCCCCAGCCCAAACGACCAATGGCCTTGAGCAGTCGACCATCCAGCCCAAAGTCGCCCCAGCCCATCGCGACGGTCCCAATGAAACCTGCGACCAACGCCAGCAAGAAAATGATGACAATGTGCTCGTTGTCACTTGTTTTTCTTCTGTGTGTGTGTCTCTCTCTCTTTCTTTTTTTTTTTTTTGTTGGCTCCTTCTTGGTTCCTTCTTGGGTCTCTTGTCGTTTTGGGGCCCGGTGCAGAGACCTTGCACATGTGTTCGGCTTTGAACGTGGTAATGGCATAGCAATGAACGGGCTGTGCCATGCCACGGCGGATGATCGTGCCGGTTGTTGATCAGAATAAAAGACTAATGCTGTAGTGGGACTAACATGACAAGCCAAAATCATGGCAATTGTACAAATAGGGGGTCTAAACCTCGCGACCGCAGGCCGCACATCAAAGCACCCAGAGACAGAGGAATGGGAGAGGCAAAAACACAAACACACGTCATAAACGATGCTCAACAAGATGCGTCCTTTGCTCGGCGTCTGTCGCAAAGGACGGGAGGGGAGAGATGCGGGTTGCATGGGCGCCACAACTCTTCGGGTCTGCGTGTCAGTCATCCAACTGCGTGCGTAGGCGTTGGCAGGCCAGGGAGGCTTTGTCAAAGGCAACAGTGGCGTCGCGAAAATTGGCATTGGCCAGCTCACGCGAGCCCTTGAGAAAGAACCTCGTCATGAGCTCCACCTGCTCGACAAACTGCTCATCGCTGGAGATCAGATTGAGGTCCTGAACATGAGGGCGAAGTTCCTCGGGAATCTTGATCGTGTGACCATGTCGGTTGAGCACCACTACAGGCTCCACCTTGACCTTGGCGCGATTAGCCTTGTTGTTTCCAACAGCACCCAGGACGGGGGTTGGGGCGGTCATCCATTTGGGCGGTCGTCCTCGCCGACCCGTCTTGATTGGTGGTTTATTAGCTTTGCCAGCCTTGCCATCCTTTCCAGCTGACACAGAGCGCAGGAGCGAAAGTGCTGAGAAAAGTCTGGTCGAGGCGGTGCCACATGGTTGGCAGAACGAGGTGGAGGGTATGGCTCACCATGAACGGTAATGTCGGAATCCAGCTTGGAGCGCTTGGCGGCCGGTGTTGCATCACCGTTGCGCTTTTTGGCCCTCGACCGCCGAGAAGAGCAGGGCGACCCAACAACAAAGGTTGGGTGCTAGTGATGACGCCCCTCGTATGCCAGTGAGAAGGCGCCAACGTTCAACATCAGTCGCGTCAGGGGATGCCCAGCCTGTCCGTGCATGCACTCACCCCACTCAACCAATTACGGAGATTGCGCGCGAGCGGTGCTTTGTTGCCATGTTGCTTGACCCCCGTGTCCTAAGCCAGAAAGTGATTGCCATGGTCAGCAGGCGAGCCACACAACGACCAGAGCCGGAAAACATCTTTTATCAAGCGCTCATCGAAAGAAAACGAGTGAAAGCGCGATCGCGCAGTGCGACAAGACTTAAGGAAAGAAGGCGAGAAGCAGACAAGCAGAGAAGGGGAGAAAGGGAGGAGAGGAGGAGAGGAGGGGGTGAAGAAACGTGGGTAGAGTAGGGCAGACAGGCATGACAGACCTTGCAGTAGACGTTGACACGCTCATCCACGTCCAGCTCGCACACCCGGCGATTGCCATAAAGCGTTTCACCCAGTTCGGTGTTGGCCAGCTGGCTCATGTCTCGCACCTTGGCATTTTTACGAGCGGCCTTGGATGCGTCCACCCTGGGTCATAAGGTACCACAATATGAAGGCAGCAAGGTCAGATTCCACTGCGGAATGCAACTCCGAACAGCTTCCACCAAGCGCGCGCGCTGCCGCCGAGAGACTCACCGGGTCCCGTCTTCCTCCATGTCTCTGGTTGCAAGGCTAAATAAAATACAGAATGAATTAAAAGCCAACTTGCCACAGAGTCACTCCTCAAAGGGTGGCTCTGCCCACGATGGCGTCTTCAAGCCTGGTCCCTGGCGCGTCGCTGCCGACCCAGTCAGCCCGTCCCGCATCCAGGGGCGATGTCGGCGTTCTGCTCCTGCACTGTAGAACTGGCAAGATCTCAGCCTCGGCTTCTATCTCTGCTCTCCCTGACTCAAGCCCTTGTATTTTTGCTGACAACGCGCTGCACGGTTCTACGCCTCTTCTTCAAGTTGGCTTCTCTTGTGTGTGTGTGTGTGTGTGCGTGCTTGCTCGTCTTTCGTCGTGGGGGCTTGGTGTTGGGGGTTCGGTGCATGCGCTCGTGACTGGTTTGCAAGTGCCTCATCAGAGGGAGCAGAGTGCATGGGGGCAAGCTGGGTGAACGGTGGTTCTTGAGCCACCTTCACACCGTCCCATCGTCCTCGCCTGCTTGTGTGCGAGGTCCGAAGTAGCCGCGAACAATTCAGTGAGACTCGTTCCGCTCAGCTCCTCGGCTTCTTCCGTCGCAGCGATGCCGCAGCGGGGCCTGGCCATGCGTCGTCGCACGACCAACGCCGTGCGTCGCCGTGTTCGGGCCCTCATTGAAGCCTGTGATGCTGATCCGGTGCGTTTCGGTTCTCTCCCCCTGCTGATAACATCGCCACTGCGTGGAGCCGAAGTTGTCAACTCATTGGCACCACAACCCCTGCGAGAACTGTCCGTTTTAGGTGGACGTACGCGCTCTACGGGCGCTGGCTACTGCCGAGAACGGCTTTTGCAACAATGTGACAAGGTCTCAAGTTTGGGCCCGCCTCGTTGGCGTCGATCCCTCGGTTCGCGGCTCCGTCACGGGTGCGTTTCACAGCACGAAAACAGGCGCTGCTTCAGCTGAAATGATCGGTGTTCACCCACTCCTCTCGCCTTGATTCAGATGTGGAAGTTGAGGACTCTGTTCGACGACAACTCGAGGTGGATGTGGCCCGCTCCCTGTGGAAATACCCAGACAACATCAATGCTGACCAGCGCGAGGTGCTGCGCACCCGCCTGCTGAATATCATGTTGAACATCTTGCACGAGTACCCGGATCTGCACTACTACCAAGGCTTCCATGACGTTACGGCTGTCATCATGCTAACCTGCAAAAATGACGCATTGACGCTTGCCATTATGCGGCGCCTCGTACGCTGCCATCTCAAAAGTCAGTGTTTATGGCGCGCAACTGTTTTGTCGATTCGCATCAGCGTGCTCCATTCTACCGGGCTTCCTCACGGGCGCGGGGCGTGCTCTCACTCCCCCCCCACCCCCACCCCCTCCTTTTTTTTTCGCCTAGATTATCTCTGTTCAACCATGCAACCCGTGATTCAGCAGCTGGAGTTGCTTCCTGTTCTACTGCAGCATCTGGATCCCGAGTTGAATAATTTTATCCAGCGGTAAGCAGAGATGCTACTGGTCTTGTTCTTCTTGCATCATTTGCACCCCCTCCCCTGTCCCCTAAACTTTCCTCCATGTTGAAGCTGGTTCGTGGAGCGCCCCTTGCATTGTGTAAAAAAGTCACATGCCTGTGCTGCCTCTGGTTGGCTTAGGGCGGGTGTGGAACCAACGTTTGCCGTGAGCTGGCTGATCACTTGGTTTGCACATGACATTGACGAACTGCCGCGAGTGCAACGCCTCTTTGACTTCTTGTTGAGCTGTCATCCTCTGGGCATTGTCTATCTCATCGCGGCGGTGGTTGATCTGCATCGCGAGTCCATCATGGCCCCGGATGAGATGATCACGGGCAGCGCTGATGACTTTCCTTTTGTCTACAAGCGCCTCACAACCCTTGGCCTCTTTGATGTAGAGCGTGCCATTCAGACCGCGCACAATCTAATGCACGAAGTGCCCGTTCAGCAACTATACCAGCAAGTCACATGGACACGCGCGACGCGCTATTTGCTTCAAGCCAGCGTCACGGCCCGCTACCAAAGCTTCATGGCCACCATTGTACATCAGCCTGCGCACAAAGCCTCGGCGGCCGACGAATTCGAGGATTACCGCGACGCACCCGCCTCTGGGCTTGGTGGCGTCTTTCGGCAATTGGCGCATGAAACACCTCGTATCCTTTTCTATCTGACGACGGCCGTGACCATGGCCTCCACCATGTATTTTGTTCAAACCGGCCAAGCGCCTCTCTAATCCATATCAGATCATCAAGCAGAAAACATCTGACATCAGCTGCAACGCACACATGAGAGAAAAAGAGAGAGAGAGAGAGAGAGAGAGACAGAGAGAGACACACACACAGAGAGAGACACAAAGAGAGAGAGAGAGAGACACACACACACACACAGAGATTGAATTGGTAGAGAGAGAGCCTGTGTGTGTGCATTTCAAGGGGTCGGGGTGCGTGCCTCCTGCTTGGTCTTGTTGCGGCGGATGGAAAGGGAACCGGGAGGGCGTTGAAGGGGGTGGGGTTGGAGGCGTTGACTGGCTGATTAGATTAGTTGGTGGCTGATTGGTTACATTGATTGGCTGGCAGGGTGTGATAGTGGGATTGTAGCTTGGCTTTCCGCGAAAGCATAAGCATGGCGAGCCACGAGGTTGAAGCTCCGTCACTGGCTGAGCTGGCGGAGCAGCCGGCGGAGCAGTCGGCGGAGCAGGCAGAGGCGACGGCAGAACAGGCAGAACAGGCAGAACAGGCGAAAACGGAACCAGGCAGCCGCGTGGCCAGGGGCGACAGTTTTGTGAATGCTGGATCTATCGCCAAGGATGAAGAGGTTTTGGACCGGCCAGGCCAAGTGTTGGTGGCAATTCGTGCTCGTCCCTTCCTGTCCAGGTGAGCACCTGGTCACTAGATGGATTTCAGCAGCACCGCCAAATCATTATCTCGCCTGGCATTCAAGGGGCACTCAGTGGCTGTGGCTCTCATATCCGTTCTTCTGCAGTGAGCTCTCCGAACAATCTCCACGCGTCGTTGACATGGAAGGCCACAAGACGCATGTTGCTACGTTGGTGCGTATTGGGCACGGATCCCTGTAGCCATCTTCCTAACATCTAGCGCTTGGGTCAACTCACGCCTTGAACCCCTTCAATTGGTCATTGGCTTCGACAGACTCCTGGCGGCGCGCCGGACGTAAAAGAGTACGTCCAATACCGCTGTCACGACTCAGTTGATGACAAGATGACAAACTGTGCTACCCAGCAAGATGTGTTTGATGGCATTGGTCATCAGGCCGTTCTCGCCGCCCTCGCTGGCTATAGTAAGTTTTTTTTTTTTTGTCAAGCCCACGATCATTGGCTTTGCTTTTGAGCGTCCTTCGCGTAGCGTAACCACCAAAGGGACCATCAGCGCTCACGGCTTGGCATGTGAATCACATGTAGATGTCTGCGTTTTTGCATACGGTCAAGTCGGTGCCGGCAAAACACACACGATGGTTGGGACGGAGGTAAGCACGTCAACGTGCTCTTTGCGAGGAATACCCCAAGCAGCCAATCATTTTCATCTTCTTCTGACCCGCAATCCTTCCATGCATTCGGTCATTGCCACGGCAGACCGAGCCAGGCTTAATCCCGCGCATAGCCCGAGCACTCTTTGATCATTGTGCTGCGACTCAAACTGAATTCTCCTGCGAGTTTTCCAGCTATGAACTCTACAACGAGCATGTTCAAGATCTGCTCAGCACCGACAAGGCCCAGCAAGCCCGCCTCCGGGTGCGAGAACATCCCAAGAAGGGGCCATTTGTTGAGGGCCTTTCCCACCATGCCATCACTGACATTGCTCATCTCGAGCAGCTTTTATGGCAAGGTGAGCTCTGCCCTTCCACCAGCATGAACTCGTTGCTCGTAGGGCATGCTCTTCCTGATGGCAATTTGTGCGGCACAGGACACGCGCGGCGCACGGTTGGAGACTCGCCCATTCACCCCACTTCGCATCGAGGTCATGCCATCTTTGACATTGCCTTCCGACAGGTCCGTTTCCACAACCGTCGTAGCCTTGCCCTTGCTGCCATGCCAGCCCCAACATCAAAGCCGCAGTTGCCTCCAGTTTGAAACCCAGGCTCATCCTGCATCGTGCGACATCACTAGTTCACCAATAGCAACGGCCTTTTGACTGAGCGCAGCAGTCGCGTGCAACTTGTGGACATGGCAGGCATTGAGCGCCTGTCCACCGCCGCCGGCAGCCACAGCGAGACACGCATCAAGGACAGCGGCACCACCAACAAATCTTTGACTGTGTTTGGTCAATGCCTCAAGGCGCTAGCCAACAAGGCCAAGGTCGCTGCTGCTTCTGCTGGAATGGACACCACAGACAGTCCTTCCGCTAGTCGACGCGGTTCTCTCAGGCGTTCAAGCTCCAATGCTGGCCGCATCGCGGTACGTTGTGCTGACGCGCATGTGAGGCATTTGAAATGGAAAAGAAGTGAGAACGAGAGTGAGAGCGAGAGCGAGTGTAAGGATGAGAGTGAGAGTGAGAGCGAACATGAGGACTGAACTTGGGCTGAGGGCCAGGTGGCCGGCGAAAAACAGCTTTGAAAACATAACAGAGGTGTGGCATGCTCGTGTGCGGTCGCAGGATGTCCACATTCCCTATCGTGATTCAAGTCTCACGTGGCTTCTCAAAGAGTCTTTGGGCGGCAACTCGCGCACATTCATGGTGGCGGCCATCAGTCCAGCCGAATGCAATAGGAAAGAAACCCTGTCCACGCTTTTATACGGTACGTGCCTTTCTCATGGGTGCTGCGGCTAGCTACGGTTCCAGGTGTGCAGGTTTGCTGACCCCGTGCCGTCTGGGCATGACCAATCGCCTGTTCTCTGTGCATCCAGCCGACCGAGCCAAGAAGATTGTTAATGCAGCTGTGGTCAATGAAGACCGGAACACCGCCGCCATGAAAGAGCTGGAGGACGAAATTGTTCGGTAGGTTTGTAGCCAGCCCTTTCCTGATTGGTTTTCCAGACTCTTGTCATCTCGGCATCGTCATCTTCAGAGCATCCCTCATCCATTGTTGACCCTCTTGCCTTCATTCAGGCTCAAAAAGGAACTAAAGAAGCAGAGCAGCAGTGGTGCTGCCAAGGCCGCTGCTGCAGTTGCCGTCACCCCACCCCCACAACCTTCAGTGCCCCACGAAACTAGGGGCACGCAGACAGATCCTGAACCGGAACCTGAGAAGGGCCCGGATCACGAGGTTGGCTGCTCACTCCGCCTGATGATTATTGACTCGCATTCGCCGCATATTTTAAGTCATTATGCACGCTTAAACAAATTCTAAGTCTCATGAAAGCATTGCGCTGCGTTCCATGACCAGGCCCGAGCCCTCGAACTGGGACAACAACTAGAGGCGGCCATGGCTGCTCGAGACCAATTGCAACAACAGTTAAGCGACGCACAAGATGCATCAACCAAGACCACGACGGTTTTGGAACAGCGCGCCAGCGATGCCGAGCAAGCGCTTCAAGAGGCTCAGGATCGGCTCTCGGCTCAAGAGACAGCACTCACGGCTGCCAATACAACGCGACAAGAGCTAGACGAAGCATTGCTTGCTGCTCGGGCTGAGGTGGAGAAGCTTGCGGGCGAAGTGGAGGCATTGCAGCAGGCCCAACAGTCAGCAGCCGGCGACGAAGCAGACACACAGGCTCGTCTTGCGTTTCTTGAACGCGAGGTTGCGAACCTTCAAGAGGCTCAACAGAAGGTTGCGCAGGCAGAAGAGGAGGCCCGCACACATGCCGAACAACTGCAAGAGGAGCTCGCACAGGCCAATGGTCGCGCTCAGGCAGCTGAGGAAAAAGTTCTTGGGCTGGAGACAGCGCTGAGCGAGGCGCAAGCTCAAGCAGCCAGTCTGGGGGATCAAGACGCACAGCGCAAGGATGAGCTGGCACAAATGCGCCGGCAGCTGACTGAGCAGCAGAGCGAGCTCAACCAGGTGACGGGACAGCTGCAAGAGCTTCAAGTCGCAGCCCAGTCGACAGCTGCTGACGAGCAAGCGGCCCATGGCGATGATCTGGCTGCGTGGCAGCAACGGTGCCAGCGTTTGGAAGAGCAATTGTACGAGGCACACGCGTTGGTAGACGAGTTGAAGCAACGCTTGCGCAAGCAGCGTGAATTCTTCCGTAAAAAGTTTCTCAGCCAGTGGGAGCCCAATACCACTCAGTGCACGAATTGTCAGCTACCCTTTAATAAGTTTAGCATCCGCCCGCACCACTGTCGCATCTGTGGCGAGGTATGTCCCCAATCCTCGAACACAACCTGCCCGTGTGGCACCTCAGCCGCAGAGTATTGAAGGCTTAGTTTGCTCGCACACCCTTCACACGCATGCGCTTACCGTAGGTATTTTGTACAAACTGCTGCGCCGACCGAGTCAAAACGACGGCTGCACGTAAACCCGTTCGGGCTTGTCAAGAATGTATGCAGTTTATGAACAAACTCATGCAGAATGACCCCATGCTAGATGAGATGTAAAGTTTTACAGTCATGAGGCGTTATGGGCACGTGGTTTGCATCGTTTTGTTGATTCATTGATTTGCTGACGATGGGCTCCAGCCAGCGCACAGGGCCAAGAGGGCGCTGCAAATTTAACAAGAGCCATCACCGTAACCCTCACCTTCGTGATGCTTCCAAGAAAAAGGGCAAAGGTTGGGATTTGCTGAAGAAAACGAGAAGGCAGCAAAGAGAGAGAAGAAAAAAAAATACAACAAGCTGATGGAAAGATTCACAACAAGTATAAAAAGTTACACAGCACAAATGAGGGAGGACCTAATCGAACAAGGGTAGCATGGATGAACTACGCCGTCGTTTCGTCATCAGCCGAGTCAGACTTGACATCGGCTTCTTTGTCAGATGCTTCTCCGTCCACCGCGGTTTCATCATCTGCCTGCGCCTCAGCTGCCTCGGCTGCCTCGGCTTCAGGTGTTTCAGCATCCGGTGCTTCAGCATCCGGTGCAGCTTCCACTGGAACATCGGCTTCGACGGCCTCGACAGCCTCTGCTTCTTCGTTGATGCTATTGGTGTCTTCGCCTTCATCCTTCGTCACAACCTCTTCAGACTCTTCAACTGCGGCCTCGGTCGATTCCGCCTGAGACTGGGTAGCACTGACCGGGTTTGAACACACACACACACACACACACACACACACACACACACACACACACACACACACACACACACACACACACACACACACACACACACACACACACACACACACACACACACACACACACACACACACACACACACACACACACACACACACAAAAAAAAGTTGCAATCTACGCACAGAGATCACCCAAGTTGCTGGGGGCCGGCTTGGCAGTGGTCTCGGCCTTCTCGCTGTCATCGCTGTCACTGTCGCTGCCACTATCACTATCACTATCACTGCCGCTATCACTTCCACTGCTATTTTCTTTTTCATCTGCAGAAGAGTCGCTAAATTCATCCGAAGAGACTTCGACGGCGGGTTTCTTCTTGGACCGGGCTTTCTCCACAGGTGCGTCATCGGCTGCAAAACAAAGGCAGGGTAGAGAAGGATGATGTGAACAAATAGCCAAAGGCAACAAGCGGAAATGGGAAGGGGTAGAGATGAGATAAGGCAGTAGGCCTGACAGCAATACTTTCAGCGTACCAGAATACTCGTCTGAGTCGCTGTCCGAGTCCGAGTCTGAGTCGCTATCGTCTGAGTCAGAATCGGATCCACTATCACTGCCACTGCCACTGCTGTCGCTGCTGTCCGAGTCGCTGTCCGTATCGGAATCTGAGGCCGAAGGTTCCTCAAAGAAGGCACCTCGCGTGTCGGTGTAGGTTTCCTCGACAACCTTCTCATCGACATCTCGCACAGACGGGTCAGGCGCCTCCATGGGAAAATCAGGCAGGGGCTCCCAGCCATTCACTTCCTGATTGAGCACATGTGACATGGTGCCAATCTGGTAGCGGTTGCGATCGTCAAAGGTCGTCTTGAGGTTGGGCGCAGGCTTTTCGCTCAGGAAAAACTTTTTTGACTTGCGATGCAAGCGGGTGTCCTTCACCAAGAGAAGGCCCCGAATGACACGGGCACGATCACGAATGTCATAGTTCATGTCGTATTTGGCCATGTTCAAAATGTATTGAGTCAGCAGCTTGGTTTGCTTGCTGTTTGTGACGTAGAGCTTGGAAGCCAGGTTCAAGATTTGCAACTTGACGATGGGCTCTTCCGAAGCAAACGTCTGCGCCATCTGTCGCAAGACATCGGGTGCAATCTTGGGAACATGGCTGCTGTACTCGCCAATGAGCCACAGAATGCTAGCTTTGGCCATGGGTACTTTCATCTGCGGGAACCAATTCAAAGGCGGATTGAGCGGGCCAACGACACTCGGGCGACTTAGGGCCGAAATCTCATGACGTGTTGTGCATACGTACCGAGCTAGCCATCTTGGACATCATAATGATGATTTCTTTGTGAGCTTCGGGGTTGAGTTGCAAAAGTTTCTTGATGACGACCACTGACTCGGCGACGACTGCCTCATCGCGGTTCTTCATCAAGGCCATGAGGCCCGTGAGACAAGACTCAGTCACGTTGGTCAGCGTGGAAGCGCAGCGACCGATGCATTGAATGGTTTGCGTCACAAACTCGCGGTTGGGATGCTTGACGTATTCCTGGAACTCGCGCAGGATGGGGCTAATGTTGCTCTCATTGGCCAGAATGGTCAGGATTTCAAGCTTCAGAAGACGCACGCATTGTGGGTCGAGATGTTGGACAAAAAATGAGGTCAAGAATGGCTCGAACATGCCGCGGCGGGTGGAAACCATGCTGGCAATGGCCGTCAAGGTGATGTACTGCGCCTCGCGACCACACTTGAGAAGACGAATCATGGGCTTGGCCACGATGCTAATCTCTGAGTGTGGTGCAAGGTAGTAGTAGGCTTGTGCAATGGCCATGATGACACCTGGTATCGATGCGGAGGCGGTCAAAGCCGACACGAACAAGTGAGCTTGGTGCATGACCAAATGCGAGTCAGACGGTCAAGGCGGTTAAGGCGGCTGTGGGTTTTATGACAGAGAATAACGTACTCGCATTGCGGGACATCAGCAGCGGTTGAATTGAGCGCAAGAAGAGACGGTGATCCGGATCCATGACATAAGTCTTCTTCTTTTTGCCCTGCACGATAGAAGTGCAACGGACCAAGCAGTCAAGTGAGAAATACAAGCCAAAAGGGGAGGGAAAGATAATCAATAACATAAAAATAAAGAATACAATAAGAAGAATTCTGACTGGGGGTCGACCACCGGACCACGCCTCTCATCAGGCGATTGTAACGCAGCAGCAACAAGGAAAAAGAAGGTTGTACGTACATCGCCAGAATCATCGTCATCGTCGTCATCATCCGAGTCTTCGGATTCCTCCTCGTCCTCATCGCCTGCCGGTGCGAACAGTCGCATTCGGATTGTAAGACAATCAATCGGTGGTCGGATAAGCCAAGAAGAGTCAAATGTATCAAGTCATGAGCAAAGACAGGGCTGACCGTAGAAGCCCCCGGCATCCAACGAAGTTTCGGCATGACCCTGATTGGGGTCGGTGAATTGAGTGCGGGCATAGCGCACGAGTAGGTTGATGATGGCGGCTTGGCCCCACTCATCAATGTCCAAGAGGGTGTTGCACAGCTTGCGGTAATGGCGGTGGATCAAATCCAGGCGTTCAGGACAGATCTCCTCAAAAGCCATGATGACGGAGCCCAGGACCATGGTGGTACGATCGCAAAGCAGCTTCTCGATAATATCCACAATTGAATCCTTCTCATGTGGGGCAAGTCTGCTCAGGCAAAAGGCGATCAAAGGCAGCGTATGAGCCATGACAATGTGCCAATGTCAAAACACTGGGGTAAGGCGAGCCTATAGGCTCGGGTCGACCTACTCGAAAAGCTTGGGCAGTGCGTGGGCCGCCGTTTTGCGGACATAGGGAGACATGTCACTAGCCGCCTGAAGAGAAGGGAGAGAAAAAAAAAAAAGGAAAAAAAAAGGTTCACGTGGCGTTGGAAGGTTGGTCAGCGTTGATGTGCCAATTTTGAGTCGACGGCAAACGATCAAGTCTGCCCGACACCGCACCTGCTTGAGAGCAATCTCCATGATGGGCACAATGTCAGGTACGCGAATGGAGGAAAGAACACGCAGAGCGCTGGCTCGAATCAGCTGGTTGGGATCCTTAAACATGAATGCAAGTTTGAGAGTTTGTGAGTACACACGCAAGACTTAACGAGCAACAACAACATCAACAACAACATCAACAGTAAAACACGAGTGACATACTGCGAGACCCTTTTGAAAGGTGGCAACAGAGAGGAGGGCCAGGTCGGGCACATCTTCGGCGTAGCGAACGAGATACATGTACACAAGCTTTTTGAGCTCCATGTTCTTGGTCACTACGCATTTGACGACAGAGGAGAAGAGCTCCGACTGGTCATTGCCCTGTGCCATCTCCTGAATCACCACCTTCATGGTGCGAAGCTTGTCGGCATCCTTGCCGATGTCCAAGATCTGTGCAGGATCATTGGTACCCCTAGAGGAAATAACTGCACTGTGAGCTCGCGGGTACCAAGATACGAACAGCGATGATGCCTTAGCCAACACTGGCTCGCGCTTCCAGCTGTTGATGTGTGTGGGTGGAAAAGCTGGGAAGAACGCACTTGCGAAAGATTCCCCGTTGGGCCGAAGATGGGGCATACGACATGCCGCCGCTTGTGCCCGTCACCTGCAGATGCGTAAAAAATGCCACAAAGAGTGATGCAGCGACGCAAAAACTGCCACGACAGCAGAGCGGCAACAAGAGGACAGCACTGATAGGCAGCGTATGGCCATGGAGCGATCCTTTAAGCATACCAGCTCGCCGCGATCGTTGAAGGAGTCAGAGCCGAAGCCCTCAGCACCCATCATTGAGTTGCTTGAATGTTCTGTGGAGGTTTATGCAGCGATGTGAGTCAAGACCAAAGGGGCGAGCGGGATCGCGAGAGGGAGGGAGGAAGAGAGGGAGAGAGGCTGCGCCGAGCAATGCAGCTGGGAAATCCATCGACAAGAACACTGACCGTATGACATGGCGCTGGTTCTGAGAAACACTAAGGACGAGGGGGATTGCAAGGCGCTGGTGTGAGTGCTCCAGTGCTCCATAAAGTTCACGGCACACATTTGCGCAGTTCTGGGATCGAGACAGTTACCAGATAGAGCAGCCCCATACCAGGTTCTGGCAATGGCTGCCACGCCAAGCAGGACTTACCTCAAACTCTAGAGCGTGCTGCAGCGGAATGCCAAGAGAGAGCTGAGCTGCTCAGCCTTTCACCAATGCCGGCTGCCACCCGTCGACCGCCGCCAGACGAGAGAGACAGAGAGAGAGAGAGAGAGAGAATGACACTGAAACACAACAAATCGTGTGAAGAGAGAGAGAGAGAGAGAGAGAGAGAGAGAGAGAGAGAGAGAGAGAGAGATGATGTTGCCGTTTTCTTTTGTTCTGTGGGTCCCTCCCACTGCGGCCGCTACCAGATGAGACTGGGACTCCACTCTCGCAAGGACGAGCTAATAATAGGCTACTCTGGTTTCGCTATTGTTGTACGCCGGTTATTGTACCTGAAAACCATTCGCGATCCCGCGAAAGCATAGCCCTTGTCACTCCTTTCGCCTACTCAGCAGCAGGCGAAATCAGTCGTAATTTCACTTTTCTTTGCCGAACAAGCCGTTACAACATTTTTTTTTTTTTTTTTTTTTTTTTTTTGGCGCTGCGCTTGAGGATTCATACTGTCGTGTGCTGGCCCTAAGGCCTCTAGCCACGGGCTATTTGATGCGACTATCAAAGTCGCAGACATTACACCTCGCGTCGTTGGTGGGTCTGCCAGCCTGCGCTCTGCTAAGTATTGCTGGCGCGCGCAGGCGCGCGCTCGCGACCACTCGCCCGCTGCCCACCGAGCATGAGCCACCTCGAGCTCGGGGCCGGTGGAGGGCGGGGGGATGCCAATGGTCCTTCCGCCTCAGAAACTGGCCAGTCGCCACATCATCAGACTCATTTTCCCGCACCCTCCGTCTCGAGTGAAGAAGCCGACGAGGCCAGGCGCTTTGTGGATGCCATTGGCGCCTTCCTTCGCCCGACCAGCGACGATGCACAGCAAAAGGCTCACGAACACTTACTGCGCTTTCGCAAACAGCGCTTCGCCTGGCGCGTCTGTCAGCTGGTGGCGCGTACCCCAGCTATGTTAGAAAGCGACGTGCTGCACTTTGCGCTCCAAACGTTGGTGCAACTTGCCATGCGGGGCAAGTGGCAACAACAAGCAGATGCCTGGTCCTCAGATGCAACTGCGCTGCTGCCCCTCGCTGCCCAACTCCAGAGTGATGTCCTGCAGCGTCACGTTATGCGAGCTATCACGGCTCTTTGGTTGCGCCATGGACACATTGAAACCCTCTATGCCGATCTAGAGGCGCTTCATGCACACATTGGTGGTGTGCCCGCCTCCGAATCGCAGCGGCGCTTTCTATGGTTTTACCTCCTTGAATCACTCCCCGAACTCGTCGCGAACAAGTTGCTGATGGTCGCACCCCAACGCCGCACAGCACTTCAAAATGCCCTGCGAGAAAGTATTGCCACTTTAGTTTTCTCCGAGCTGATGGCATGCCTGGATCACGAGTCTGTACCTCTGCAGCTCATCTGTGGTGTCGCTCGCGCATGGATCGAGGGAGTGGGCGTTGCTTGGGAGGCCATGCAGCATCTGCTCGGACGCCTGGCCAATGGGCTGCATACAATCTTGCCCCTCGACACCAGTCAAGAGACGCTTCAGATTGTGGTCGAGGTTTTTGTCGCCGTGCTTGAGAGCAACTCGACTGTTGAAGTCGTGGGCACGTTCATGGCCAGTGTGATCGGCTTTCCCACCGCTGCTGCTCAGCCGGCGCTTGTACATCTTGCGACCACCTGTGGGCGACGTGCTCTGATCTTTCTTGAAGACCCCCGTCTCCTTGATCTCTGGCCACCGCTGTTGCAAATCATCATCACAGCTACCCAGGCCCGCGAGCTTTCTGTCTCGTCGGCCTGCCTTGACTTTTGGGAAGTTTTTGCGCTTGAGCTGAAGGGCGATCAGTGTCAGCGATTTGAACCCGTTCTTCAGTCCGTCTTTGCAGCCATCCTGGCAGCCTGCGAGTACCCATCAGACATTTTGGAGCGGGACCACATGTTTCAAGACGAGTTCACTGATGTGCGCGAGCAGGGCCGCGCAGCTCTCCGCGCTACCATCAAAGCCAATCCCGGTGAGTTACGCGCCAAATAGCTGAAAAAAACAAAAACAAAAACAAAAAAAAAAAAAACGAGGTTAAGCGATGAGCCCTGGCGACGAGTTTTGGAGTCAAAACTTGTTTTGCAAGGCAGCCCTATAATACTGCTGTTTGAGGGTCGGGGTTTTTGTTCTTGTCAAATGCGTGAGTTCATCCTTGCTCACCTCCGGCGTACGTCCATTCCCATTCCAGGTATTGCGTCGTGGTTTGCCCAACATCTCCGGCATGAACTCGGCACGGCGCTTGCTGCAATCGAAGCGGGTGATGATGCCTGGTCCTTGGTCACGATCCTTCATCTTGAGGGGCTTTTGCATGCGCTGAGCGCTTGTTGCAAACTAGTCTTCCCCACCAACACCACCAGTGATGTACAAACCTGCCCACCTGAAGTCGCCCAAGAACTCTGCGCAGCTACTCTTCGTTTGCCCCTTCATCCCTGTCTGCAGCGCACACTCGTGCTAGCGTTGGGCATGATTTGGCCCTGGCTTGCGCACTATCCTGCCCTTTACGTGGACGTGGGCCGGCACTGCATCCAAACCCTCGCTCTGCCGGAAGAGGATGCCAACTTTCCCATGCGTCTTATGGAGGATCACGTAGCCAGTGTGGCTCTGCTCAAGTTGGTCCAAGGTCCGGATGCGGGTGCCATTTTTGTGGATCTTTTCCACGCCTGGCAACAGCAGGCTGCGCGACCCACCATGGCTGAAGCCAGTCGCCGCCTACTCGTACAGGCGTGTGTCCAAGCTGCTTTACGAGCCTCTCAGCCCGAAGAGCCCTGCATGACCCTCTTGACGGCCCTCGTCGAACGTGCCAGTGAAGTCGTTCAAGCCCACGATTTGCTGGGGCCAGCCGCCTGGGCAGATATCGACACCGCCCAGGAACTGAGCGCCATTCTCGCTGAGTTGGTGGCTGCCGTTCGCGGCATCCACTTGCCAGCCGCAGCAGCTTTTATGAGCGATCTCTTTCGTGGTCCGCACTTTATCCTGGCTCTCCTCTTTGGCGGCCCCAACAGTGGACCCTGTCAGCTTTCAGAAATACTCGATCAGCTTCAGGAGCTGGCTTTTGCCACCCTGGGCATCATTTCTCCGCCTTCTGCCTCGACTCTTTCAGCCGTGCTCCAGCGTTTCTGGCTCTATTTTGCGCGCATCAACTTCACCTCAGCCCCATGCCTGCGCGTCATTGCTGAGTGCATTGATCAAGGCGCCCTTCACCACGAAGGCCTTGATGCACCTCTGCATGAGCTGCTTGCACTTTTGCGCAACCGCGAAGGGTTGGTGCAAGCGTACGCAGATGCCGGGCCCGACACGGTTGAGGCTCTATTTTGCCTCTTTCAGACCGTGGCGCGCACTCACCCCCAATATCTTCTCCACCAACCTGAGCTCGCCATTGACCTTCTTATTCACCACTTTCTCGGGCCTACGTTTACTGCCGTGTTGCAACACCGTCCCGTCATTTCTGCGGCTCTGGGCTACGTGGAGGCGTGCGCGGCACGAAGCCCGGAAGGCAGCCCCTCTATTTTCGATGTGGCTCTTGAGCATCGTCCTACTGCCATTGCAGAGATTGTGGCCACTCTTCTGTCTGCCCTCTGTCTCATCTTCCCAAGCCACATGCTTGAGGATACGGTTGCCACGTTTCGTCGATTGATGCAGCCTTACTCGCTCGAGCGCGTGGGCGAATGGGTCGCATGGGCCATCAATCAACCGGCTTTTCCACGCTACTCTGTGAGCGCTACGGCCAAGCAAATATTTGCGCAGGAAGTTGTTCAAGCCTTACAGCAGCCTGCCTCATCGCGCCTCAAGGGCACAATCAAGCAGTTTTGCGGCGGCAAGAAAAAGGGCACTTCAGGTACGCCTTCCCGGACCACCTCAGCCGAGAGGGCTTATTCGGTCTAAATCATGTTGTTGCAATCACGTTGTGCTGACCAGCGTGTACTCTAATCAGTCAATTCAAAGCGAGCGACCCGTGCCTGGTTAACTCGCACCAAAATTCATATCAATCTCAGATGTGAGGCCTTCAAAGTGCCCGAAATCGAGGGGCTCCGAGAAAATCCCACGCGCGTGCATCATTGCATGAGCATCGGATAAGAAAAAAACATCCACAACAGGTGAGACCGAGCACCATACACGCTACATAAAATCAGTCGGTGACGACAACGCATGTAGGTCACACGCTTGTTTTGCACGGGCACTTTCAGGAGAAGAGAAACGAAAGATCAAAAAGTCGAAACGAAAACACGCATCACACCACACGAGACATGTCAAGAGATTGATGATGCCCGCTCGCAGTTCCAGCGTTGACTTATGCCTGCAGCGGATTCAAATAAAGGGGCTGTGGGGCGGGGCGCGCGAAGGCACGCCGAGGAGCTGGGGGTGCCTCCTCTGAGGGGTGAGTATCTGGCAAAAAAGTCACTGCGCTTTGTTGACTAGAGAAAAAGCAGGCAACATGCGACACAGCGAAAGCAGAGTGAGCTTGGTCACAAAGTGTGCAGACAACAAGCAGGTTCGCTCAGCGGTAGCCAGAGAGAAGACGAAGTGGACTGGGAGCAGGCGCGCAGACATACCGCTTCTTGCGCACTACCACCATAGCGGTGGCCACAATGACGAGAATGACGCAGACAATGACGACGGCCGCCATGACGCTTGCGCTCACTGCCGCAGTGGAGGCGCTGTCTGCAGAGCCTGCACTGGTGTCGCCACTGGCCCCATTTTGGTCGTCGTCTGTAGAATAAGACTCCCAACCGACAAATGTATCCAATACCTGTTGGTTTTCTGCACCTGCATCTTGGGCATTATCCGCAGCGCATTTATCGCTCGAGGCATTGAATGTTGAGGGGTCGCAGAAGCCCCACTCGTAGTCGCGATCAAGGTTGTCGGTGGTGGCACACCAGAAGCTGGCCAAGCTGCCCGCACACGTACATTCCGTGTAGGATACACCGTTGTACAGGAAGGGGAACACGCACTCTCGACGTGTGCCTGGGTTTCCAGTGCCCGCAATGGTGTACACACCAGAAGATGGGTACGCAGTGGACGTAGCTTGCTGTTGGTTGGCGACGGCTAGGGACACACCATTGGCGAAATCGGTACCAATGGCCAGCAAAATAGAGTCTGGGTAGCTGGTGTCCACCGTGATGAACAAAGTTTCCTCGTCAGCGTTGTACTTGACACCCGAGGTGATGCGTTGGTGCTGCGATGAAGCCAGGGTCGTGGGTGAGTGCAGGGATCAGGGATAAGGGGCAGTGGCAGGGCATGCAAGCTCAATGATGCGGGGGCATTGCAAGGTCACGTACAGTGTTGTTATTGTAGACGAAGACCTCGGCCGCCACAGTGGGTGCCAATTCAAATGCATATGTCTACAGATGAGCGTGTTGCAGAGTTGGAGTGGTAATGATTGAGATCAAAGGAAAGAATCAACGTGTGGCAAGCGGGTTTGGGGTAACTGACTTCGTTGACAACCAGGGCGTTGGAATAGTTCAGCTCAAGCTGGCCGTTGTTGGAAAAAAGAGTGAGCTCTGCAAGCAAGAAGCGATGTGAGAAAGAGGATTTTTTTTTTATTTGACGACCGGTTTGACAAGTTTGAGGTAGCACTGTCTTACCTTCAAGCACGCAGTTTCCATAGCTGGTTGATGATTGTCCATTAAAGGCAGGGCCCGTGGAACACCAGAAAAGAGCACGATTGTCAGGATCCTTGGTGCACGTTTCGTACGTCTTGCCTTGGAACGTGAATGGGAAATAGCAGTCGGCACCTCCACCGTTTCCTCCGGTGGTCTGAATTATGGGGAATGATACACCTGTAGTAGTGGTGGTGGCGGTAGTAGTAGTAGTAGTGGTGGTGGCGGCAGTAGTAGTGGTGGTGGCGGTCGTAGTAGTGGTGGTGGTAGCGGTGGTGGTGGAAGTCGATGGAGAGTCGGTGGTGATCGTAGTGGTCAAGGATCCGTCTGTCGTAGAAGTGGATGGGATATTTGTGACAACACTGGGTGCGGATGTGGAAGGAGCAGCTGTGGAAGTGGTCGTTGGCATTGGCGTCGTAGTCTGGCTGGTGGTAGGGGTAGTGGTAGGGGTAGTGGTAGGGGTAGTGGTAGGGGTAGTGGTAGGGGTAGTGGTAGGGGTAGTGGTAGGGGTAGTGGTAGGGGTAGTGGTAGTGGTAGTGGTAGGGGTAGGGGTAGGGGTAGTGGTAGTGGTAGTGGTAGTGGTAGGGGTTGTAGTCGTGGCAGGGCTCGTCTGACTGGTGGTGGCAGTGATGGTAGGTGTGGTGACTACAGTAGTTGTGATCGTGGCCTGTGCGGTAGTGACAGGCAGTAGCGTAGAAGAAGCACCTGTATTGGCGCCAGTGACGAATGGCCCAGCAGTGGTCCATGGCAGCTCCCCGGAACCAGAGGTGACAGACGCCAGGTCATCAGTGCCAAAGTCAAAGGTATAGCTAGGACTCATGCCTTCCATTGACATGGTTGTTTGTATAGCATCCAGCACACGACGACCTTCCTGCTCAAACTCGCTTTCAATCTGAAAGTAGACGGTAGTAGTGGTCACATGGACGCTATCAGAGGCCTGGACCTCGAGTACATACAATGAGCTGTCCACCGTTGCCAGGGGCCGGTTCAAATAGACACGGCCATCATACGGCGCAATGCCAAACATGCCTTGGCAGTTGCCACCCGAGATACGATGGGTCACCGTTCCTGGTGTCAAGTCAACATCTTCGGCACGCACTGTCGCCACGACGTCATGCACCTCGGCAGAACGCCGAATGGTGTGACCCAGCAATGCGCAAGGAAAATAAGGCGCATTGTCGTTCACGTCCTTCACGCTGATGAGCAGTTGAGCATCGGTGTAGCGGGGCGTGGATACGCCGTTGTCATACGCTCGCACTGTCACGGCGTACGAGGGCATTGCCTCGCGATCCAAGGGAACGAGCGTGCTCACTACACCCGAGTTGCTATTGATGCCGAACAAATCCGTGTGAGAGATTAGCTCGTAGCGTGCGATGCTTCCACCATTAACTACGTCAGCATCCGAGGCCATGACCTGGGCGATAATGCCTGGTGCAGCATTTTCATAGACATTAGCTTGGAGAGAGCTCATCTCAAAGATGGGCGAGTTGTCGTTCTCGTCAACCACATTGACGCGGATGACCACTGTACTGGAAAGAGTTGGTGTGCCATCATCTGTCACTCGCACGGTAACTTCATGTTGCACGCTGGTCTCATAGTCAATCAATGTGGCCAGTCGCAAAGAGCCGTCCACATCCACAGACAGCACAGCACCGCTGGCGTTGTCCACGGAATAAGTCAAGTTGTTCTGATAATCAGCATCAGTGGCCGTAACTTGAAGGTTGATGAGCGCTCCCACCGCCGTGTTCTCAGACACCGAGACGGCATATGTAGATGAATCAAACTGGGGGGCGTTATCATTCACATCCATAACCTGCACAGTGACCTGAGCGGTCGAGAGAAGACCACCCATATCCGTCGCCACCAAGGTCAAAGTCAAGATCCGGGGGTTGGCAGTCACCACATCGCGGTCCAAGACGCCAACTGCTGTGCTCACGACAAGCGAGCCGTTGGCAATAGTAAAGTAAGGCGAAGCGGCAGATGACTGAATGCTCAGCGTAAAGACATCATGAGGAGGGCTATCCGCATCGGTCACAGCCGGCACTAGCAGCACCAGGCCATCAACGGCGTTCTCTTCAACTTGGACCACATAGTCAGCCTGACCAAACAGCGGAGCATTGTCGTTGACATCGTGTACGATGATGGTGACTGAAGTATTGGTGGCAACCATGCCGCCGTCGACAGCTGTGATGATCACGGTGTAGGAGGATACCGCTTCATAGTCCAATGGGGCCACAAGCCAGATTGTGCCTTGTGCGTCCACAACAAACGGCGCACCGTCAGCAGAATACAAGATGTAGTTGACGACAGTGCCGTACGCACCAGAGTCTGCATCTGTTGCCATGACCGTGCCCACCACGGTAGAAACAGTTGCATCTTCGTCAATGTCAAAAGAGTAAGGGGCGGCCACGTAAACAGGGGCATTGTCATTGACGTCAGAAATGGCCAGCGAAAAGTTGGCATTCGTCGCCTGGTTGCCCACATCGGTGGCTGTAACTACAAACTCAACAGTCTGCACAAGCTCGTAATCAAATGCGTAGCCCGCACGAAGATAGACCACACCCGAGTCGTTGATAGCCAAATATCCTGCGAAGGTCGGGTCGCGAGGCTCAATGCTATAGGTGACAGCTGCAAGCCCATCGGCATCGGCGTCAGTCGCCCAGACCTGGCCGACCACGAGGGCCGTGGTGGAGTTTTCGACAACATCGCCCGAGTATGACGTTGCATCAAAGATGGGAAAGTTGTCATTCACATCGTCGACTTGCACAGTGAGCGTGAAAAAGGCATTGGGAGTCTCAGCACCTTGGTCCGATGCACCGATGACTACAATAACAGATGAAGCAGCTTCATAGTCCAGGCCCTGGACAAGGCTCACCTCGCCCGAGGTGCTGTTGATGGCAAAGTGCGAGCTGGCGTTGTACAAGAAATAGACGAGCGTAGCAAAGGGCGAGGTGTCAGCATCGGTGGCCGACACCTGGAAAATGACGACATCAGCCGTGTTTTCGGTCACCAGCACCTGGTCGAAGCTGGGATTGAAAACTGGGGCATTGTCGTTGATGTCACGAATAAGTACGACGACCTGTGTCGTCGTCGAGAGGGCCGGACTGCCTCCATCTGTGGCCATCACATCAAACTCGACGTATGTTGTCTGCTCGCGATCGAATGGCACGACCAGGGTGATGTTGCCATTCTGGTCAATGTTGAAGTGGCTTGCATTGGCAGAAGGCACGAGGCTGTATGTAATCATGGCATTGATACCCGAGTCGGCATCCGTGGCAGACAGATGATAAACAAGTCCAGTCTGGCCCTCCAGAACTTCAAAGGGATAGGCTGACTGTGCAAAGCTTGGGGCATTGTCGTTAACGTCAGTCACCGTGATGGTGATGTTGAGCAAAGTGCTCAAGGCGGGGGAGCCTAGATCTTCAGCCTTGACCACCAGAGAATAGGTGGTTGACTGCGTTTCGTAGTCGAGAGCTGAGGCCAGCGTGATGGTGCCTGACAGAGCATTGAGGCTAAACCGACCGCTGCTGCCGACGAAGCTAAAACGCACACGCCCGGCGTCGTCCAGGTCAGCATCTGTTGCGGAGACAGAGCCGAGTGTCACACCCACGGTGGAGTTTTCAGCAATGCTAAAGCTGCTGCTCTGGTTGCTGACGAAGAGGGGTGCGTTGTCGTTGCGATCGGTGATTGTGATAGTCAGCGTTGTACTGTTAGTTCGTGGAACAACACCGCCATCTCGCACAGTAATCACAATCGTGAAGCTGTCGTACAACTCGCGATCCAAACTGCCCTGGGTCGTAATAACGCCCGTTTGCGGGTCGATCTGGAAAACGCCCGAGGCCGCTGCCGTAAACCCGGTGGCCGTTTCAAACGCCAAGGCACTGGTAATGGAGTAGCTCAAAACGCCAAAGCCCGAGGCGATGGCATCGGCATCAGATGCCTGAATCGTAGTGACAAGAACACCCGAGGCCGTGTTCTCTGCAATGGATGCAGAGCTGGTCGCCGCGACTTGAGGCCCATTGTCGTTGATGTCATTGACATTGATGGTGATGTTTTGAGTGCCGACAGGGTCCGATAGAGCCGCTGCGTTGGAGGCAATCACTTGGAGGGTGTACGACGCCTGTTGCTCGCGATCAAGTCGGGCCGCAACGGTGATGTTACCCGAATCGGTATCAACGACAAAAAAGTTGGCATCAGCGCCACGCAGACCATAATAAACACGTGCATTGAGTCCAATATCGGCGTCGGTGGCTTGGGCCTGCATGACAAAAGTGCCAGGCGCCACTTCCTCATCAATGGCCATGCTGGCAGAGCTCTGGGCAAAGACAGGCACGTTGTCATTGATATCATCAACAATATACCGCACTTCAGTTGTATCATACAAGCCACCAGCATCGCGGGCGCGCACCGTGATGGTGAGCTCACCCGGGTACGTCTCGCGGTCAAGCGGGGACGTCGCGAGCATGATGGTTCCAGATTGATCAATGGTCCATTGACCCGTGACATCACCCACGATATCATAGGTGATGGCGTTGTTAGCCGAGGTCTTGTCGGCGTCGTAGGCAGTGACCTGGATCAGAGTGGTGCCAGCCGATGCACTCTCAGAGATGGCGGTAGCATTGTATCCACCAGGTTGAAACTGCGGAGCGTTGTCGTTCACGTCAGACACGATGATTTGGACCGTAACCTGTGTGCTGAGAACAAATGGGGTGGCGCTATCGGACGCGCGGATGCGCAGTTGATAACCACCAGCCGGCGCTGTCTCTGCGTCAAGTTTACGGGCCAGGCGAATGACACCTGTGGCGCTGTTGAGAGTAAAGAAGCCAGCCGAGTTACCTGAGATGATGGTATACCCAGAGATCGTACCCGCTGGCGTGCCCGCCACATCAGCATCAGTGGCGCTCACTGTTAGCACGGTCGTGCCGATGGCTGCACTCTCTGGCACAGTGGTGGAATATGGGGATTGGCTAAAAACGGGTGCATTATCATTGACATCAATGACGGTCACCGTATATGTGGCCGTGGCCGTGCGATTGCCGCTATCGGATACGCGAATGGTGACTGCGTATTCGGCGTTGGTCGGCCCAAAAGCCTCGCGGTCAATGCGGTTCGTGGGGGAGGTTCGCACAACACCCTGGTCATTGATGACAAATACGTCATCATCCGGGACGATGGACACGATATCGTAGGTGAGTTGATCCACATCCACAAGGTCTGGGTCTGAAGCTTCAACAGTAAACACGGCAAAGTTGGTCAGCTCCTCGGCAACGCTGTACGAGAAACTCTGCGTGGGCTCGAACACCGGATCATTGTCATTAACGTCGGTGAATGTGATTGTCAGTGTAAAGACGTTGCTGGTGAGGGTTGGAGAGCCTGAATCAAGAGCCCGGAGCGTGAGAACAAAGGGCTGGGCGCCACGAGTCTCGAAATCCACAGCAGCCTCCAGAACCACCTTGCCCGTCGACTGCTCTACACTGAACACGCTGGTGTCCGCGGAAATGAGCTCGTAGGTGACAACATTGTTAACCACGGTAGCGTCGTCATCAAAGGCCTGGAGGTCATACACCTCAGCGCCCGGGGACGTGGCTTCGGAAAGCGACAGGGCAGTCCCGTTGGAAAGAAAGTAAGGTGCATTGTCGTTAGCATCCAAAACGTTGACAGAAACCGAGGCTTGCGCACTGCGCGATGGGTGGCCACCATCCGTGACCTGAATGACAAAACTGAGAGACACGCTTGCCTCACGGTCGATGAGATCAGCACTCAAGGTCACAGCACCTGTGGTTGGGTGCACGCTGAAATGGCCGGCGTCCGCGCCGGGCAGCAGGGTGTAAGTCAGCTGGGCGTTGATGCCTGCATCAATATCCGTGGCAGACACGGTGATGACAGGGGTACCCTGAGCCGAATTCTCTGCCACCGGGGCAGCAACATAGTTGGCTTGCGTGAAAATTGGTGTGTTATCATTGATATCCCCAATGCTCACGTGCACGGTGCTGCGAGATTCAAGTCCAAACTGATCGGCGGCACGGAAAACAAGGGAGTATGCGCTCTTGTTTTCGCGATCGAGTGGGGCAATAACCGCTACGAGACCAGTGTTGCTGTCGACCCCAAAGTGGCCGAAGCCACCCGAGATGAGCGTGTAAGTGACCACTGCATCGGTATCGGTGTCAATGGCCACCACATAGCCGAGCTCGTAACCCGTTGAAACGTTCTCAACGACCGTCGTGTTGCCAAGGGAGGAGGGGGTAAAAACGGGCGGAACCTCGTTTTGATTGGTCAAGAAAACGGTGAAGGTCAGCATCGCCTCAAAACGGCCATCAGAAACGGTTACATTGAAACGGTGCGACTCGTGCGTTTCGTAGTCGAGAGGCGAGGCGACAGTAAGAACACCATGGCTGAGTGCAAAGCGGGAGCTATTGCCAACCAAGCCTGTAGTAGTAGGCAGATCAATCAGGCTCCAAGTGAGACTTGTTGAGCCCACGTCCTTGTCCGTGACAAGAAATGACATCACGTGGCTGCCCACGGCCAACGACTCTGAAACAGTGGTGGCATCGATGTTCAAAGCCTCTTCAAACACAGGAGCAACGTCGTTGATATCCGAAAGCTGCAGGGTCAAAGCTGCTGATACGTTGAAAATGCCGTCACTCACACCTAGCTGAAGAGCAAAGGCCGAGTATTGCTCGGCATCGAGGGGTGCCACATTCATGAAGTAGCCCGTGCTGGAGTCGATGGAGAATAGAGCACTGACGTCACTGACCGCACCCGTTTCGGGGTGCGTTGCGGTGGCAGAGAGAATGCTAAAGCTCAAGACGGGATCTTGATCAGCATCGCTGGCCGAGACATTCACAAAGTTGCGTGCAACAAAAGCAAGGTTTGCATCGTCTTCTGGCACAGAGCCGAGCGCATAGACAGGAAGATCAAAGGTGGGAGCTACATCATTTTCATCAAGAATGGTGATGTTCACGGCCGTGAGGGAGCTGCGACCTGTGAGAGGACTGCCCAGATCTGTTGCTCGAACCATGAGGGTGAATTCATGCGCGGCCAGCGTCTCATAATCAATGCTGGCACCCGCGGCCACGGCCAGTGTACCCGAGGAGGACCCGATGCTGAAGAGGCCCAGGTCATTTCCACTCAGAATCTGATACTGAAAGGAGGTACCTGTCAGCTGCACTTGGACAGCAGCCTGAACAGACGTGCCCAGCAGGGCACCGGCCGGCGTATTCTCAGTGACATCCAAAGCATACGGGCTGGCGGTAAAAGTGGGCATATCCAGAACCGAGAACGAAAAGGTGGCGGTTCGGGTGAAGGAGGGCGATCCACCATCTGTTGCAGCAATGGTCACGGTGTGCGACCCCACCGTGAGGGTGGAAGCGTTCACGGCAAGGGTGATGAGACCGGTGTTGCTATCCACGTTGATCTCCGGTGAGGAGGTGGAGAACGTGATCACTTCATTAATGCCCGAGTCGGCATCGGTGGCGCTGATGGTGCCCAAGGACTGGCCAGCGCTGTAGGATGCCAGGATGTAATTGGTCGAACCGACCGTGGCAACGGCGCTGCTCACAGCCACTGGGCTTAGCACGGGCGGATTATCGTTCTCATCTTCAACGGTGATGTAAAGCGAGGTGTAATCACACTGCTGGCCAAAAGGATCGCTGGCAGCGGGGGTATCACAAGCAGCAACGGTGATGTTGAAATCGGTCGTGGTCATAGTTTCAAAGTCGAGCAGGCCAGCACGCAAGCTGGCGACGCCGTTGGTCGTTACGACGGAGAATAGCCTTTGGGGGTCACCGGAGATGATGGTATACGTCAAAGCCGCGTTGGCAGCCTCATCTGCATCCGTGGCGGCGATGCCCGTAATGATGGTACTGCCAATCGCAGTTCCCTCGCGCTGGCCCACCACGACATAGCTGGCTTGCACAAACTCCGGAATGACGGTAGAATAGTTGCTCTGTGCGAAGATGGGGGCGTTGTCATTTTGATCAGTCACGTCAACAAGAACGTAGGTCGAAGCAACGTGGTCGATCACACGGGGGTCATATGCCTCAACGTTGATAACAAAGGATTCTGAGCCTCCAGCTGCGAGAGCTTCGCGGTCGAATACGGTGCGCGTCGTGATCAGACCCGTGGAGTTGTCAATGGCAAAATAACCCGAAGCAGAGCTGGGCGAAACCTCAGTAATGCCGTAAACTACGTTTAGATCTGCATCGCGATCCGTGACGACCAGCTGAACGACCGTGGTCCCCACGGCTTGGTTCTCCTCCACGTCAGCCTGGTATGCGGCATTGGATCCAACATTGCCAACAAATACGGGCAAGTTGTCGTTGATGTCTTCAATGCGTACGACGACCCAAGCCTGCGCAACGGGGCTTGTGCCGGTGTACTCAACCAAAAGTGTGAAGAAATCCGAATCGTATTGCTCCAGGTCGATGGTGGCGGTGGTGTAGAGTAGCCCGCTGGCGATGGCAAAGTTGCTACTACTCTGCACAATGCTTAGGCCACTTGAAACGGGCGAACCACCAAAGGCAAAGGTGCAAAGCTGCTGGCCTGCCGGCAGTTCCTCGGTAAGAAGAAGCTCATCGCCATTGACCACGGTCACAATCGGAGAAACTGTCAAATCAGCCACCCCAACTCCGGGCAGGTCCACGCGAACAGTCGTCGTATTCACCTGTACGCCCCCATTGGTTTCGGTGACGGACACATAAAAGTACTCGTCCGGTTCAACGGCGTTATTGTCCACGACGGGAATGCGAATGCTTGCTTCACCGCTGCCGTCGACGAAGAGCGAGCCGACGGTATTGGCAAAGTCGGTGTCAGCAGCAGAGGCCCGAAAAAGTCGGAGTGTCTCAAGTGCACCGACAGTGGTAATGCGGTCTGGGTTCGCCTCGTAGCTGTCCTCGCGTTGCTCAACGGCAGCAAAGAGCAGCACCTGGTTGCCAATGGTATGCGAGCTTAGGCACCGAACGGTGCCCGTGGCAGCCGAGTACACGGGTACCAGAGCATTCAGGGTCAAGTCAAGGCGGAAAATATCAAGCGTGGCATTGACAGAGGAATCGGCCGCATCACGCTCAGCACCAACAGCCACGAAGACGTTGTCTTCCACCGTGACGACTTGAACGGCTGAGGCGGCATAGACAGTGGCGGAAGGCGTATTGACGTTGAAGAAGGATTCAAGGGAGTTGACCCACAAGTACACCTCAAGGGTTTGGGCATAGTCGTCCGTGCCGCCGTCGTTCGAGACGCGATTGGTCACAAAGAGGTACAGTTCTGAGTCAATGACGGCGGTTGTGGCATCGGAGATGCCAGCGGTAGCAACGGTTGAGACTTTTTCAAAAGTGGCCGACGCGGTGTTGAGCTTGAAAACGCTAGAGTCTAAGGAGAAGTCTTGGGCCTTGACTACAATACCCCAGGTGCTCTCAAACATCTCGCTGTTGCCAACAAAAAGGTAGGTGTTGGAGTTCCAGATGAAGCTCTCCATTTTTGAAGCGCCTTGGGTGGTAATCGCGTGTTGCAGCTGAAAGCGCTGTAAGGTCGGGCTCCAGGCATAAATATCTGACTCGAGCTCGAGGTCGACACGATCACTATCCATGTACTTAAAGTTGGAAAAGCCCAGAAAGAGGCTGCCATCCGCGGACGGGATCACCTCGACATCACTGCAGTAGGAGGTGGCAAATGTTTGCAGACGAGACCAAACGCCGGTGGATGCCGAGCGGCGCCACACCTCCGAGTTGGTTTCACCACCGCCGTAGGATGATAGATTTCGGCGATTACAGATTGCGAGGTAATGGACGCTGTTCCACTCATAAAACTCAACGTCCACTGGCGAATTGGCCGCTATGGTCTGCACCAGTTCAACGCTATGGCCATCAATGCGCTGGATCATGATGGACTGAGAGAAGTACTCTGCCAGGGCCATGTACGTCTCATCACCAATGGTCACAGTGTCTTGGGCCTGGGCTGCCAAATTGTTCTGGGCTGCCAACTTGGTTGCATGCAGAGTACCTGTGGGCGAGTGAAGAGGGATCAAGCGCGAGTAAGATTAAGCAAGATTCGACGAGGCTAGAGAGGATTGAGTGGATGAAGGCAAGAGATGCGGTCTGGTCTTTGCTTGCAGTGATTGAAGCGCAATCGCGTACCAGTGCCTGCAGAGGAAGTGGCCGTCACCCCTTGCGTAGAGACGGTAAGGGTTGATGAGGCATTGTGGGCTTGAATCACCAAGGTGGCTGCATCACCTGCCACCTGCGTCGTGACCTGCAGCGCCGAGGCTGCGGAAGCGATAGCAAGCAACGTGACGACCAGCCCTGCGAGGCCCAGAGAACCTAAACATTGAGGCAGTCGAGTGGCATGTGAGGTGCACGAGATGGGCGCCCGGCCTCCTACAACGGAGACCTTGAATGGGAAGCAGCGAGCTTCAAGAACTCGGGCTCAACGAAGAAGCATTTGGCAAAACACGACGCGAAATCAATGCAACAAACCTTGCCGCACGATCATGCTGGCCGTTTGATCGCCAGTCCGGAGCGCGTGGTGTGGAAAGAAATGGAAGTTAAGAAATGCAGTCAGTATGAAATGATTCAGCTGCTCCAAGATCAAGCAGTCGTTTTGCAGCCGAAGCGCCTTGTCATCGGCTCGAGCCGAATCACGACCTCTTCAGTCAGGCCGGCTGCGTGGTCGACGGTGACGGAAAGTGGCCCGCCAAGAATGCACAGAAGGGTGCTGCTGGCATGTGTCTTTTCTCCGCCCATCAGTGCCAAGCAATGCTTTTTGTAAGCCTTTGGTAGTTGTTGTTGGTGTTCTTCAACACAACATGCACATTTGGTAGCACAAGACAAGGGAGGGGTTTTGCGGCAATTGGTTACAGTTTAGAGCGGTGGAGTGTACTTGCCGCCACACTTGAATTGTACTGTGAAACAATGCCCATCCCTCTTTTTTTTTTTTCAAATTATTCAGTCGTCCTCCCTACCAAATCAAAATATCAGCCACAACAGCTGTTGTCAATAGCGTCTGAAATCAGTACGCGAAACCAGTGAAGGTACATTTTATTGTAAGACAAAAAGGTCGAGTCGAACGGCTCCAAGCTGTTTTCTGATTTCGAGCTGGTGGGAGCGGGGACAGGCGGGCAGAAGCTCGGCTGGTCCCTGAGCCAGGGCGATGGGTGTTCATTCACTGTGGCAATTGCTGGAGAAAGCTGAGCGGCCGGTCCAGCCCGATGAGTTGGAGGGGCAAATCTTGGCTGTGGACGTGAGCATTTGGCTGCACCAGATTGTGCGGGCGATGCGTGATCGACAAGGCAACCTGGTTCAAAATGCCCATGTACATGCGCTCCTTTCCCGGTTGTGCAAGCTCCTGTATCACCAGATTAAACCTGTTTTTATTTTCGATGGCGCAGCGCCGGCCATCAAGCAGCAGGCTGTGGTAAGCGCTCCTTTTCCTGCCGAGCCAAAGCCGTAGCTATGCCTCAACGTTTTGCGTTGTAGGCTTGGGCATCCCTATCGCCAGCACCTGTGCTCTCGTCCTCAGCCCAAGCCTCTCCGTCGTCGAGATTTTTGTGTCTGTGCATATGTACTGATGCGGCATGGTGGGGTTGCTGCATACTCTAGGCTGAGCGACGTCGCCGAATCACGCAGGGCTCCGACGCCCTCCAAAAGGCCCAACGGCAGCTGCTCCACAATCGCCTCAAGCAACACGTAGGCCTTTGCCCTCGACCCACCTTGAGTGCCGCAGACATGACGAAGCCACTGCTCACTGAACCCACACGCTGACGTCCTGGCATTTCCATATCGGACATCCTTTGTACTTAGGTACTACGTGGGGATACGACGACCGCGTCCGACAAACTTGTTGCAGGTCATGATTTGAAGAGCCGTCATGGTGAATCCGATATGTTTGACCTGCCCGAACCTAGTAGAGCTCAATCCTCTTCCAGCGAGGACGAAGGCAAGGAAAGCAACGATGAGAGCGAGGCTGATGACCTCATGGCCCTCAAAGCTGGTTTGCCGCTGTTCGAGCTGGATTTGGATGAGGATGAGGATCTCGCTGACTCTTTGTGGCAGCCGAAAGCACGCAGTCCTGTTCGACGCCATGCCTCTGCATCTCGGCAGCGACACCCTCGTCAGCGCTCCCACCGTTCCTCGCGCCCACGACGGAGCCCTGTTGCGCTGGGAGAGTTGGCCCAACGATATAATCAGATCCTGGCCGACCAGGCTGCCGAGCGCAGCGACGAGGAGGCCGCTTGGGATAGAGACGTGCAAGATCAGCTCGCCACGGCACTTTCCGGGTCAGAAGACGACCTTATTCTCATCGGTGACGATGCTGGTGATGCCGGACCGGGCAGCACGCAGGCATCGGGGTTGGATGAAACCACACTTTCACCCCATGCCTCATCACCCTCGCAGGCACCACCACACACCAACGTGGAGGAAACACCGGGGACTGCCTCAGCGGCGCAGGTCCTTGCTGCCCGCGATCCTCGTGGCGGATTTCGTGCAGGCATGCAATATGAGATTGACACGACCACCATTGATATTTTTTCCCATGACTTTGACCAGCTGCCCTTGGAAATTCAGTATGAGATCATCATGGAGCGCCGTGAGCTGAATAAAAACCGCTCGCGACGTTCAAAGTATGGCGGACCTTCCGAGTCCAATGCTTTCTCGTCCACTCAGGTACGTGTTCGTCCATTTTGTCGCCCCAGCCACCTCCACCGTTTCCCAGCTTCAGGATCACGCGAGGGCGTGTTCTTATCATGGGTTATGCTGCGCACACATCCAGCTATCAGGTGTGGTGCAACGCAATCGTTTGAATAAGAAGCTGGAGGACATTCGTCAAGCGCTATTGCGTGAGAACAACATGAACGGCCTGGCTGTACACAAGGTCGTGTCTGAGGAGAACACGGTGTTTGTGTTGGCTGAGCGGTGCGTTCGTGGGCGGGGCACCTTGCGACTGCCGCACCCGCCCGCCTCTCATGCATGCGTTTGTCATTTTCAATTGTGCTTGATGCTGCAGAACGGATGATCTAATGCCTGTGCCCAGCAAATCGTCAACGCCCCCACCCGAAGCACCCTCCAACGCTGGGGGCGACCCTACAAGCACATCTTCTCGGAAAGCCCACGCACCCGAAGATTCGGATCGAATGGGTTCAAACTCTTTTTTGTTGAACCAAGCGACCGCCATGAGCCCGCCTGCCGACGAGGACGATGCGCTTTCCGAGAGCTCGCTCTCTTTTGCTGAGCTTGACGAGGATGACGAAGAGCGCCTGGCCGAGGTTGCTTTTATAGAGACGGCGCCTGTCACTTCTGCCAGCAAAAGCTCGACCAACGCGTCCGCTGATCTCGTCGAACCTGCCGCGGCGACCACCTCACTAGAAGCCCCCATGGCGCCGTCGACCGAGCCAGTGTCGAACCCTGCACTTCCACAACACGACAGCGCAGCTATTGCGGCTGCCAAGGAGGAGGAGGAGGAGGCGGCTATTGGTCGACAAGTGGATCCCATCGTTAAGACCTTGGAGCGTGGTGTAGCACCAGCGCCCTCAGAAACGGATGAGGCTCTCTGGCATCGGCCTCTGTTAGGCCTGGGTCAGCGGATACAAGCCCAACCAGCGGCACATCGCAAGTTGCGCAGCTTGATCCTGCAGGGTTCTGATCATGAGAGCGACGCAGGTAGCAGCAGCGACGAGGACGCATCCACTGTAAAACGCGAGCCGGTCTCTGAACCCACGACTGATGTGATGGTAGAGGACCTTGGGGACATGGGCGCTTTGCCAGCCCAGCCTGCAGCAAGAGCCATCAAAGTTGAACCCGAGTCAACACCCACAGTAGACCCGGAGTCCTCACGTATCGTCACCAAACCGGTTCAGCCACAAACCGACGACGAAAGCGAGACCGACGAGGTGATAGTTGCCCACCGCGTCGCAGACGTGACAGTGCGCCCTGCACCCAAGGTCTCGACCTCTCAACAGCCCACCGCAGTGGCGCGCAGTGCGGCCGCCGACCACGCGAAAACTCACACCAAACCCGCCATGCAACCGGAAACGGAAGCGAGCCTAATGGCCGAGGCCACCCAGCTTGAAGGACGCGTGCGGCGAGCGGCTCGGACGGCCGGTGATGTGACCACGGAAATGATTCACGATGTGCAGCACATGCTGATGCTTTTTGGCTGCCCGTACTTGATTGCACCCCAGGAAGCCGAAAGCCAATGCGCTCAGCTCGAGCTCTTGGGACTGACACAGGGTACAATCACGGACGACAACGACGCCTTTTTGTTTGGCGCTGCCAAAGTCTATCGACACATGTGCTCCGCCGCCAAGACACCGGCACTCTTTGCTGCTGCTGATCTCAAGCATCTCCTAGGCATGGATCGCGAGAAACTCATTTCACTTGCTTACGTGCTGGGCAGTGACTACAATGCCGGAATTAAGGTGGGTAGGCAGCATGAGGTGGTGCCTTGCCATGCAAGCTATGTGAGTGCTGATGCTTTCTCTCACCAGCGCACTTCCCTGCGTTTTTGCCCTCTCCCTTTGGCTCCCGGCGTGTCTTGTTCTCCAATTGCAGGGTGTGGGACCCGTGACTGGGTTGGAGATTATTGCCGAATTTCCAGGTGGAGCGCAGGGTATGAGGGAGTTCAAGCAGTGGTTAGAGTCTTGCACTGGGCGCACTGTATACCCACCCAACCAATCCGCCACGCGCTGTCGCTTGCAAAAGCAATTGTTTGGAAAGGTTGAGTTTCCGCCCGGGTTTCCCAACCCGTTGGTGGAGCAGGCCTATTTGCAGCCGGTGGTGGATAAAGGCGAGGAGGCTTTCTCATGGGGTGAGATAGATCTGGACGGCTTGCGGGATTTTGTTCATCAGAAGCTTGGATGGGAACAGCGGCGTGCGGATGACTACGTTGTGCCTGTCATTCGGCGTGCTAATGAGAAGCGGTCCCAGCTCAAGATCCATCAATACTTTTCGCGAGCACGTCTCGAGCGTCCTGCGCGACGAGCTGGCCAAAAACGCCCGAACGTGACAAAGCCCAGTGATGCTGGAGCGGTCTCAACCGCCACAGCCGCCGACCTTGGTAGCATTCGCCTCGCACGCGCCGTGGAGCGGCTCAAGGGTGGAGCCGAGCCGGAGCAACTTACGGCCAACCCTGAATCGCCACGGTCGTCTCAATTATCGCGCAAGCGCACTGCTGGTGACCGCTTGAAGAAGACTTCCACGAAGAAAATGGTCGTGCATACGCCCTATCAACTTTATGCCCTGGCCATGCGCGCTTCTCTTCGTGAAAAGGGCTTAAAGGGCCGTGACCTTGTGAAGCACACGTCGCTAATGTGGCGCTCTTTGGCTGACACTGACCGGGCTGTATGGGAGACCAAGGCCAACGAGGAGCGGGCGGCACGACTGCGACGGTTGGCCGAGGCAGAGGACGATGAGGCGCTCTTGACAGCAGTGGCAGAAGAGGCCGAACAGGAGCTGGCGTCAGCAGCGGCGGCTAACACGGCTACAGCACCCGCTGGCAAGCAAGCAGGCGCACCGCCAGCCAAAGCCCGCAAGGTATTGGACGCAGATGCTTTTTTTGACGCTTTACATGCGTCGCCAGAGTCGGTGCCGGCCATTGTCTCAGTGAATCGTGGTCCCGTGTTGGTGCTTTGGGCTACCATCGTGGCCAAGGCCAGTGGGTACGCTTGGTCTGAAGGATTGACCTTGGGTCGGGCTTTGGCGAATGCTTTCGCAGCCAAGAAAGGACAACATTTGGGTTTACAGCTGCACGGTGGCGAGGAGGTGGATGCGGAGACACTGGCTGGGCAATTTCCCACGGGGCATGTCATCACGTTTATGGGAACCCCGTTGGCCGTAGTCAGGCAAGACGGGCGACTGCGTGCGGCCTCCCAAGGGCGTGTGTTGGATCCATTGGATGTGCTGGCCCACCTGCGTCGGAAATTTGGTGATGCATTGGCCGTTTGCGTCCAGGTCTTGCAACAGCTGGCATCGGCCATGCCCAACCCCTTTGTACTGCAGACTGAAGCTTACCGCTTGTATTTGCAGTTCCGCCCATCCGTGGCGACTGGCACCGCGGGCTGGGGCCAGGCGGGTGACTTTGTTTTGGCGGTGGTGCGCCAGCTCGTGCACGAGCGTTTAGAGCACCAACAGCTTCAGGACCACGACCCAGCAAGTCTGTCATGATTCGTCTGGCCAGCGTTGGCAGTCTGAGCGTTTGTGACATATAAATAATCCAATTTGGGCAGGCCTGAGGCCAATCAGATCCCATATGAGGTCAAACGCATGATGCTTTCTTGTGCCTGTAAGTTGTCTACGTAAAAGCGAGCATAGAGAGTTTAACATTCAAGGTGTCAAGTTCATATTGGAAGGGCTGTATTGAAAATCCAAGGTGTTGCTTTCATGTATTTTTTGAAGGAGAGAGAGGCTGAACCTCTTGGGGCAGACATCACGCTCGTGTTGGCTAGCTAGCTTCCCGCATTGGTCCCGCTGGCGTGGTAGCCCAGCAGGAGGCTGGTGGTCTTTCATCCTGGCCTGCTGTGCTGCAGGCGAGAGGCTCTTGCTGACGGGACAAATGATCATCCACAAGCCTGTCTGAGCCGTCAAGGGCCACAGCGCGTGTTGTTGCCACTGTCCTCGCCGGCTGCTCTTTTCCGCGCTAGGTGCAGCGTGCGTGCGGCTACAGCAGTCGTCCACGGCCAGTGGTGGTACATTGGGTGTACGGCATGACCTGAACCAACACGCCCATGATGGCTGCTCCGTCCGAGCCACCACCAGCACTGGTGGACTTTATGCTGGTGGCTGGCATAGACCCGGAGAAGGATTTGGAGACTGACGTCCAGCTCGATGACCAAGGTATGACCTGCACCTGCTACTGGCTCTTGACCCCGACCCAAATGTTGTTGGTCGAACAAGAACTTCACACCCGCCCGTGATGCATCCATAGCCATGTCCTATAGCCCCACTAGACGTCCGTACTTGGCCCATGTCTTGGATCACTTTCCCCACCACCGCCCATGGCACCCTGATTTTGACCCAGCCTCAATTGCCTTGGTGAGCGTGTGCGACGTGCATCTTGTCGTCTTGTGCCAAGGGGAAGCCCTGCTAATGATAGCAACAGCCGAGGACCAGCTCGCTGCCACCAAGGCTCACATACGAGCCGCCCGCGCCATAGGTCTGTTTTCCGCGTGGTTTGCGCTTCAAGCGAGCCAACGACAGTCGCCGGGCGTCTTTCCACACGTTTGTGCTGACCAAGGAGGAAGGCACACGTATCTATGGCGCGGCGTTGCTCGTGTATGAGAAGGTCACGGACGAAAAGATCCTACAAGCGGTGCGCACAATCCCACTCATGGACTTGCCCAAATTCCAGTGGCCTGTTTCACGTTCCATCTGATCTTCTGCACCCTGTGCTAGATGGCTGTGCTGACCACCATGTACAACGCACAGCAACAGCATGAAGCCAAGAACAAGTGGGTAATTTGGGATGTGGCATAGGCCTCCTTATCATGCTAGAGAGCCTCATAATGCTCATAATGCTTGGTTTGGTTTGGCAACATTTCAAGCAGAAACCGCCTAGCCAGCCCTAGCGAGTCAACGGACTTTGCCACGGATGAGCTTTATGCTCCCAAGGCCATCTGTATTTTGTCTCGCGTATGCCGAAAAATCATTGCACTGGGTGCTTCCGCGCACTTCTTCGTGGGCTCTGCTTACAGCACCCTCACAATAGCTTCTGTGGCCTTGCTCGATAGCTGCCTGCCGTGGCGTCTCTGGAAGCATACTTGCGCCAGCTTTATGTTTTATCACAGCAAGACGATAAGCCGCCGCTTTTGGTGCGTGGCAAAATTCTTGTACATCCAGTGTGCCCTCCCAACACATCTTCTCTCGGCCCTCGTCTAGTGGTCAGCACCAGTTCATCACCGGTGCTTAGGTCGAGCGCTGTGTGGCCAACTTGTTGCACAAAGTTCCCTTTGTGCCACCAGGCTGCACCATCTCCTTTGGCGTGGCCTCAGACATTGTGTGCCACCGGCCGGGCACTAAAGGATTTCCGATGTTTGAGTACTCCATGCAGCGCCTGTTTCTTCTCTTCAGCCCCGACGTGGTTATTAAGATGTTAACGTGTGTTCTTTTGGAGAAGCAACTCATCATCCGGTCGACTGGTACGTGAAGTTTGTCTTGGTGTTGGAAAAGTCTTCGGTGTGTTCACGTCTGCTCACACCTTGGTTGGCTGACGCCGCCTGAACCAGATTACGAGCTCCTTGTGCTTGTGGCCGAATGCATCACCGTGCTCATGTACCCCTTCAAGTGGATCCACGTCTATGTTCCCATCCTGCCCTCAACGGCGCTGCATTTTATTGAGGCACCTGTGCCCTACATTATGGGGCTTCACGCAGACGTTCAGATCGATGCTGCCGTAGAGGTGCGGCTCCGTGGTCACAACTATGGCGTTTGCTTGCTTTCTTCTTTGACTTGTAACCGATGCTTGGTTCTGAATGCCGTGGACGACACTGCTCTTTCTCCCCGTCATAAGCGGTGGTCTCGGGTTGATTTTTTTGACCCTTTTTTTACTGAATCTTGTGCCGGTGCGCGTGAGCTAGGCTCCTTGCGTTGTAGATGTGGTGCGTGGCCGGTTCACCATGCCTGAAGACGTGCCGGCCTTTCCCCATGCCAATAAGCTGGTAACAGCTTTGAACGAACTCATCAAGGTAGGGCTTACATGGCCGTTCCTTGTTCGAACACATTGTTTTGACCTGTGCCCTTGAATCAGTTCATGGGGTTTGTGGTCGCTCGCAGGCCAACAGCAGCGGCAGCTTCTCCGCTTCGATCGCAAAAGGAGGCGTGAAAGGTACGTTAAGAAACACATTCGGCGGCAACAAGGAGTGCGGGGTGTCTTCACGTGCTCACGCGGATCAACGCTCAGGTCTGCGTGCGTTGGTATCCGGTGCCACGCTGCCTCAACAACCGAACAACCCTGGTACATGGGCCGATCGTCAATTTACGCTGGCTGTACGAGCTCTTCTCCTATCAACCTGGATGGATATTTTACAAGGCTACGACACCTACATGGTCACGCCTGAGAGTGCGGAAGATTGGGCTCAAGGTGTGTCACAAATTTTGAGCCATCCTGGTCTTTCAACTCCATGATGTCTGTGATGTGCAAGACTTTTGAATTTCCAAACCTGACAGCATACTGAATGGAACGCGGTGTGTAGGGCGTATGGGTGACAACATCTTTGACAAGCTTGCTTTTCTCAGCGACCAACCAAAGTCTAGTGTACCATTTCTTTCCGAATTTGTCGAGACGACTCTTTTCTCAAATTTTGTGATGGAGGAGGTGAGTGTTACGTGATACAAGGTCCTCGTGCAGGTCGACAGCTTGACAGACTCATTGTTTCTCGCGCGCTCTGATGCTCCTTGCTCGTGCACTTTTTTTTTTTTTTTTTTTTTTTTTTTTTTTTTTTTTTTTTTTTCATAAAACCTGGGGCAGATGGACATTCTCGTGTCTGGTAGCGTGAAAGACTCGCCCTTCCACGCAATGTTGCAACCGCCAGATACCATCTCGTCAGAGACGGAGGCGACCGGTTTCTTGGGCAGTATTAACAAGGTATGTATATGGTGTCTTTTCGGCCAAAATATCGCTTTTATGCATGGCTGTACCTGCTGAGCGGCCCATCTATGCAAAGCCACTAACCTGCGCCCATCGCGTTGTATGCTTCAGCACTTGCCGGAGCTTTTAGCTGATCGCTATCACAAACCCATGATGCAAATTGTGAAGGAGTCTTTGCCTCCTACGTAAGAGTACCATCTCTGCCAAGTGCACATATTCTTCCATGTGCAAGATAGCAGATGCGCACAATCTCACCTTGCTTCCGTCTCCCTTTACGTGCGTGTCCATAGCCTAAAGGATCACGACATTATGGTGGACTATACTGTCCCTCTGCCCGTGGATGCCCATAACGAGTCCACGGGGCTTGGGCAATGTCGTCGCCCTTCTCTCTCAAATGGCGCCAAACTTGAACCCCCCATCCGAATAGCCAGCATCTCCGAAACGGAGGTTTTCACTCCCGAGCCGAGCAGCGAAAGGACGCAGGAGCTAGAGAAGGCGACAGATACCCTTACACCAAGTCACGACGCCCACCTACGACGGGCAGCGTCTGTCAGCTCTTCAACATCGCGCAGCAGTCGACGTCTGCCCCGCACTCCATTGGGCTCGGGCGCTAACACGACAACACACACTGCCAGCTATGTGGGCCCTCCCAAGTCGCCGCCAGCTCAAGCCCCGTCCCGGTTGGCATCAGAGTCGGGCTCGCAGACCGACTTTTCAAGGGATCTGCGCACCTTGAATCACAGCGCAAGCATGGACGACAAAGTAGAAATCCAGAGTGCACCCACGCCACCCGAAGGCACCATCCCAACTCATACGCGGCGTGGATCAGCCCCAGCTGTCTTGTCACATTACGAATACGACCAGGATGCCGTCGTCTGTGGGCGTCTGCCTTTTACGCTGCACAACACACCTGAGATCATGGTCGAAGATGCGCACCAAGCCTTTCCTTCCAACTTGGTGCATCGCAATCAAAGTACGTCGGTAACATTTCTTGACTCGAAGCACTCGCAGAGCAGCAGCCACATGTGAGAAATGGCATCGATCATTCCCTGGTCACTTTTTGTTTTTTGCTGGCTTGCCCTTGGCACAGAAAAGCGCCGCACTTTGCGGCGAGAACGAGCTAGTGCGCCTCAGAAGAAGTCACCGGTACGACGATGCGTGGCGTTGACGTTGGTCTTTTTTCGTTGTTTGGTTTGTTAATGTGCTCTCATTTCACAAAATTCACAATGCGGGGCTTGCCGCTTGTTTAGGATACATCGCAAGATTTTGATTCGGTGTTGGATGCCAAGCACTCGGCCACTGCAGAGGGCAAGGCCCTACCCAAACCTAAGACAGGGCGTGCCCTCGGGGGCTCAGGTCGTCGCCGACCGCCGGCACCGCCGTTACGGGATTTGCGGGCCAAATCCAGCCGACTGGATGCTGTCACACTCAGCAACGCCATCATGACCAACAACGAGACAAGCCAGGCCAAATTTGCTGCTGCTCTCATGGAGGAATGTGCTCAAAAGGTTAGGTTTCATTCATTTCGACTGCTGTGCCGAGCGACCTCCCCCGTTGGCTGACTGCTGGTGCTCATCTTGCCTGCGCAACAGGTGAAAAAGATTGTTCTTGCCACGATGGGGTCTGTCGTTGCCTCCTCTCTGGTAAGCATCTGCTCGTCATTTGCTCGTGCACTTCTAAACATCAAGTCGACGTCGCCTTGTCATCGTACGCGGGCATGGTTCATCTTTCTGATTCGCAAAACTTGAATTGCCTTGCTGGTGTGGCTGTGTTGATCGATGCCAAAATTTGCAGGGTCATCAAGACAGTACTGTTGGATTTGAAAACACCTTGATTGCTGGCTTGTGTGAGCTGCTGGAGCGTATGTGGAAGCATGGCCTGAAAAGCAAGGTCAGTCATATCAACAGGTGACTGCGCATGCAGCTATACCTCGGCGTTCATGTCCTGTCTTAACGAGTGCAAATTTTGCTTTGTTGGGTGTTATGCTGCGCGGCTGCTGCAACGCAGGGCACCATCTGGACAATTGTGCGGCAATGCCCTCGCGCAACCCTGCCGGGCGAGGTGAGCCTTTCTTGGACTTGTGATATTTCCACGATTGCCCAGCTTACATTCGACAACCTGTGTTTGCATCTTCTCTGGAAGGTCGCGCAAGCTTTGGATGAGGTGGCGGCATTCAAGTTTCTTCATTCTGACATCGGACGAGGTCGTGCATGGATACGTTTGTGCCTCGAACGGAAGTGCCTCAGCGAGCACATGGAAGTTATCTTGAGGTGTGTCGGCAGGCACTGTAGCGGAACATGTTGCTATTGCCGTCGTCCGTTCTTTCTTCTTTCTGGCACCACAAAAGAAGAGGAAGAGACTGCGTGCGCTCTGTCTTTTTTCCTCTCCGCATAATCTTGGTCATGCCCCCGTCTTGTGCACAGCCATCAAGGTGTCATTGCGGCCAATTACAAACCGTACGCCTTCCTTTGCCATCCGGAGTACGTGGAGCAGCTGTTGTCGCATCTTCTGTCACTAAGCACCGTGGATGTGGCCGCCTTTACCGTCAATTATATACCTGCGGTCATCATTTACAAAGTCCGCATCGTGACGGAGAAGTACGTGATGGTGCCTTGGCGTCAAACACACACACTAGACTGCATGCCCCTTTTCTCACGGCGGTCTGCGCACAACTTGTGGACGGTGGGTATTGCTGGGGATTACACGCAGGGGATTTCGAGCCGGGACATCTGCCAACGTGTGCATTAACATCAAGGGAGATCACGAAGAGACGGTAAGCATCCCTGTGTGCAACTTGCTGGACTTAGCAAAAGGCCGCTGCCCGTCTCGCGGGTTGTGCGTGCCAGCCTCTTTTGACTGATTTGTATTGCTGGTGGTTGACAATAGGGACTCTTGGAGCGAGGCAAAGCACAGTCTTTTGCTGGGGGTGCTTCCCATGTCTTCGAAATTTCGCACAAAAATCTTGGACCCTTACAGGTTAGGGCTTGAGAAGCCATTCGGGACCACGGTGTTTCTGTCGCCATTTCCTGTCTTCCATACTTTTTTCGTGGAGGATTCATTCGTCATGGTGCTCGTGATGCCCGCAGTATGTCGAGCTCGGCCACGACGGCTCGGGCATGAACGCATCTTGGACAGTTGATAAGTCAGTGCGAGGCCATGCTTCCGGCTGCCATATTGGCAAACCCGCCTCGTCCATGGGATGAGCTTTTGCTCATCCGCGATGCCATTGATAGGGTTGAAGTGACGAACCTTTTGACCAAGCGCATGAGCACCTTTTCTTGCCAAACACGCCTTCAATTCGAGCAGGCCAACAAGGGTCGCTTTCACACGAAACGCTTCTTCGTGGACAACCCCAATGCCATGGGTGAAGACCGACAAGCGATCAACACAAACGCGTCGCATCTCACCGCAGAGCAGCTGGCGAAGATTGACAACCTTTGGTGTGTGGCTCGATTGGCTGGGCCAGGAGTTGCATCGAAATGGCGGCGCCGTGTGTCTGGTTCTGCAATTCGTTTGGCCTGTAATGTACATGTGTATTCCCCTTCATCTTGTGAGGAGGTGCTCACATTCCCATCCGGTTGCCCCGTTTTTTTTTGTTCTGCCTCTGCTTATTGGCAATGGCGCTTTCGTTTCCCCGTCTTTTCTCCAATAACCACATCTATAGTGAAGAGTTTGCAAACTCCATCAATGCGATCGTCAAGCACTTGTGGGAGCCGTCAGGGGAGGCTGGCAAATCACGCTCGCAACGACGGCCCTCGATGGCCACGCCAGAGCAAATGTTGGAGCGCGCAAGCCTGGTGCTAGGGGCTTCGCGGCTATTGCTTGGTCAGACTGTTCTGCCCGAATCCTTGGCAAGTCGGCTGCAAGCAAACAGACCGGACGTGGCGTTGGGGCTGGCCACTGCTCTCCAAAAGCTATTTCAGCATGGCTTCAAAAGCCGGACTTTGATTGGCCACGAGCGACACATCTGGGAATTCTGGCTTCGGTGCCAACACGAGGTTAGTCAACGAGCGTTGACGAGCTGTGTCCCTCCTTCTCTCCGAGAGCCACCTTCCTCACAAAAAAAAAATAAAACAAACACGGCAATGATCACGATGGCAGGTGGGACGCGGGATGCTGGAGACTGACCCGGAGACGCAGTTATGTGCTGCCGTGACGTTTGCCAATGGGCAGGATTGGCCCCCTCAAGCCAAGTTTGAATGGTGAGTGGCCGTTCGCCGACGTCACCAGCTTGTAGATCATTTGCAGGCATCGCGGATGCTCACAATAAACTGGTCTTCAACGTACAAATAGGGTGGTTTGCGCTGGCGCTGCAAAACGTTTGCTGCACGTCTGGCTGGCGCTGGCTAGCCATGAGGCGCGGCGATCCAGTCTCTATCACCCCTATGCGCTCCTACGCTCGCCTTCGCATGTGGAGATGGTGCAGTCTATGCTGCGATATCTCGTCGAGTTTGACTTCAATCTTGGGGACCAACTCGTCTTTGTCCAGCGCAAGCGAACGCATGCAGGATGGACCCTGCTCAGCCTTCTTCCGCATCTTGTGGACAGCGACAGCGAGGACGACGACGCTACTGCTGAAACCTCTGGTCTGATGCAGCGCTTTTCAAGACACAATTTGAGCTCACACGAGAGCGGCTCTCCTCGATAAACCGTCCCCGTTGTGTAATCTCTCCTTTTGCGTCCTTGTGAGTGTTGGTTGAAAGGAGTTTTCAAATTTCACATCTGGATGTTCGCTACCCATGCTCAGTGGCAGCGTGAGACTGAAGTGGCTTCGGCGCTCCACTTCCACTGGCGGAAGGTGGTTTGTTGGTGTGCGTGGGATGCTTAACATGTAAACACGCAACCACGACTTGCCAGAGTCATCATAAGCAAAGTGATGGAACATAGAGAGAAAAGAGAGCATGGTCGTCACCTGTCGGTCTGAACTACTCTTGGCGAAGCCTGTTCGCTTCTTGATTTTTCAGGACTGGAGACGGACACGCTATAGCAATGCTGCTCTCCCCTCAACAAGATACAGGCCGCGCTGCACCCTCTTTCAAAAGAGCACATGCCTGCTCTGAAGAAAAATTTAAAAAAAAACAAGAAATTGTTTTGTCATCATCACATGGGTGATTCACTTGCCTACTTGCTGCTTGCTGAGTCGGGGGACGGCGCTGTTTACCAACCGACTTTTCTCAACCAATCATGCTGGCTCAACGCTCGCTGGCCGTGGCGCGACGCGCCGCCTGGAATGCGCCTCGCCCGGCTGCGCTCGGGGCTTGGGGTCTGCACCCGGTGCAGCGTGAGGAAGATCAGCGCATGAGCATGCCACTTGGCCGTCGCCATGTGTCTCAACTGGCCTGTTCGCCCGAGGTGGGGTCGCAACGATTCAGGATGCTAGCCCGAGCAGGAACTAGACTGTGGCTGGGGCTAGGCTGCCATGCGCGACCAGGTGCCTGTAGGGCTTCTCACCCCATTATCTTGTCCCTGGTTCTCACACCTAGACGCTGGAGACGCTAGCGCGCATCCCCCTCCACATTGGTGATGTGCAAGCGGCTGGTCTTGGTAGCTTTGCCACGCCGGTGGGCCTGATTCAGAACTTGGTTGAGTTTAACACTGTGATGCTGGATGCACCTTGGGCCGTGGGCATCTGTGCCACCACCATCTTGATGCGCACGCTGATGCTGCCGCTGGTATTCGGCAGCATGCGGAACAACACCATTCTCATGAACATCCAGCCACAGCTGCAGCTGCATTCGCAGCGTATTCGCGAGTGTCAAACTCGCAATGATCACGACGGCGCTGCCCAGGCGGCCGCTAACCTCAACGGTCTCTTCAAGGAACACGGAGTGCATCCGCTCAAGGGTCTCCTGCCCCTCTTTGTACAAGCGCCAGTCTTCATTTCTTTCTTCATGGCCCTTCGCCAGATGGCGAATCTTCCGGTATGAGCTGCGATGGCGTGAGGTGCACCATCTTGTACAATGGCATTTCAAGAAGCAAAGACCGCATTGCTCAGCGTGGGGTCTTGTGCCGCTTTCCACAACCGTGCACGTCCTTTGACAGATTGAAAGCATGAAGACTGGTGGACTTTTGTGGTTCACGGACCTCACGGCTGCCGATCCCTACTATGTGTTGCCCGTCATCGCCAGCGCTACCATGCTGGCTACTATTGAGGTGGGTAGTTGCCTATGTGGGCGCCGGCGTTGATTTTCCGGACCAGATGGATTGGCCGTAGACCCACTTGAAGCTGCCTATCGGTCTTGCTCCTCGATCACCTTGCTTCTTGTGCCAGCACAAGATTCTCCGTGTCGTCATGCATAAAGGCACGATGTTGCTTCTGTCTTGTCCTCTCTCATACTGGGCTTGGCTTGGGAATGCCGCGTAGTTTGGCTCCGAAGGCGTCAAGCAGAACAATGTCATGATGAAGAACGTTTTCCGTGGCCTGTCCATCGTCCTGTTGCCCGTCACCATCAACCTGCCAACAGTATGTTTATGTCTATGAGCATGGTCGATGAGCAACAGCTTCATGGATTTCGATGAGCGCCAGATGACTTTGCTCACCACTGTGAACTGGTTACTTTGCCTTTCACCTTGCGTTGCCTCAGGCCATCTTTGTTTACTGGTGCACGGCCAACATGTTCTCGCTCTCGCAAATGCTCATGTTGAAGATTCCCGGCCTGAAGAAGAGCCTTGGCATCCCCGAACAGATTCAGCACCCCACCCCTGCCGGTTCGCAGCAAGGCGGGTCTCCCAAGGGATTCATGGATGAAGTTGTTTCCGGCTTCAAGGTGTGCTGCGCTTGTCCTGGCCCAATGTGGCAGTGAAGGGTTAAATATTTTGCGTCTGTTGTCTGTGGCTGTGTGTCTGCGTTGATGCAAGGCCTGTCCGGTCGATTGATTGCCTTGGTCTTTTCTCAACTTGACTTGGCGTGTCAATTTCTAGGCGGCCGCTGGCAAGCAGGGCAACTCGGCGCCCGAAACCGTCTCGGTGCCTCCTCCGAGCAGCAACAGCACAATGACGGCATCGCCCAAGGCTGCGCGCACGCCACGCAGCAAACGTGCCGGCCGCCGCTAAGTGGTGGATGAGAGGCATATGCTCTGCTCTGCCATTTCTCTTCTTTCGTTGGGGCTAGCTTGGCACAGTGACTGCATTTTTCTGATGTTAAATTTTTGTATTTCGTTTTTTTCTTTTTTTTTTCGTTCTTCTCTGTTGCCTTTGCTTCGTTGATGGCGGACAAAATGTTGAGACGGCTATTCACATTAAGGACAGGCAAACGCTATTTGTTGATCCGCGGCTTGGTGCCACTCTTCTTCTTGCGTTTCTTGGTCTTGGTGTTGACCTGGGAAGACATGAAACATGGCGTTTGCAGACAAGGAGGCAACATGAAATTCGACCGGTTACAAGGAAAAATGACTGTGGGCTTGATTGACGGCTCACCTGGGGGGGAATGTGAACGCGGACGGGCTCAATTTTGTCTACGAGGCGAGCCGAAACCAATCCAGGGAGTCAAGTGAGAATGAGACACGGTCTTTGCTCAACGCCATCACTTATCCACGGAATGCCATTGGCCGCGCAAGCCATGGAAGGTTGAGAGAAGCGTGTTGCAGATCGAAAGAACCGGCCGCACATTGCTTCAAAAAGGTTTGGATGTCATGATCCGGTTTCATGGGAATGGTGCGCCAACGACTCAAGAGCTCCGGGTCCATGGGAAGCTGTGCAAAGCACAAAGTGAGAGCCTTGTGTCAGCCTTCCAGTTTTGCGCCGCTGCCCATTTGTCACCATGGAATTGTCTCTTTGGAGAGAGTGACAGAAAGCAAATGACTGCTTACCTCAAGCGAGCTTTCGCGATGGAAGAGTACGGGCACGGCGGGATGCTGCTTGCGCATGACCTGGTACACCTCGCCTCGTGCGATAAGATTTTGGGCATCCGCCTTGGCGCCTTTGTAACAACTCTAAAAAAAAAAAAAAAAAAAAAAAAAAAAAAAAAAAAAAAAAAAAAAAAAAAAAAAAGGTCAAAGATAAGTTCGAGGACAAAGGTCCATGAGTGGGACGATACCGCACCGCTATCTCGTCAAGTCGCATGCCTCCGAGGCCCGACTCCCAGAACTTGCGCAGCTCGCGACGAAGGCCATCGAGGTCATGCACATCGTAAGGCGCCTTGTAACTGATGCGCTGGCCTTCAACAATGACACTACGATTGGGCTGTTCGAGCGCCTCGCGCAGTTTGGCCATATGCTCGGCAGGGCGAGGCCGCCCTTTCTCATCGACATCGGCACGGACGGCTTTGATGACCTAGGAGGAGGCAGTTTGGACAGGGTAAGGGCCGCGCCAAAGTTGGTACGGCGGAAGGCCAGGACACGGGCGAGATGGACGAACATCATCGTAATTGAGCTCCTCTTCTGCTGACTGGCTGACGTAGTCGGTCACAGCTTTGATAATCAGGGGCATGAACACGCCCAAGTCGGCATCCGCCGACTTGGCACGCTTACTTGGAACAAACGCCATCCTCTCCCATCCGTCCGGCACCCATTCAGCGGTGTGATGCGATCCAAAGTGCCCCCTACCCCCCCACCGAGCTCGTCCACTGAGACAGGAGAGAGAAAGGAAAAAAAAAAAAAAAAAAGTCGCGGTTCGTCAAGAAAATGCTGACAAGCTTCAAGAGCCTTAATGTCTGACAAATACACAAAAACGTCTGACAAATCGTGAACTTGTCAGATAAAATGTGGCGCTGAGGCGCGAAAAAGGAGCACACCATCTCATTCTTCTTCTGCGATCACCGAGGGGCCGTTGAGAGGTCGGTGCGCAGGCGTTGTGCTGGCGGCGGGGGAAGGCGTTGGGCTGAGGGATTGGGGCGCTGGTGGCGGGAAGTTGGAGGCCAGGGTTGTGATCATGTTTGTATCTGACCTTGGTCATTTGGTTTTTGCCAGCGTGTGCGACTTTTTTTCTGAGCATTGGCAATCAGTTTTTTTTTTTAATGTGAGCCCCCTACTCGACGATCCACGAACCATAACGGTGAGGCGGCGCCTTCTTCAACCGGAGCATGGATACCATTGCTTTGGGCAGCGGGCTGCATCAGAATTCTGCTCTGTTCGTCCGTGGGCGCGTTTGTCTCATATACACCTGGCTGCTGCAGAGCTGCCAACCAGAAGCATGGACGGTGTGAAAAAAGTTGACTTTCACACTCACATTCTCCCTCGCGAAATTCCCAACTGGAAGGAGGTGCGTTTGCGCCATGAGCAAATCGGAGCGAGCCGCCAGGCCGGGCAGGCGTGCAAACTCTTCCGACTTGCTCTCACGAGTCCCGCTGCCCGCAGGAATTTGGCTACGGTGGCTTTATTCGACTTGACCACCTGGAAAATGTCGGTCGATTTGTTCCCACTCGAGTGGCCTGCAAATGCCCTGCATGCCGGTCCATTGGCCGCCGTGTAGTTTTGCGTTCCTTGATCTGGTCTCATGGTTTGATTGAGGGGCTTTCTCTCTCTTCCTCTTACTTTGCCTCCTTCTTGCTTTGTGCAGGGAAACGCCAACATGATGAAGGATGATGGCAAGTTTTTCCGCGAGATTGAACCCAACTGCTGGGACCCTGAGGTCCGGTTGAAAGAAATGGCAGAGACAGGTATGCATTGAATAGCCGATTCGCATCCAATGCGTGCATGCCCCTGTTTGGCAGAATGGTGGCTTACGAAGGACCGTCTCTTGGGTCTGGCGTGTAGGCGTTGACGTGCAGGTCATCTGCACCGTGCCCGTCATGTTCAACTACCACGTACGGCCTCTCCGTGTGGTTGACCTCCGAATGCCTTTCTTCTTCGCTGCTTAACTGCTGTGTACACCGCGCCCTGATGACTCGACACACGGCTTGCCTCTGTTGTGTGATGTGTTTAGATTAAGGCCGCAGATGGCCTCAAGGTGGCACGCTTCCTCAACGACGACGTGGCCAAGACATGCGCAACATACCCTGACAAGTTTATTGGGCTGGGTACTTTGCCAATGCAGGTCCGTTACCTCGCCCTTCCCTTTGCTTCCCTTTTTTCCCTTTTTCTTTCTTTCTCTTGTTTGTCTTTGCCTGTTGACATACAAGGATGTCTCTTGGCGGGTAGGATCCAGCTTTGGCGGCCGAGGAGCTGCGGCGTTGTCGCAACGAATTACACCTTGCCGGTGTGCAAGTTGGTGCGTTTTGAATGTATTTGGAGGTCCGACCTCCCCGTATGTGGGGCGTGGTGGCCGTGCTCATGGACGCACATTGGCTTGGGCTCTCCGGATGCAGGGTCGCACATCAACAAGTGGAACCTTGACGCGAAGGAGCTTGAACCGTTTTGGACCGCCTGCGAGGAGACGGACGCTGCCGTGCTGATTCATCCCTGGGATATGGAGCAGACGGGCCGTTACGCCGACTACTGGGCCCCGTGGCTTGTGGGCATGCCGGCAGAAACCACGCTGGCGATTATGACCATTCTGATGGGTGGGGTCTTGGAGCGCCATCCCAAGTTGAAGCTGTGCTTTGCACATGGCGGTGGGAGCTTTGCCTTTACTCTTGGGCGGATTCAGCATGGATACAACGTTCGGCCAGATTTGTGCGCAAAAAAATGCAAGAGGGACCCCCGCTCCTTTGTGGGGCAGTTTTGGGTCGATTCAGCCGTGCACGATGCGGATGCGTTAGCCTTTTTGGTCAAGATCATGGGCGAAGACCGCGTGATCATGGGCAGCGATTACCCCTTCCCCCTGGGCGAGCACCATCCTGGCAAGGAGATTGAGACGCACACCCAATTGGACGAAGCGCTCAAGAGCCGTCTCCTGGCGCGCAACTGCCTGCAGTTCTTGGGCAAGATCTAAACCGTTGCAAAAAAATCTTGTCACGCTGATTCACAACACATTTGTTTCTATCTTGTGCCTTCATCTCTTGGCCGGGTTCTGTGTTGCTGCGATGGAGAGCCATCATCATTCACAGTGTGTGTGTGTGTGTGTGTGTGTCAAGTGATTCCAATCGAGATCCGACTCTTTATTTTTGGGTGTATCCGCCATAAATAGGGAAAGGTCCTTCTGGAAGCCGATGACCCTAAATATAACATATTACTCTATTAATAGACCTACCTGGCCAAAGTTGGCCTCGGAGTTATGACCTTGTGCTTTTGATCGCTCTCTCGCTCGCGTCTTGTCCGCAGATTGGGCCCTTTGCTTGGTTTCGCTCTTTGTTTCAAGTTGTTTTGCTGCCTCCCACCTTGCGCGTTGTTGATCTGTCACGCTCTCTCTCCTCTATTTTCTCTCTCTTCTTGCTCTCCTTGCTCTCTCTCTCTCTCTCTCTCTTTGGGGGCGCATGTCTATCATACCTGGGTGGATCCAAACGAACGCACCCGCTTTGAACCTTGTTTCAAGCACAACCTTGCGCTTGTCCCCGCCATGAGCTGGTCTCCATCCATTTTTTACGCACCACCACCACCACTACCACCACTTGATTGATTCACCTCTTGAGTTTTGTTTGTCGTCAATCCGCCCGTCCACCCCGTGCTGCTGCGCTGCCCTCGGCCTTGGGCTTTGTGGTTTTTCTGTCTTGTAAGAGTGCGCGATCTACATTATTACCAGTCTGAGCCTCTACCCTGCTCGTTGGCTGCCGCCCGCCTCGCCGCCTCGCCTCCTTGCGCCTTTTTGTTTTTTTTTATGTGTGTGTGTGTATCTAAAAATCTGACGGCCTGCACCAGTCCGAGTGACCTCGCGTGCATCTGATCCTTTCTGTATTTGAGTCCCTGTACATGTTCATAACAACCCTTCCACTTCCTTCGCACGCACGATTTGCTCCGCCATACCCAGCACCATGTCTGCTACTGTATCAGGTTGGTTTCCATACCAATGCCCAGGTGTTGCCCCCATTTTTTTTTCCTTCTCATGGCTCGTTGGCTCCCTCACCCTGGCCCCGCCACAGTGTCCCAGTGTCTCGAGCTGCTGGGTGCCCAACTGGGCAAAAACATGAGCACGAGCCGCAACGAGTTTGCCAATTTGAAGCTGCCAGCCGATCTTCAAGAAGCCGCTCGCCAGCTCGACGCTGCTGCCATCTTTGACGTGGTGGATAGCCAAGGCCGAGTGGCGCTGCACCTCGATCTCATGCCCGAGCTGACACGCCTCCATCGCGTGACCCAACATCGACGCTCGGGCCTGCTGAGTCTTTTTCTACCTCGAGCCACTTTGGCCCGACTCTTGCATGGTCTTGTTGACACGTTGGGACACGATCAAGTAGGTGAAGCTGTATCCCCACCTGTGCATCAAGGCTCTGCGTCCAGTTTTGGCCCTTTTCCCTGACGTCAGTGTCATCTTTAGGCCAGCAACGACTTGGTCGTTGGCGTTCTTCAATCCAAAGCCTTTGCCAAAGCGACCCAAGGTAGGCTGCTTGCTCAGATTTCTTCCCTGTTCTCGTCGCACGCCTCTCTTGCTTTCATCACTCTCATCGCATTTTCTCATCGCGCATTCATTAGAACGCGGAAGAGCGGTTGTCAAGTTGCTGGCTAGCCTGCTGGCTGGCGTGGGCAAAAACGGCCAGTTTGGCTCGGACATGCGCGGCTTTGTGGAGCCTCGACTAGCTGTTCTCAACCTTGGCCTCGCCTCGCTCGGCTTTCAAGTCGAAATCTGCACCAAGACCACGCGTGACAACAAGCAGCAACACTCGCTGAGTACGTCAATGGCCCCCTTGTGCTGTGTCCCGTTTCGCGTGGAACATGACTGTCTGCATGAAAGATGACAGGCGCACGGTTGCTCGTCCGCCACCGCCTGTGCTCACATCGCACCACCGCCCGTGTTCACATTGTCGTCCTTTTGCTTCCTTGCAGAGGTTGGCCTCTTGGGTCCGGATGGCCATCGGGCTCAAGGTCAGCAACCAGCTCAGCTGCTGGCTGGAGCCGTTGTGCCGTACATGCGGGCCGTGGCCTCGACCAATGGCGATACTTCCGACGCTTTGACCAGCCCACCCCCAACCTGGCCTCAGCAGGATCCTGCCACCGTTGGCATGTCGACACCGCTTCCGCCCGATGTGGTCAGCTGTTCTTCTCATGCAGACTCTGGTCTGGATGCTGGAGACGAGGTCGCCGCACCTTCTTCTTCTTCTTCTTCCACTGCAGACTCTGCAGAGGCCATTGACGAGGACTTTGTTCTGGACGACCTGGACGATGTTGGCCTTGATCTTATTCTGGCTGGCTCCGCTCAGACCACCCCTGAGACCCAAGCGGCGCCGCTCAGGCAGGATACAATAAGGCTGGCCCGCACGCACTCGACGGCTGACCCAATCCTCCCGAGCGATTCTACCGCCGCCCCACCTCCCAAGCGCTCGCGACCGGCACCCGAAGTTACCACCTCCAACCCGATGGACCTTTCCGTGATGGCTACTCGAGCTGTCCATGAAACGCAAGCCGATGCTGACATTGCTAGCATTCGCAGTGACCTCTTGTCTGTTGATGCCGAGCCATCGATATCGACGGCGTCGTTGCCCGCATCTGAACAAGGGCTGGCGTTGCCCGCGCTGCCCGCGTTGCCCGTCGACTTGGTCCGACGCGACAGTCATTCTAGCGTGGAGGAGCCATTGCGCTCGACGCCGACGGACGCGCATTTGGAAGCATCCCCCGTTGTTGGAGGGTTTTCCACAGCCGTGGCCAACTGGGTCCTCGAGATGGACGTGGACGTGAACTGGGAGTTGGACGCGTGGGACGTTGGACTCCAACCCCATTCCCAATCACAAGGCATCGGGCTCCAGCCTGTGGCTGCACCACCACGCCCTGATTTGGATGTAAATCAGACACCGATGGCGGTGGAGGTGCCGCGCTCGGAGTCTCAAAGCCCGCAATCCTTGGCCAGATGGCCACGGGGTGCCGTGCGCTTCAACCGAGACTCGCTGCAACCGGCCGCTAGCATGGCCACAAACACACAGCAAGCACCATCTTTGGAGCGCCGTGCACCACAACAACCATTCCGTGGCCGTCCTCTGGCACCCACACCGGATGATTTCAGTGGTGGCGTGGGCCATGCCTTGAACGATGATGTCGTGCAATTGGCTTGGCCAGGCCCTGAGCTGCAGGAGCTGCAGGAGCAGGGCACCAGCGCCCAAGGATCCGTGACCTCGGGCTTTCATGCCGAGACATGGCAAGAACCGACTCCACAACAAGCCGCTGCTGCAAGGGCAGCTGCACGCTTTCAAGGACAGGCATCGGCATCAGCCTTTGACGAGGCCGGTAGTCCGTTGCCCCGTGTGGCCACGATGCCGACCACACCCGTCATGGTTGATGGACAGGAACTGGGCGGGTTGCAACAGCACGCCTTGGCCCCACGCACCAGTGATGCCGCTGAGGCTAGGCCTCAACAAGATCGCCGCGATGGCGATGGCGATGGCGATAGCAACCATGGCTCCCGCCTGTCGCGCGAGACGGATAATCAAGAAATGACTCAAATAAGATCCCACCCAGGTCAGATTTTGGACAGCGCCAAAGTCACCCATGCTGCGGTCCGCCTGCCCTATACTGACCTGATTGCTCACCTCATCCCTATTGTTGTTTCACTTCGCATCGCAGCACGCCAACTTCAACCCCACCTGGATGAAGCTTCCAGCCTGGACCTGTCCGAGGCTCGGGTCTCTGGACAGCGCCAAACATTGGACCGACAACAGCTCGAGGAGCTTTCTGGCCCACCGGGTGCCCTTTCCGACTCAGCAGGTCAAACTGGACCGCTTGATGGCGTTTTCCTGGCAACCCCTACCATTCAGCCTGTACCGAGCTTTGCTGCCAATGGCAGCGAAGCTGCTGGTCTATCCACCAGCTCGGACACTCAGGCTCGAGAGGCCACGGGTGCCAGCGAACGAGCGCTTCAGGCTCAAGGACCCAAGCAACCACAATCGCGACGTGATGATCGACGCGATGATCGACTTGCAGATGCTGCGGCCCATTGGGCTCTGGCCGGCGAACAGACGGCCGTTTCGGAGCATCTGATACTCGATGAGTTGTCGTCGCCGTCCTCTTCTTTTTTGCAGGGCTGGCCCGAGGCAGTGGCTTTCGACCGTCTTGGTCGCGTCGTTGGCGATGCCGTCTGTATGTTGGCAACGGCTGGAATGTTCAAACGAGCCTTCCGCCCACAACGCGATCGACCCGCATCCCAGCCACAAACTGCACGTCGGGCGTCTGGGCGAGGTGCTGCCGAAAGCATCGACACCGTTGAGGGCTCTGGCTCTGCCAGGCCCAGCATGGCTGTTCGCGAGTCGCCTCAATCGACGGCAGCGCGACCTCTCTCGCTGCTGTCGTCGGCGGCCACGCGTTCAGACCAGCGCGCGTCCGACCACGCGCACGGCAACGGTGCCGTGTCTTCTCTGCAAACCCAACCCCGCTTCCAACCCCAGCCCCAGCTTTCTCAGTCAGTCTTCGACACCGTTGAGGGCTCTGGCTCTGCCGGGCCCAGCATGGCTGTTCGCGAGTCGCCTCAATCGACGGCAGCGCGACCTCTCTCGCTGCTGTCGTCGGCGACCACGCGTTCAGACCAGCGCGCGTCCGACCACGCGCACGGCAACGGTGCCGTGTCCTTTTTGCAAAATCAATCCCAGCCTCGGCTCGCTCAGTCGGCCTCATTGGCGACTGCGCCTCAAGTGAAATTGCGAGTGCGCATTCGCGCCACGCAACACGCTTCATCCCCTACCGGTCAAGCGTGCTTAGAGCATTGCCACCGCATTTCTCAGTCATGCCTCTCACACAAGTGTCTTGCTGAGCTCGGCTCGACTAAGCTTGATCTTTCAGCTTGGACCCAGCAGGTGATCAAGGCAACTCGTTGATTCAGCATGGCCCTGGCCATTGAGGCTTCAAGAGGCAAAGCATTAAAAAAAAAAAATTGCCCTTTTCCTTTTCCTTGTTTATGTTGTGTGTGTGTGTGTGTGTGTGTATTGTCTCGACCACTGTCCGATTTGCTTGCTGCGTGTGCGTGTGTGTGTGCGCATTCGTTTGTTTTGACCCCCAATCGAGCACTCATGGTTCAAGAGTCACACAGAGCATCGACAGAAGAGAGTCCAATGTTTAAGATACAAAGATTGGTTGGAAATTAGAGAGAGAATAAAATTGGTCATAGTACATGTATTATTGTGGCAAGTAGATGCAGTCTCCTGCCACCCACACAAGGCAAGTGCTGAGCCCACCAAAGCCACGACCACTCGACGCAGTCTTGAAAGAACGTGGGGGAACAAGAGCCACAATTGAGTGTTAAATCGATAAAAGTGTGGGACCCCATCCGCTTCCTACCAGTCAACTGACAAAGCTCACTACGCATCCTCCAAAACCTCTTGAACGGCGTTCTTGTTCGCCTCGTACGCCTCCTTCGACTCTTTCCAGCGTGAACTGTGCTTGACCAGGTAATAGGTCAAGAAACGCTCGTCCACACAGGCACGGAGACCCAACTCTTTGAGGTTGAGTACATACGTGCGGTCAAATTCCACGTCTTGAGCACGCTTGCGCTCTGTATACATGACATCCCCTCCAAAGTGCCACCGATCAAAGATGGCGTGGCCGCAGTGAAAGGCATAGGCAAAAGGAATGTAGGCCTTGATCACGTTCTCTGTTAGATCAGTGCGCAAGTTGGCGCCATCCTCAAGCTGTGCATAGCAGGGCAGGATGGTCGAGTTATCCGTCGAGTAGATCCGCACCAGACGTGCACTGTGCCCGATAAAATGGCAGTCATGCTTGGTAAACAGGTACCGCGCAATTTCATGTCGCTGCGTGGCCACGCGATCGTCGGCATCCAAAACGGTCACGATACGCATCATGGTTTGGCTGACGGCAGCGTTCCGGTTGGGCCCGGCCATCAGCTGGGCCGCCCGACCGATAATGACCGTGCGATTGTGGACCAACGGAGCCTTGTTTAGTTGAAGCAAGAATTTATTCGCATGTACAAAAGAAATTTCGGAGGCACCAATCACCACCTCATCGGGTGGCTGTGTGCTGTTCCACGCCGTCAAGACGCAAGCCTCAATGTGCGGCCAGTGCCCGGGGTACAGGCCAACGGCCAATGTCAGAGTGGGCCCCACCTCAGGCTGCGGGTCCTGCTCCCACGGCGCCAGACCTTGCTGGTCCCGGGTGCTGGTGGCCGAACTGCACCCGTAGGGTTGATCCACAGCAAAGCTTACTTCTCGCGAAATGCGTTCGCCCGGTGGGAGCGCGCGGCCCGAGAGCAAATCCGCCATCACGGCCAAGGACATGTAATGGGCGTGCAAAAAAACGGCAGGCAGCAGGTTGCTGAGGCTTTCGGTTGATTCCAAGCTCTTCAGGACTGGACAGATGTGGTGGAGGATCTCCATTGGTTGTAGCACGGCCACGGGCACGGTCTCGTCGAGCAAGTAAAACCCCACCGACACGGTGTTGCCCATGGTGCGATTCAAGCTCTGATCGGCGAAAAGTGGCGTCAATGCATCTGATTGCTCACCCAGATCGGTCCAGATCAAGTGCGTGACCGTGTCCGCCTGCTTCTTCATGACCTGGCACATCACCTGCCAGGGGGCCAGGTCCTCCGTAGCTCGCTTCGGTCGTGGCGACCAGAGCGGAGTGCAATCTGCCTGAAAAACTGTGCCTTCGCGGCATGCCAGCAACGCGTCACCAAGTACCGCGTCTGGTGCCAGCATCAGCGCCAGGCCCAGTGCCAAGCAGACAGCCCCGTGCATTGAAACCACGCCCATCCTGAGCAGTAGTGGCCGGCGTCTGGTCGTCAAATCGACCAACTGTGCCAAATGCACACACACAAGACACAAAAGGTGGGAGGGATGTGGAAAATGTGTGAAATTTTCACGTGTCAATTGGTAGCATGTCAAAAGTCACAGAGGAAGAGAGAAGAAAGAAAGAAAGAAAAGGGAGGCGGGGGGTGGGGAGGAAAAACCATTCGCCTCTCGTTTCTAGTTTGGTGCAACGGTGGTCGAGAAGGCTCGGATCCATTCCTGATACTCGTCCTGGTTAGCCTGAAACTTGATGACCCGATCTAGCAATACACGGAAAAGATGCGTGAGAGAGTGCAAGAAAGGCAATGTTGAACAGCCATGCAAGAAAACGCTATGAAGAGCCCCCTCCGCCTCGCCCGCCTCCCCCCAAAAAGGTGGTCACAAGACACTTACTGCCTTCGTCAAAGGCCAGATGAAAAGAGTTGTGCTTGGAGTTGGGATCCACAGACAGCTGAAGATCTGCAACATCCACCTGTAGCCACGGCGTGTCGGAAAACTAGGTACAACGGGCACGTTGATTATAATGCACATCCCATGAATGCATCACGATGGCGACCAGCAGCTTGCATCACGTGGCGTGTAGCTGCAATCAGGACTCACCGCCTCCTTGCGTGTCTGGCCCTTGCAGTTGACGCGCTGCTTGAAAATAAGCACGCCTTTTGCGCGCAAGCGGACCCAGCTGTGTCCGTACATGGACCGATAAGCGGCCATCAACTACATTGACGATGATCCGATCAAAAAAAAAGAGTTCATGTTCATCCAGAGTAAGCGGTGCCTGCTTGATCGGTCACACAACAAGGCAGCCTGAAGGACAAAAGCACGTACCCGGCGTTGCTCACGATGACGCAGATGGCCCTCCTTTATCAACTCGCCATATTGTTCTTGCTCCGCGTCCATATCCAATGAGGAGACCGGCTGCTGTTTCTCGTTCAGAGGGGACGTAGCCGTAAACGCCTCATCCTCCTCACTATCGGACGCGTCGCGCATCTCATCCTGCCCAAGCACGCGCACACACCCCACGGGCCAACGCAAACAAAGGATTCAGAGAGAAATTTTGTCAGCACGCCATATCTCGACCGGCGCTTGATTGGCTGATACGACTTGAACCACAAATAGCAGCGATAGTCTTTGCAAACCAACCGGGCGGGAGGAATGTGCAGAAGATTGAGGCTCGTCGTCTTCATCTTCCAACAAGGCGGAGGAATCGGCATTGGCCATGCTGCTGGCCGCAGACGTCGTGACAATCTAGCCACCCAAACCAAGAACAACCCATCCGAGTTGAGCCACCAAAAAGACAAGGCAACACCTGATTCCCCCATCCGCCATCGTGGCTCCCATTCAGCTAATTTGCAAAAGCGCCGCGCAAGCAAAGGTATACTGACCTCCTGTGCTTTGGGTGCAGTGTTCCAGAAGACGATGGCGCCACCTAGCGATCGTGTCTTGCGATGACCTACGAGGTGGCACACGTTCATCTACATGACCCCTGCACACAACATCTGAAGCAAACGGCAAGGCTTTCGATGTTCAACGCACCCTTGTTGGGTGTTCTCGAGCGGAACGGTAACGAGCTGTTCTTGAAAGTCCGCACGGCAGCGGAAAGCTGTACATCAGGATCGAATACCCCATAGGCACATGACAAGTGAGGGAAAAAAGAAGAGGAAGAAGAGAAGGAGGAAGAGGAGGAGGAAGAGGAGGGAAGGAGCAGGAGAAGGGGCTTGGCCTTGCTTCAGAGCCTCTCTGCGCTCATCAGACGGAACACACGTGAAGCAATAAGCGATACAAACCCGGCCATTGACAAAGCGAAAGGGCAGGTCCACCGTTCGCTCCTGTGACTCATCACTCTTGCGCCGGGGCTCGATTTCCAGACTTTTCCTGTGCACTCATAGAGCAATGCTCGGCGCCATGAGACCGTGCGTCCAAAGTCATGTGCTGCTAGCCGTGAGCAATGCATCAGACAACACATATACTCACTGGTAATGCTTGTTGTCCAGGTCCTGCATCTGGGCTTCGTCGATATTGATGGAAAGAAGTAAATCGCGAACAAACCCAATCACAGGGAAGCCGTACTCAGAGGCCTGGAAAGCTTCAAGTTGAGAGAAGATGCGGTCCTGCTCCTGTACCCCGGCTGCGCAGCCATAAGCCTCCTCTCGCTTGGAGGCAGTCTTGTTGTGCATCAGATCGGTCTGCGAAGAGCCGCCCACTCGGAACAATGAGGTGGGCAAGGTACCCGGCAGTGACATCAACCCTATCGTGGTCGAGCTCAACCATTGCTGCCACGCACCAGGAACATGCCGAGATACGGGATGCAGGGCAGCTTCGTGGTGGTCAGATGCTCGCGCACGGTGGCAAAATTGTCGTCTTCGGACAAAAACTCTTCAAGGCGCTCAAACCGCTCGGCGTATTTGTCGCGCAACAGCTACAATTGGGCCCGCAAATAGGACCAATCAGAGAGAGCAGACTAGAAGCCAGGGTAACACATCCAACTGTTTCGCCAAGGCACTAATTGGGCTTGGAGCTACGCACCTGCCACGTGTGCTGCAAGCGGTAGACCGGGGTCATGTGTAGACCAGACATGACAGCCAAGAGACTGTGCAGGTTGTTGTACTCGTGTAATTTCTACGAATACACCACCAATCATGGAATATCAATAAAAAAATGCGAGAACACTACTGTTTCCACTGTTCAGCGCAGATCACAACAATGTCGTCCAGATGATAAGATGTGGTGTCATCACTCGGCAGCCTAACTAACCCGCGCGAGTTTGATACAATGTGCCAAACGATCGACACGAGTTTCATCCGGTCCAAAAAGGATGGTCCGGGCGATCCAGTAGCTAATCTGTTGTGCGAAGAGTGGCAAGGGGGTACGGTTAGGAAGAGGTGAGTCAGCGGAGAAAGGTGTCGAGGCTTGGGCTTGGCCGTCGTGTGTGTCACCCACATTGTTAAAGCGGTGGGTCATGGCCATGACATTGGGAGCACGTTCCATCTTGTCCACTCGTGTCCAGGCACAGTTGACTAGTTCCTACATCCGGATACCGAGTGGCAACGCATGGAAGAGAGCTTAAGCTGCAGAAAAGGGCCTCGAAGTCAATGTGGCACCAGAAGTTCTGGGGTGGCCTGTGGGTTTTGGTCGGAGAGCAGGGAGCAAACCTTTTTACTGATGGCGCGAAAGCTTTGAATGTCCAGCAAAGTAAGTTGTTGCTACAATATGAAGGACATACACAGACACACACGTTGTGAGGCCATAGGTTTGGAGGTTTTAAGCAACAGGGCGTGAGGTTCAGCTGACCGCAATGTCCTCTGGGGGGATCAGTTTCTCAATGCGGTCGGTAATTTGTTGCTTGGCGCGTTCCTAGCAGAGGCAGACAAAAGCACCAAAGGATTTTGGTTCATCGCATGATGAGAGATTGGCGTGATGGATGCTTGAAGTTCTGGCATTGGGAGGGCCGGGCATTGGTACCTCGGCCGAAAGTGTGTCGTCAAACTCTGAGGCAAAAGTTTCTTCAGCATTGAAGATGGCATCCTCTTCCAGGCGCAGTTGTTCATCTGTGAGCTCTGAGTGCATGGCTTCAAGGTCAATGGCCAAGCAGGAACGTCGACGATTGAGTCTCAGCTGACGCGAGCGCGACGGGGTGGTTGGCGTTGGCGTCGCAGCCATGGCGGACTTGCTCGGGCGTTCTCAGGCCGGGACAAAAAAAAAAAAAAAGGCAAAGAGAAAGGGCGTGGATCAGCTGTGTGCTGAGAGGCCTGGGCCAGCACCAAGTGTTCATCAAGTGACCAGCATGGCGCGGCGGGAAGATCAACCAACAGCGACTTCCGAGAAGCAGCCTGTTCTGCAAGTATCAACTCGCAAGAGGCTTGCGGGGCTCGCTGTCTCACAGGCCACCGTCTACAAACTGGGCAGCGCACAAGCTAGCGCAAGACTACGTTCTAATCCCCAACCTCAGTTTCCCCCTCCCCCCCAAAAAAACCCCCTAGTCGAATCGGCCAGACCCCAGTCTACAACCCGAGTAGCCAGGCAGAGTGGGGGCGGGGCAAGATACACACAGCCGCGCATAGAAAAAAAAAAAAGAAAAAAAAAATTGATCAAAATCGGTGCCAACACTGCTCAAACAGTCTGACGACACACACACACACACACACACACACACACACACACACACACACACACACACACACACACACAAGAAAGAAAAAGACGAACAAAGACATAGATGCAGAGAAGAGAGAATAAGGACCAAGAGAAGGTGGAGAAGAGAAGAGAGTTAACTTGGTGGAGAAGAAGAGAGACAGAGAGAGCGCGCGAGTGACAGAGAGACAGAGAGACGGGGAGCGCGCGCGTGACAGAGAGACGGGGAGAGAGCGAGAAGAGATTGATAAGAAAGCGCATAATTATAACATAGTGAGAGACATAAAGGCATAGTCAGTCGTCAGAGAAGAAAAACAAAGAGAATGAAACACTCGGACGAGATGAAAGATGGCTGTTGTGGGTTCGGCACGAACGGATTGATGTGGCTGGCTGGGATAGGGACAGGGCAACGAGGCTGAAACATTATTTGGTGCAGATGGTCGAGATCACCTGCACATTGACCCGAGAAACCTTTCAAAGGCTTGACCTTGTCATGAGCCTGACACCAGGTGATGATAGAGCCAACATGGCAGACTAGGCCGGTTACAGCTGATCGGTGCAAGGTGTAGAAGATGCAAAGTGTCGAGTTGTCTTCGCTTCGCCTTGGCCAGCGTGGTTGGGCAATTCAGTACCACTCTCACCCCAAGTCTTCTCCATCATTGGCTTCATAATATTCACTATTTTCGGACACGGCCAGTTGTGAACAGCTGCGGCACTACTCGTCAGTCTCCAGTTCGAAGAGAAGCTCCTTGCTAGGAAACTCAAAGTGCTGTCCCTCGGGCTACAAGAGACCACCAATCAAGCGAGAGTACCAATGCCCAGAGACAAAACAAGTAAGAATTATGTCATGGTCGGAGTCAGCCCACAGGCAGCGTCCCTTGCCTCCCTGCCTCCCTGCCAAAGCTATGCGGTGCACATGCCACATACGAGAGTCACATAGGCGAGCTTGTAATCAGCACGTTTGTTGCGATGGTTTGTGCGACGATTCCTCTTGGTCTTGCCTAGACAGATGAAAGCACGCGCAAGGCATGAGCCAGTCTCAACCAGGCGCTTCTTCAAGCCACTCTCAACACCGTTGCTGCGCATGCGGTATCATACCAAGGACAATCTGTGTGTTGACGCGCTCAACCTCCAGGCCGTAAATAGACGAGAGGTAGTTCTTAATCTCTGGCTTGTTCATCCTGCGCATCAATGGCCCAGGATTAAAGGACGTCAAGATGAGTGTTGAGCAGCCAGGGTCGGGAACAAAGGCATGCTGGGCGAGCTACGCAAGTCGAGGGCGCGGCACAGAGCAAGTCAAGGCAGCTGAGGTGCACGCACTTCATGTCAACTCGAAACACGAGGTCGTTGGGCGCCCGCTCGCGGCGCACGGCCTCATTGCGAGGATAGATGGGACGCCCACTCTTGGGATGTGTGGCCACCTGGCCCTGCTGAATCGGCATGGGGTTGCTTGATGGCCGTACCAACGCCACCGTATACTCGGGCATAAATACTCGCACACCTCGAAAGGCCGTGCTGAGAGCCTTGTTCGCTGCCATCGTGTCACACACACACAAGAAAAAAAAAAAAAAATGAAACGAAACCACAAAGAGACCTCGAGATGAAGCTAAAACTATAGTTGTGAACATGTGGTTCCTTTGTGTCTGCGTGCATGCAAATGGTCGTGTTGGCCCGTGTGCCACTCGTCTTGCACACTCTTCTTCCTGTACCTCCTGCAGCGTGAGCTTTTCTCATCCCGCTGCGCTGCGGATCCACCCGACCAACCTTCAACCCCGGGGTGTAACAGTTTCCCCGCGGCAAGAGTTTCCAAAATTGGTACAAACTTCATCGAGAGCAGCACAAGGCCAAAAGAAAGGCTCACGCATGTCATCAACGCACACCGACACCAGGCCTCACTGATCGCGCGGGCTGCGCGCGTCATTCGCGGCCGCATCAGGTCTTGGACTGCGTGCGCCTGTGCATCAGTCTACCTGCGGCTGCACCAGGCGCCCGGCGATCCCAGTCATGTTGTTCCGCCGCCTGGGCCGCGCCGGAGCGGCCTGCATTGTGGCCTCGGTGCTGGTCAACCTCTTTTTGCTGGGCTACTACCTGGCCCCAACAAGTCCAGATGCTGCCCAGCTCGAGTTGCCTCGTGTGCGCCAGGTCGGGGAGCATCCCGCGCCGGGACATCCAGATCCAGTCGGAATCCATAAGGCCCTCGACGTGGTACCTCCACCTGCTCCTGGCCCTCGGCCCCCACCTCCTCCGCCCCCACCAGGTCCGCTGCCCGTTGACCCTGTGGTCAGCACCAAGCCACGCACTACACCTGGCTTGATCTCAGTCATTACCACCAAAGCTGCTCCTGCTCCCGCTCCCGCTCCTGCTCCTGCTCCCGCTCCCGCTCCAGCTCCAGCTCCAGCTCCAGCTCCATCACAAAATGAGAAGATTGTCGCTCCCAAGGAAGAGGATGATGACAATGACGAGCCAGACATTAACGAAGATCCAGATGAAAACCTCGAAATGGCCGTCGGCCAGGATGTAGCCGAAGGCAACCTCGATACCTCACGTGCCAAACAGCAGGTCAACACAAAGGCCAAAGCAAACAAGGATGCGGCAGCCAGCAACGATGACGGTGAAGAACGAGGCGCCACAGATGATGACGAGGCCAGCAACACGAACGATGAAGAGCTCAATACCGGAACCACCTCCTTTACTTATCGGGGTCTGCTGGAAGGAGCCACTAGTCCGCCCCTCATTGGTGTCATTACGGGTGGCAACAAACCCTCTGTTCAAACCAATCGTCAGGCCGTGATCGATACTTGGTTCTGCGACACTTGCTACATGGTGACACGAGAAGAGGTCAACACCCCACGCGTCATACGCCTCTCAGAGTATGCTGAAAATGGCGGTCACAAGGGCCTACCCCGCAAGGTCAAGCACATGTTTGCCGAAATCCACAACGCATTTGGACAAAAGTTTGAATGGTTTATCAAGGTTCGGTACCCGCTCCCGCCACCTGCTCCCATGCTTGTGCAGTCTTGTAGTCTTGTGCTCACCACAAGTGCCCAAACGCTCCCATTGTCACAGGCTGATGACGACACCTTCTTCAATATGCCACGCTTGCTCAAGACTTTGAGTGCGTTTGACAGCAGCATCCCCGTCTACTTTGGCAAGCCCTTTGCCACCAAGCTCTCGGGCGTGGCTGGTCCGGGGCCCCTCTGGAAAGATTTTACGGCTCTCAACTTTTGCCACGGTGGTGCTGGCTACGTCCTCAGCCGAGCCCTTCTCGACATTGTGGGCCCGTACATCCGCGACGCTCCCGTCACCACCTCCCTCGAGGATGCAGCCGTTGCCTCCGTCCTCTACATGTACTCGGGTGTCAAGTGCATCAACATTAATGCCCGTATGTTTGGTGGCTTTGACTTGGTGGCCAATGCTCACGACCAAGACCTGATCCGCACTCAAATTCAGGGCTATGAACGCAGTGACCCCAGCATTCTACTCAAAACGGCGTCCATTCACTCCGTCAAGGCGGAAATGACAACGTATCTGGATCGCATGTACCGCAACCTTTACGCCAACACCAGTGCCGACCAGCTGCGCCGTGTTGACGACTTGGCTGAACGTGACCTCGAAGCCAAGCGACCCACCTTCACAACAGCTTGGAACTGTACCCTGTCCGCCCCTGCCGGTAGTCACAAGGCCATTTGCATGCAGTCTGCACTCAAGTCCCGACCTCCCAGCCGACCTCCGGCCCTCGACGTCGCCGAAGCCCTCAAACTCAAGCGACCCGCTACCGCTCAGCCATGCCCGGCCCCTGATGCCCGGCCTTCCGCGCCTCACGCCTGGCTGCGGGCCAGCTGGACCTTGCCCACTGCCCAAGAATCAAACACAGGCACGCAGCCTCTGGCTGCAGAGCCAAGCCACTTGCGGCAGGCCATCCTGGTGGCTTTGGATGAGTTTGAAGGCACGGCACTGGCCTCGCTGCGACTGCTGCATCAAAGCCTCCGTGCTTCGGGATCAGCGGCTACTCTCATTGTTTTCAGCACCGAGCCAGAGCGTCTTGCCAATGGTCCCGAGGCCACCGCCTGTGGGGTGGAAATTGTAGGCTACGACCCTCTGCTCATCGGCCAATTGTATGCCAAGCGCAATTCGTACAAGATTACAGACCAGATGCAAGCCCTGGCCGCCTTTCAGGCGCACCTTCGCGAGCACGAGGCCGAGTACGACCGTGTCTTGGCCGTTCCTCTTGACACAATCTTCCAGCATGACCCGTTTGCTGCCCTGCCTGATCGGGATGGCATCCTGCTTTTCATCGAGGATCCTGTTGTCGTGCACTACAACCCACCTTGTTTTGGAGGGGCCATCAAAACGCACGAGGTACCTGCTGAGCTCTCCATGGAAACCTTTGCCGGTACACCCGCCGCTGTTGTCGATATGCTGGCCATTCTACTGGACGTCAATTATCGCACCCGGCAATGCCCCTTCAAGGTGGCCGCCATGATTGACATTTACCAAAAGTCGGTGGCAATCCACCACCCGGTCGCCGTCATCAACCCCTGGGACGGCCCTGTTGCCTTTATCAGCGAGCGCCAGCCCGTTCGCGCCATTGCCGCTCCTCCCAACTCTGCGCAGACGCCTGGACCGGGGAACATGCTGCTAGTGAACCAGGCACGGCGTGTGGTGGCCTGGGTGGTGGCTTACCGAGCGCAGGCCGAAGCCCCACAAGAAGGTCCGGTGGTCATACCACCGCAAGACACGATCAAGACAGATCTTGAATTGGCCCTCGAGCAGACGCCGGACAAGCTTCACTCGGTGCTGCGAAAGATTGCAACTTTTCAAGATCCCAGTCCGGCAGAATGGCTGCCCGACAGCAAGGCATATCTGCGGTGGTCGGCCCTGGGTGCTCTTTCGGCCCGAAGTGCGCCACTCCAGGCATTCAAGCCTCTATGGGAATTACTTGCGCGAGCCTCGACGTTCTCGTCCATGGCGGACCGCCCTATGGCCCAACGCGTAGCATTGCCCAGCACGCATAAGACTGGCAATATTGTGGCGCTGGGCCTGCTTTTTCGTTTTGCAGCTCGCCACCACCGCCACATCTTTCACCGCGGGGAGTGGCCTTTTCTGCCACTCGAGGTGATCAAGAGTCCAGATCCGTCTTTTGCTGGTCAATACGACATGGTCTTGAGCCAGCTGTGTGCCAAAGGGCAGTGGCATTATGCCGAATTCGGCCATGCCGACAAGATGTACACGCACATCCTGGGACCTGATCATCGCCGTGTGTTGATGATTGAGGACCCGGCTCAACATTACTTGAACTGGCTTTACTTTTACGTCATCCCCAAAAAGCGCAAGTTTAAGCCACAAACGATTGTAGCCCAGTATGTGGAGAGCCGCATGAACCGCAATCTGCAGCTCCAGGAGTTTGCCGTGCGGTCGGAATCTCAATATCGTGCTTTTCTGCAAAAGTACTTGAGCAAGTTTGACGTGGTCATTTTGCGCGAGCGGCTAGACGAAGGCTTGGTCCTGTTGCGCCGCAAATTCAACTGGAACTTGGAGGACATTACCTATGTCAAACCCTCGACCTCAGGAACACGGTTTGATGGCAAGTTTTTGGCGCGCACACCCCGCGTGGACGCATTACCGGAAGAGCTTCAAAAGGGCATCCGGGACCTGGTACAGCTGGATCAACGGTTTTACGACGACATGACCCAGCGATTCGACGAGCAGGTCTCGCAGCAGTCTGATGACTTTCACACCGAGGTTTGTTGTGACCGCGCTGCTGGGGATAGTCAGAGCCAGGTAACAGGAGGGTGGGAAGGAGTCGAGTTTACAGTGTGTGAACTGACGATCATGTCTGGTGGGGGGATAGGTAAACACGTTTCAAAAGGTCCAGTCCACCTTGACTGAGCTGTGCCGCCGGCACAACGGGCACCCGGTCTGCAAGTGGTATCAGCTAGATGAATACTCTATGTTTGGTATGCTCGGCCCGGAGGGCTACACCAAGGCCGTGCCTCTCATATAAAGTCTTGTGTTTGTTCGTGATGGCCGAGTTGATCAATAATGCAATGCATGATGATGAGTGAAGGCATACCATCCACCAAGCGCGTGTGTCGGCTGTGGGCGTGTGCTTGCCCTAGAATCATGATGGGCTGTCCACACTCCACGCACAGAAGATCTTCATCCACCACCACAGCCGGAAAAAAAAAACCCATTTGTACATCATGATCAAGCACCACACACACTCAACTGCAGTCAGATGTAGGCCCAAAAACCTACTACATATGTGTGTGTGTGTGTGTGTTCCTCCAAAATAAAAGTTTGTGTGAGAGTGAGAGATCTACAGTTTTTTTTTTTTTTGGGGGGGGATCGGTGTAGGTGGTGTAGTGGGTAGGTGGGGTTTCTGTCGATGGCAGTGGGAACGTGGAAACGTGGGAACGTGGGAGCGCGTCCATGAGTTGGCAGAGGGTACCAAGCGATGCGATCTTGAGAAGAGAATGTGTTGACTGTGTCTGGTCTGGTCAGCTTTGAAGATCAAGAGGAAGATGCGTCAATACTGGTTGTTCACGTGTCAATGTTTGTGTTGTAGTATTAGGCAACATGCGCTGGATGCTTGGCCTGGCCGTGACCGCCCTCGTCGCTGTCAGCGGTAAGAACTACCATGCTTCCAGGAAGCCTTTCGCTTTCACAATGAGCTGATTGGGCCCAGGGAAAACTTCTTGTCGCAGTCACGTCGGCGCAGCTTCTTTTGTTTGAGCACTCGTGCGTGGCTCGTGCCACACCACTCTTGTGCACATCCACATACATGCACGCTCCTGGGGGGCGGGAACTGGCATCTGAGACTCGAGCATTTCTTTTCTCACGCTTGTTGGATCCGATCAAATTCGTTCCTTGCCTTTGTACGCCTTTGTAGACGGGGCTTCACCCTGGGATTGCGATGCTCTCGTCCCGGGCGTGTGCGGATTTCCCTTCCCAAATAATTTTTGGCGCAGCGAGACAGGTCGTGTCAATGTGTCCCTGAACACGTTCCCCGTTTCTCGAGAGGGCCAAGACATCAATCCAGAGCAGGCGGGGATGACGGAAATGGACGGATTTTCTCCCTTCCCCATGATTAGCACCTATTTTCACGATCTCGATGACAGCCAGCTCGCACACTACTGGAACATTGAAGTCTCAGAGGAGCCTGCTGCCCTTTCCATCCTGCTTGAGGTCGACACGGGCAAGATGATCCCTCATTGGGTTGAGCTTGATCATTCGGCCGATGACTTGCATCCCAGGGTCCGTCTGTGAATGTCATGCCTTGTTGCTATAGGCTTGAAATGCTCGTGTGAAACATTCTAGCGCACACAACCCTGTCTTAAGCTCACCTAGCCCTTCGTGCTCGATGCGATGCAACTGGTGTTGATCCCAGGTCTACAACCGCTCGCTGATCATGTGGCCAGCCTATCGCCTTCGAGACAACACGACTTATATTGTGGCCTTTCGGGGTCTTACCACTACCGCGGGTGGACCTGTGCTTCCATCGAGCGCCTTTGCAGCACTGCGAGATAACCTCACTTCAACCAACCCAGCCGTGGAAGCCCGTCGTACCAAATACGACAACTTCATCTTTCCAACCCTGGCTCAAGCCGGTGCGTTTTGTCTTGTCACGCATCGATTGAAAACGTTGGTTCAAGCACATGGGCTTGGTTGAGTTTTGCCATCTCATGGCGCTGCTCACGTCTGCAGGCATCTCGCGTTCCAGCTTGACCTTGGCTTGGGACTTTACCACCGCTGGTACCCACGTCCTGACAAATCGCTTCTTGTCCATGCGCGAGGATGCATTCAAACGCACCACCGACGGCATTGACTTTCGCATCACGGAAGTCAAGGTGCGTACCTGCTGGCATTGGACACGCTGCTTGGCATAGTATGGGACGTTGACGTTAACTTGGACTTTTGTGTGTCTTCGCCGTTGACTTCTTTCGCTTTCTTTCTTTTCGTTTTTTTTTTTTTTTTTTTTTTTTTTTCTTTTTAATCTGCCATGGTGCCGTTCCAAAGGAGAACACCAACGATTTCATCGCTCGAGAAATTCACGGCACGATGGTAGTACCGTGGTACCTCACAATGTTCGAGTCAAGCCCAGCAGTTCGCCTCAACGTGCAGACCAACGACCCAAACACAGCCGTTTACAACGGTGATGGCGAGGTGGAATTCACCATGACCATTCCACGAAGCCTTGTCGAGTCGAAGACACAGGGCATGCTGGTGCAATATGGTCATGGTCTTTTTGGCGCTCAGCGCGAAGTCTTGACTGACTACCTCGCTGAGCAATCTAATCGGGACGGATACATTCTCTTTGCTGTCAACTGGCTTGGCATGTGCTATGAAGACGTGCTCACCATTGCCTCCATTGTCTCGGAAGACTTGACCAACTTTGCCGCCATTCCTGATCGGTATGCGACGCCTTCAATCAAGATCGTTGCGTGCAAGGATGGCAAATGGTGCACCTCTTTGTTTTGTTTTGCTTTTAGTGTCCAGAAAGCTAATGTGTCACTTTGCTTTTTCAATTTTTTTATTTTTTTTTTTTGCAGTTCACATCAGGGCATGTTGAACGCTTTGTTGATGATGCGCCTGGCATCGTCCCCGGCGTTTTACACGTCGGAACACCTGACATTCAATGGCACTACGGTCATCGACCCGACTCGTCGCCACTACTACGGCAACAGCCAAGGTGTGTGCTTCCAAGTTGTCAAAGTGTCATGATGCTCGCGAGGCTCGCGATGCCTTGTCACAATGGAATTCCGGTTGTGCGACTGGGTGCTACAGGTGGCATTTACGGCAGCGTCTACATGGCACTCACCACGGACGTGGTTCGAGGTGTTATCGGCGTTCCGGGTGCGCCATACAGCCTCCTCCTGCCCCGCAGCAAGGACTTTGCCGTGCTGTTTGACATCCTGAAGGTTCGTGACGCCACTTGGCTTCCACGGGACAAAAGCTGGCTGGTCAACCTGTCATTTTGCGAGAACTCTTGCACGTATCAACTGAGTTTTAGATTTGCGCCAAATCTTTGTGGCTTTTCAGGTCCAGTGTCTGATGTTCGGTCTTGTTGACCCTTTGATCGCCTCTCTTTCAAATAGGCTCGCTATGATGACAGCTCGGACCGTGTTTTCTTGCTATCTTCCATGCAACTTCTTTGGGATCGCATGGAGCCCTCAGGCTATTTGAATCGTGTCTCACGAGATCTGCTCCCAAACACCCCCAAGCATCAGGTGCTGGTGCACTATGGTCTTTCCGATGCACAAGTTTCCTGGCTGGGTGGCTTGCAGCTGGCTCGCTCCCTGGTATGCGTCTTATCCACATGCCTCTCAAACAGCCACGGTTGAGCAGGTCTTGCCGCCTCTTCTCATTCTCCCGACGCGACCGCAACTTAGGATTGTCACATGTTCTCATCCAATGTCCACGAAGGCAACTCAAGCCTTTACGGCTTTCCAATGCACGACGATGCCGAGGTGATTAGCGACGATATCAACTTTGCCCTGGGCTTCTATTGGAACACCCCACCGGTATGTTATGGAAGAATCGCGATTGCACAGATACCACCGCCCCTCGCACGTTCTGAGATTGGATGCCGCCTCGCCATTGCATCTTTACATTTGGTACCCGGGACGCTTTGCCAGGTGCCGACGGTCAATGTTCCACCAACTGAGGCCGACACCCACGGCAAAGAGCGCCGCTCGTTAGCCGCCCAGAAGATGATTGCCCAATTCTTTCACAACGGCACCATCTATAACCCGTGTGGCGGCCCTTGTGTGAACGAAACTTTGGCAGGTGTTTGATTTGCGCGTTTTTCGAACCCTGGTGGACATCTAAACATCTAGGTTTGGCCCGGTACAAGAGCGTGGCACACGCGCCGCTTTTGCTTTCTGTTTTCTTGTTATTTTTCTTTTTTTTTCTCTCAAATACGTTTGTGCGTTCGCATGTTATGTTTCTTATGACTGATTGGATTGCTACCATCCTTCATCAATGATTTAAACCGTGAGAAGGCCATGCTTCACCAAAATTGAAGCGGAGGGCACGAGTTGGCTCAGTTTTGGGGCAGTTCCCGCAAAAAAAGTGATTTTTTTTTTTTCCTCCCCCGAAGGTATCTGCCCCAGGCTCCGAGTTTTAGTCACTTTGGCAAATCTATCGACTTTATCGCACCGGTATTTGAAGATCTGGTTGACCTAGCAAAGCGCCAAAATTCTTCATCAGCAGATCACTTGATAATCCGCTTTGAGGCTAACATTCGTCTTTCAGTCACGGTTGCTCTGCTATTCTGAATCCACCTTTCAGGTGCCGCCATCATCTCGTTCCAGATGAAAGAGGGAAGGAAATAGAAGAAAAAGAAAGAAGAATAGGAAAAAAAAAAAGATTGAAATTGTTTTGCGAGTGGACAAGAGAGAGAAGAACACACCACACTCTTCGCCAATTTGAAATTTTACGGCAGGCAGACTAGCTGCGACATTCATGGGTATGTACCCCCCTTTACTTGACCCAAGCACGTTTCTTGTGGTCACCACCTTTCTTGAAGTCACCGCCCTTCTTGAAATCACCACCCTTCTTGTAGTCACCCTTCTTGTAGTCACCCTTCTTGTTCGATTTGCCGCCGCCCTGCAGCTGCTCGTTCATCATGCGCCTGAAAAGAGCGGGAATGGATGAGTTTGAGTGGTGAAAAGCACCATTGGGATGGAGATGATGCAAGCTTTCCACGATTACGTACGTGCGGTATTGCAGGTTCTTTGTGCGATCCAACACGTGCTGGTACACCGTTGTCACGGGTTTCGTGATGTGAATCTCGCCCGAGGCCGGGTCAATTTGCGCATCCAACTTGGCGTCACGGATGAGCTTGACGAGCCACTCCTCAGCATCATCCTCCGACTTGCCGAGGCGCGTGGCCGCATTCCTGTGCAGCAGCAACAACGCAAAACGAGCGTGAGAACAAGCGGACCAACCCCGCGCCAAGCGTCATTCTCCCAGCCAGCCGCACGGCAGCTTACTTGATGCTGACGCGGCTGTGAACGCGAAGGTAGACCTCGAAGAGGTACAATTGTGCTGTGTTGATAAATTCGTCCGTCATTTCAGCCAGGAAATAATCCTTGGAGAGGACCTCGCGGCACTGCTGCAGCTTCTCCTCAGCCGTGACAAAGTCAAAGTCCTTGATGAGGCTGACCAGGAAACCGACAACAGGGTCGTCACCGAGATCCTTGTCTTGGCGCGCAATGCCGACAAACTCCCACATGACATCACGCTTCTTGCGCCTGCTCATGATGGCCACAGCCGTGGCGTAACGGAAGAGATGGGGTGCGATGGTTTGCATGGCATTGGTGCACGTCTCCTTGTTCATGAAAAGGTCGACGATACCATCAGGGCCATCAGGCTGGTTGAAAAAGACGAACAGGCTCCAGTGCAACAGCCAGTTGCGCTGCTGCAGCTGTTCGACAGCCGTCAATTCGTTCTTGCCACCATCAATATACTCCAGGAGCAGGTACATGTCCTCCTGCGCTGTCTGCCAGTTGCCACTGAGGATGGCAGCCGCGAGCTTGCCCCACAGCGCGGTGAACTTGAGCTTGTCATCGGTAGACACGGCACGGTAGTTGTAAAGCAAGCCATGTGCCTATCCATTAGGGTGAGGCCAACAGTGAGTTGGGTCAACAGGCCAAGGCAATCAAGGTCAAAGCAGGATAAGCAGTCGGGAACGACGCCGACACACCAGGTCGTATTGGCCGCGATCAAAGTAAAACTTGCTACCATGGTAGAGCAGGTCGGCCGTGTTTTCGGTAAACTATTCCATAAACGGGCATGCGAGTTGACAGGATCAGGTTTCTGGAGACAAGGGCGAGGGAAGACTGCGGGTTCGAGGACTGCTGCCACCACAAGCCACGACCTGCCTCGCAACCACCTTTCATTCAACTGGCACGAGAAAAAACAAAAGCTTACGCCGTAGGGTTCCAGCTCTGACAGGAGCGAATCCTTGTTCTTCGTGGCTTCAATAATCGAGAGGACCTCGTCATTCTCAAACATCTCGAAAACTGGCTCCAACTGCTTCTCCCAAGTCTTCTCCTCCTCACTGATTGAGCGCATGCGGGCATCCAAATCTACACAGGGCCAGGGAATGAAAGGATAAGTCGGAGATAGACTTGATGTGGATGGAGCAAGAAAAGGCCTCCGCTGAGAACGCCAATTATAAAAAGATGTTGAGCTCAAGTCGACGCACCCTTCTTCTCGGTTGCGTCAGCAAGCTCCAGCGCTTGCTCGATGAGGCGGGTGCGGCTCAAGACCTGCATCTTGGCGCGCTTGAGATCGGCCTCATTGTAGATCTGGTACGTCCCGCAAAGCATCATGCATCACAATGAGAACCCTCGAGATACCTGGACAAGAGCAGCAAGTGGTACATGTTCATGGCTCGATCGGGGTGCAACCATCATACATCGAGGTCAACGCAGTGATCCAGGAGCGGCAGAATAAGGTGCGGGTCCAGGTTCTGGCAGATAGCCTGGGTCAGATCGTGTGCCGCCATGGTGCTACGGTATAGGGTAGACCACCTGCCAAGGGTGAAAAGGGAAATTGCCATGAGCTCCCATGTACACTCAGCATCATTGCCAGAGCTCGCGTCAAGAAACGCCGTCCCGTGTGTGAATGCAGCATCCCACAAAGTAAACAAGGCTACATGATGAATGGACAGGCCAAGGACCGAGCCCATGGGTACAAAAGAGGCGAGAGAATTTGCCTGACGCCAGTCAGCAGACCCAGCGCGTCGAGGTTCTCGCTCGCCCGCGCTCGCGTCTCAGCAGCAAGAAGAAGCGAGCTCACAATTGGTCTAGAAAACGGAAGATGCCCTCAACTTCAAACCCATGGCCCAAGCACCACATGCCCCCTACTTCTCCTGCCCTCAAAACACCAGCAGGCTGGCTGCCCTTTCCAAAGAGACAAGCCATACACCGGTCGCGCCATGATCCAGGCGAGCGAGGGAGCGCTCGAGGGGTCGTTGCCTTTTCTTGTTTCACCGTTCAAGCAAGGGTTAGACCACATGCGTGTGACTCACCACGGTGTCGGGGGTCGGGCTCTGTACCAATCTACAAATTATGACCCCCACACAAGAATAACGCACTCACTGCGTTCGCGTTCATAAAAGTCCCATTGGCCGATAAACTTGACCGACCCCTCGTTTCTTGACTATAATTTCGCAGTTCTGTGTGTGTGTGTGTGTGTGTGTGTTGTGTGTGTGTGTGTGGTGTGTGTGTGTGTGAGAGCTCGTGTCTCTCAAATTAAATTTTTTTTTTCGTTTTTCATCTCTCTGCTCTGTGGACGAGTGTGAGGTGTTGGTGTTGGTGCTGTCCCTGCTCTTGGGCTGGAGAAGAGAGCGGTAGTGGCCTCTGGGTGGGCGTTTTGCTCCTGGACGGCCCATCATGAGCGCCACAGTGGGTGCCGGTGCTTCGGTACCTGCAACACCAAAGTTGGCGCTCTTCAAGGCGCAAGCTGATGGTCCGGAGAAGGCTTCCCCCCTGCGCCATGTGGAGGGTCCGACACAGGCAGCCGGTGCACCACCAACCTTTTTGCGCCTGCTGCGCATCTTCGACACTCCAAAATTTCAGGTAGCTTGGCACGGCTAGCAGTTGATGTGGGCTCTGACTGAAAGAGAGCTCAACCAATGTCTCAGTGCTCACCACTTGATCCTCGCCTCTGTGCTTTCCCTTGCCTAGCCATCGCTCGTGTCCAAGACTCATCTCAAAGAGATGACCAATCTTCTGGACTTCTTCAAGCCCGCCAGGTTTGATTGCCAATTTGTCTCCTCTGTGGCCCAGTCGGGCTGAGCAGCACGGGGTTGGCCTGTAGATCATGGGCCGCGCTCATCAGTGCTGCGTCTGTTGTCTTGGCAGTGACTCTTCAAAGCAAGCCTTGCGCCAGGAGCTTTTGCCCAGCTCTCTGTCTGCTGACTCTGCCGAGCATGTCGTCAAGAAGAGACGCTTCGAGTGGATCGACTCTTTGGCGTATCTTCTGGTCAGTCTGCTCGCTGTCCCCATAGTGCTGGCCAAGAGTCACCACTCAGAGCGTTCACCGAGGTGAACATCTCACGCCAAGAACTGTTGCTTAGAACTTGCACCACGAGCAAGCTCGAGCTTTAGTCGAGCAGTACGTGGCCAACTCCCGGCCCTCCCAAGGCACAGAGCATTTGGATCATTACCTCATGTCCGAAGATCTTGCTGCCAATCTTCGAGCCAAGGTCGGCGTGCGAGTCCTGCATCGATGCACCGCGCCCATTGTCAAAACGCAACTATGGCATTTGGGCTCCCACGCTCATCGTCTCACACCGCATTCCGGTTTGTTTCTTCTATTCGGCCCGGGGAATGTTCACTTTTTCCAGCTTGTCAAGTTTTATTTGACCACTAGGCAGCGCGCTCTGGAGATGGTTGGCTTTATCCTTGCCAAGAGCGAAGAATCCGAGTACGGCACCCTGGCCTCCACGCTCTTGGCACACAACCCTCAAGAGCCGAGTGCACTCTTGGTCAATTTGACGCAACAGTACCTCAAACCATCACTGCAACTTCATTTTGCCTCGTTGTTGGCGGCGCGCGAAGACCGTGCCACAAAGCGCGCGGTATGTTGTGTGTGTGTGTGTGTGTGTGTGTGTGTGTGTGTGTGTGTGTGTGTGTGTGTGTGTGTGTGTGTCTGTGTGCAGGCGTGCGGGTTACATGTCTGCCACAGGCGATCACCCAGAGCTCATCATTCTCTTGCTAGGCTATCCTTCCGGTACTCCCACCCGCCAATGGCCGAGCCAAGCTGCTTCAAGGTAGTTCTTCTTAGTTCTTGGTAGTTCCTGGCAGTACGCCCTCTGCACTCATCCGTGCCGAAATTACTGCTCATGTACTTGGATTTTGGTTCTTTTCTCCGCATCCGAATGTTTTTTTCTTTTTCTTCACAGAGCTGCAGGTCAGCACGCCTACCCGGCCGCAACGCGCTGTGTCTCGCGCCACCACCAAAGATGCTGCACCCGGTATGTCAGGAGAAATGACGCGTCGTACTGTTGGCTTGTCGCGCACCACTTCTCCAGATTTCTCACGAAAATCTCAGCAGGATCCAAAAAGGATCAGGCTTCGGCTCAACTTTTGACAGATCGGCTTGAGGAGTTGTTCATGCACGCCTGCCTGGCAGAAGCACGGTTGCTTCTTTCCATCCTCTCCTTCGTCCTCGCAGTTCGTGACTCGGCTGGGTTTTCGCCAGCATCCAAGACACCTCCGATTGCCAACTTCTGTCTTACCTACACCTGCTTTGTTCGCTCTTTGTTGCAGCTGACGGATATCACAGAGCGTGAGATGAAACTGATCGTTCCTCTTTTTCAACAGCAGGTTCGGCTTTGACGTGCTCATTGCCAATGTTGGGTTTAAACCACGGTTCTGCGCAGCGCCTGCGTTTCAATCTCGATCAGGGTTCATGGGTCTCTTCATCTTTTTGACTAGATTTTACGACAAGAGGCCTTGTTTTCTGGGACAACTTGGTGGCAGACCAATCGAGAGCGCTGGCAGTCCACCGTGCGCTCCATTCGCGTAGAGCTCGTACTCGTCATGCTCTCCTGCATCCAAGCTCATCAACTAGATGACATTCTGAGTGATCTTGCGAGCTGGTATGTGCATGTCATTGATTTGCGCGCCGTTTCGACGAGCAAGGAGCGAATATACTCGGAGCAAGGCGCATAGATGCTGGTTGAAGCCCGGTCCAACTCATAGGCGTGGCTCGAAACTTCATTCCTACCACAGTGTCAATACCAAGCGAAGCGTCGGCTCTTCACTATTGGCCGGATATCTCGCCAGCGTGGCTCCACTGGACGCCTGCGTAGCTCGTGCTGCCGCTCAGCGCGTCGCTCCAGCCAAAGACGGCTCAGGTGCAGAGGATGCAGCCGATGCCGAGTGGCTGCTGCTTTTAGCCGTACCCATCCTCGCCTGGGCGGCGGTCAGCAGCGCCGTTGAGCGATTGATTGACCAAATTCCTTCCAATTTGGATGGTGCTGGTACTCTCGAGAAGCTTCGCCTGACGGACTCAACCACCCTGGCGAATGCTGTCTTTCTGCCTCCCGCCACCCTGGCACGCCTCACAAACTTGCTGCCAGATGCCCGTGAGTTTCATGCTGCCATATTGGCTTCCTCTACCCTTTGCTAATGTTTCAAATTCTGACTTTGTCTGACTTACCCCCCATCGTGCTTGGGCCTCATCCAACTTCCTTTGTCTTTGCTTAATGAATATCTGTTGGCAATCTCTGTGCTCTGCAGATACCAACGCGCTCGAGTACGGTGAAGTGTGGCCCTTGCTGCAGCTTTGTCTTCGAGCTGGAAATGTTGAACCGGCCCTGCAAGCCGGGCCCGGGCCCGACGCCCTCCAGCTGGCAACCCAAGCACTTCGAGCAGATATCATCGCTGGTGCTCTCGATGCTATTTTGACGAGCTTTGCCTTTGGTACCGCCACCAACAGGCATTATGGGCACGTGGTCACGCTCATTGTCATGCTACTGGAGCAATCGGCCCGCCTTCGCCAAGATGCAGCAGAGGCCTTGTGGCGCTTTGTCACTCAGCCCGACGAGCCTGCTGCCGCGAATCCGGCTGACAGCAACCAAGTCATTGCCGTCATTTTACATGCTCTTCAAACGTACGATGACGCTTCCCCTTCTTCACCCATTGTTTCTGTCTTTGTGTGTGGAATGGTCTATCTTTGACTGTTGAATGCGGGCATGTGGTGCCTCACACCGAAAACGCTCACGATTGATTGTCGGGGCCTGATTTGGGCGGCCTTAGGTTCCCCGTTGACATGGAAGCTTTCCCAGCGTTGTTGGCAGCGCTATCCACGGTGGGGGCTGGTGTCAATGCAGCGTCTCAATACGAGCGCGTATATGACAGCATCTGTACCATGCGTGGCTTTGCCGCATCCATGTCAGCACGCCAGCTGGGGGTGGACTATGAGCTTGACGCAGCTTCGGGCGCATGCGTCCTTCTACGCCCTCAGACTTTTCGACTCGGTGAACTGGAGCTGCAAGCAGCGGCCGGCACTCAAGGCACCATGACAGTGACTTCCGAGCAGCAAGATGTCATTGTTTACTGGTACATTCCATACAGTGGCTGGTTCCTTTTGACCGAACTGGCCGGAACAGTCCTGTCCCAAGGGGAGGTTTCCGCCCGTTTGGCCTGCAATTTGACATCAATTGTGGCTAGTTGCTGCTACCATCGGGATCTCAGTGCCGAGCTACACGATCACCTCTTTCACATCTATCAAACGCTTGGGCGGCCCCACCAATCCTCGCTCCTACTGGACTGGGCCTTGACCAAGCTTGATGCAGCCAGTCATCTTTCCCCCGACATGCTTGGGGTGGCTGCTCATGCTTTACGCTTGCTCGTGTACCGTGCCACGGATGATCCTTTGGGAGTTTGGCAGCGCTGCTCGGAAATCCGTCTCATCTCAGCTGACGAGGAAAACATTGCCATGCGCATTCTGTACAACATGGAGCGTCAAATGGGCCGCTTTGAGGCCACAGTTCAGCTCATCTTCCTGACGCAGCAGGTGCTGGTCTCACTTGCCGATTGTGAGGAGCCAAATGATACGCACACCCGGGCTTCATTGGTGAACATGGTCAAGTTTTTGCTTCTCCAAGTGTTTTCTGAAGCCCCGCATTGGCAAGCAGCCAGCCTCGAAAACTATTTGGGGCTGATCCATGCTCTCAGCACCTGGCTTGGCGCGGTATGATCATTGTCGGAAAAAGACAGTTCCTGTTGATACTTCATGCCAGCTCTTGCAGCGGCCTGTTCGATTCTTGTCTCTGCCAACTGGTTCTTTGTTTGCTCTTCCTCTCTCTTGTTTTTCTTTCATTTTATCTTCGGCTTCTCAACTTCTTTTTCTTCTGTGCGCTTCCGGGCTATTTAGATTTTGAGCTTGGAAACCTCCAACCCGACCGTGCGCCACGTGCAAAAAGCCATTCATCGTTACCTCCATGATGATGCACGCGCAGCGCAGGCTCTAGTGCATCTCCTCCATATGGTGCGATGATCCTCGGCCCTTGAAGTCGCTCGTCATCTTGTGTCTTGTCTTGCTTTTAAAAGGATTCGCAACCCGTTTTTTCTTTTGGAATTTTGATTCCCTGCCGTATACATTCACTGCTGTGTTTTGCGGCATTTTCTGTCCTTAGGTTGCACAACTCTGGCAGGCACCCGCCCAGCATGAGCTGTCGCGGAATCGTCAATTGGTGGCCGATATGCTCGAGTCCTTGCTGCTAGTTCTTTCGCGGTTGTTGCGTCGTGCGAGTCGCGAAGCAAAACCAGGGGCTCCTCTTACAAAGCTGGAGATGCAAGTTACCATGCCTGATCAAGCATCTGCACGCACTGCGTCCATGTCGCAGCAACTGCCGGATATGGCAGGATCGAGCAGCCGTCATCCTCTGATTGCCGTGGCAAAGCTCATAACGGTTCAAAACGAGGAGGCCATTCCTATGTTCGCAGCCCAAGTCTTTGCTCGCATGGCCAGCGTCGCCAGCCGATTTGCAAGTGATGGTGGCTCAGCTTCGAGCACCAACCCTTCACACGTTTCAGTCAGCAGCATCCTAGGCAACGGCGTCCATGAGTTGCGCTATGCTTTGCTTTTGCGTCTCGAGTCGGATAGTCCAACTACGCTACGCATTGCCATTGTACAGTTGATTGCAGAGCTTGTCCACTCTCAGGTACGCTGTGGCGCAAAGACGCCGTGCACTGTGTTCGTTCAGCGTGTGCATACACATTGTTGTGCAAAACTTCTGTGTTGACGAGTCGTCACCTCATGCGACCTCCGGGAATTTGTGCAGCCAAGCGTGGGACGCTTGTTTCTGGATGTGCGCAGAGCCAAGGCGCAAGGGGACGACACTTCCAGTAGTGGTGGTCTTGTTCTTGGACCCAACAGGTTTGTCGGGTTCCGTGCTGGTTGCATGTGCCTTTTTGGTTGACATGGTCTTGGCTCCAGGGCTTCTCACTTATGGTGCGCGTAGTTGTCTTCCCGAGTGCATCTCCATCGTCACTGAGCCGTCGTGGATCGAGGAGCATCCTGACTTGGTGGCAGCGTGTCTGGTATGTTTTAATTTCCTCGATCATCCCTCATGCATCACCATAGCGGCCATCGCAGCTTGTGCTCATTGCTTTTTCATTTCTTTTTGGCATATTTTCGTGCCGCTTTTTTTTTTTGATTTCTCTATTTCCGTACGTGCGTGTGCGGGTGTATGTTTTCTGCCTTACTTTTTGACGGCGCCAGAACCTGCTCCTTCGGGTGTGGTCAGGGCCTGCAGCAGATGTTCTTCGAGATAACGATGAGCTATGGACAGCCTTGGGTCGACTGATGAAGCGCACACCGGAGCGAGCCAGCTCCGTCCACACGGCCCACTTGCTAGAGGCACAGGTATTGCGGAGCCTTTGCACCTGTTGGAATGTGGAGACCTAGCAGTTGACTGAGTTTTATACTTGCCCCTGCTCATGGCTCGGCGGTTCTGTGATTTGAATGTTGGCAGGCGTTGGCTTTGGAGCTCATCACGCTCGAGACATACAGCTGGCGAGATGGGCTACCAAAACATCTGGTCCAAGTGTTCCAAGCTTTGGTACGACAACATCATGTTGAGCAATCGCACGCACGTCCACTGCCCCTCACCTTCTGGCGTCATGCCGTCGTGCCCTGGACACGCAGAACAAGGTGCCCGAGCTGCCATTGCAAGGCAAATTTGAGACAAAGGCGGTTGCTGAGGCCACTGTACTCTACGTCCGCACCTGGATCAACTTTGTGGGCATTTGTTGCGAGCACGAGGGCAGCGAGACAGTTGCTGAGCCTGGACCAGCGCGGCCCGCGTCTCTCGGACGACTCACTGTTCCGAGCAACAAAGCAAAACCCTACGTGATGAACGATACCCAGTATTGCAAACTTGTTGTCAAATGCCTCGAGGTTGGTCTTGAAAGGATCCCAGAACTGCACAGCAGCTTCTTCCCTTGAAAGCACTCATTCCGCATGTGGGCCATATCGCAGCAAGCACGTTTCCAGGCCCAAGCTGGTTGCGACGCAGAGAGCAGTCCAAGTGCAAACAGCACAATGCAATGGTTTGGTATGATCATCGTTCGCGGCGGCCCGCTCAAGCTATGGCTTCTCGACACGTTCAGGCACCAGGCACCAGGCCTCCACGCACTGATGCTTGTGCCTATTTCTTTTTTTTGCCATACTTGATGGCTAGACGCAGCACATTACCATGCTCAAATTGCCGTGGCATTGGCGGAGACGGCTGCACTGCATTTGGGACGTATTCGTGAGTAGTCTGTGCCTTACGCGCCGGTCGGAATGCTTGCGACAACATCGGCTGACTGGGCACTGTTCCACTCGATTCTTGTCAACTGCTTCTAGTTCAACGCAGCGAGAGTATTCACAAACACGTGACCATTGAAAGCGTTGCAAGCATGTTGCTTGAGTACGTGGCAGACCATGACACCCGCCTTGTTTTCCTCTCGCCTTGCTGTTGGGGGTGTCAGTGTTCTCGTTTCGTGGGCGTGTCTTAGCTCATCGTTGGTTTTCCTGTAGGTTATCTGCTTTGTTGAGCATAACGAGCTCTTCCACGGCAACTTTAAGCGTAGTACGCTTCAGTGCATTACAGGCGCTGGCACAGCTTATGGTTGCGCTTTGGCCGCCGGTGTCCAAGCATGCCGAGGTGAGCTTCAATCCAGGTTTTCAAGATTGCCTCGGCCTTGGTACATGGCTTCAAATTTGCGAGTGCAACACAAGACGAGACCTGTTTCTCACTGCGGCGATCTACTTGTCTGGTTGCATGTTGCTTCAGCCCAAGGCAGCGGCCAGCGTACTGGCCGAATGCCAGCGTCACTTTGACGCCTTGGCCGTGCATGTCTCCGAAGGCCTTGTTCATGATCTTGTCAGCTTGGAGACGCCGGCCGTCAACGACGCCCCGGATGCTTCTACTTACGCGGTGGGTCAATGATGCGATGCTCCACATCATTGGACAGATTCATCGTGGTTTTCTCACGGCTGGCCGTGGCCGTACACAGGACAACGTTGGCCCAGCTGTGGTGGTGTTGACCTGGCTCGTGCGTGAGAGCACTTCTGGCGTCCCACTGCGGCATTTGTATCAATCCATGCTGCTCGAGCGGCTGTTGCACTTGTCCGACAACTTCATGCAAGTCCGCCAGCGTAAGTCTTTCGTGCGCTTTCTTCGGCAACGTCCAGCGCCCGTGTGCGTTTATTATGATGAAGCGCATTTTAATACTTGCTGGGGCACTCGATGCTGCAGATGCCAATTTTGTGCAACATGTTTTGCGTTTGGCTCTGACAATCGTTCACCTGCCGAATGGTCTGACGGCACTGGAGTACGGCCAACCCGTCAACGAGAAAGGCGGTTTGGTACGCTTCTGTGCTTGAAAGCGGTGGCATGCAACTTCCTTTGTACACACATCGCGTTGTGCAACAAGCAGCGCCTCTCTCTAGTGAACGCTGCACATACACACTTTGCTTCTCACCGCGGTTCACTTGCATGCCTTGGATGGGGTTGACTGCAAAATCGACATTGGCAGATGTATCACTTGAACAGCGGAACTGCTGCCATGTGGCGAGATCACGCCATGGGGGCAGCTTCCTTGGCCCCATACCTGACGCGGGTACGTTGAATCATCTTTCCATGCGTGCTCTTGAGCTTGTCGAGTGCCACAACTGACGTCTTAAATTTTGCATGCTTGTGTATCCATTGCGATATGGGATACCAAATCACAGCATGCCTCCGCTGTCAACCCATGGTTCACTGTCTGGCGCTTCAGTCTCCAGCTCGTGACGGCCATCGTGAGCATGAACTCCTCTCAGGCCGTGAATCTGGGGCTCTCCTTTTTCACGGTGCACTATGAGCGTATGCTACAAGGCCAATCTCGGTGCGTCAAGGGGTTCTGCGCGTTGTATAACATGCCCACACCCACGGGGCTGTGCCTCACCTCTTGATTGTGGGCCACGATGTGCTAGGCTGCGCCAAAACCAGATCACCTTGCTAGAGCTTGAGGAATTGTCCGACATGATGCGACTTTGTGCGGCATTTTCGTGGCATACTCCACAATGGGTAGCTGCCATGCCCATTCTTCTTGATGATGGCCGCTTCATTCGTGGGCTTGCGTTCTTGTTGGACGGTACGTTCTTCTGTTGGATGCAGGGCGAACCTTTTCCGTGTGCGCCCATATACCGGCTGTGTGGCGCCTTCCTCAATACTGGCTTGCCATGTCAATTTGCATCTGCAGATCTCAATGTGTTTTTGAGCGGATCGGCGACCAAGATCAGCAGTGCCTTTGTTGCTGTCTCTGTTTCGGAGGAAGAGGATTTGCACCGGGCCAGTGACAGGGTACGTCGGGGCTCGGATTAATGATTGGCTGCAGACCCAAGCTTTGCGCTCATTGCTCACGACTTGCAAATCGCCATCGGCTCCGATAGTTTTTCACACCCACGCCAACTGCCATGAGCGGTGAACAAGCGGCCTCCACAAACATGTTCTACCATGTTAGTTTGTCAGGTCCTATTCCGTGGCGTCGCAGTGTCCAACAAAGAGCTCATGCCGTCGCTGGTCACACCCTCGCATAGAGCATCTCTCATGAACTGATTCAGGTCATGTGCAACGTGGCCGTGACACTGACCCATCTCACGTTTTCATCAGACCAAGTGCGGCAGGCAGCCGACCTTGCGGTGGGTTTTCTTGCAACTCGCCCAGCCTGTATGGCACATGTGCCCGCGTCAAAGTCTGAATACGCTCACACCTTGGATTTTTTTTTTTTTTTTTTTTTTTTTTTTTTTTTTTTTTTTTTTTTTGGTTACTGCTCCAGGCCATGGTGTGCTACTTTGATGCCGGAAGCCGGGACACAGATACGGGCAGCCTGAGCACGCTATTCATTGCTCTGGTCTGTACCTCTGTGCATTCGTCCAAAGATTCCTGGTAGTCTGGATTGGGTGGTTTCAAAGCCTTACTTGTTCCTCGTACTGACCGGCCGTGTAGGACACATTGCGCGCCGTATCGCGCCGTGGGGCTCGGGCGGTGTCAGCTGCATCACCATCGGGCTCGCCCAATCGCCAAGTCGTTGGCGTTGGCGAGGTAAGGCGTGGCATCTTGAACCAGAGGCATGCGACAGAAAGCTTGCGCGTTGATTGTGGGCTCGCTTGATTGCTCATTTGATGCGAGGTCATGTCTAGGACATCACTGAGTTGAACGTAGCCATGGATCATATTCTACTGATCCTCATCACACAGGTACAGGCCAACAGTAGACTTATTGTGCATGACCACGCATTCCATTTTGCTCACAAATCTTTCAAACGCAACAACGCAGGTGCTTCACCATTGCCGACACCCATCACCAAGCTTTGATGCCAAGACTGTGCATTATCGTCTGAAGCAGACCCTGAACAACATTTCCAGGTGTGTGTGTGTGTGTGTGTGTGTGTGTGTGTGTGTGTGTGTGTGTGTGCCAATATGAGATAGATATGGAGGAGCAAATTGGGGCTCATCGCTGTGCCGGTTGGAATTGGTTGCCACAGATTACGCGGTGGAGCACCCCCATCTCCCTTGGGACGTGCGACTTCACCATTGGCTTCGCCACCACCAACGCGCGATTGCATGACTGCAACAATGTTTGGCGACGACCATGTGATTTTGGATGCCACCTACGAGTTGGTGAGGTCATTATCATTGGCCACAAAGTGATCTTTAGGGTGTGATTTTTCCTGCTTGTGTGCATTTGCCTGACTTGCCATTTTTCGTTGGCGAAATTTGAAACTTTGAGGAAAGTCGTGAACGTTATGCATGTCGGACCACAGTCATGGATGAAATCATTCTTCACAGTTTGTCATGGAATTTGGCCTGTCTAATTGTGGCGGCAATGCATGCCAGAACACGGGCAAATCTACAAATGCTTGAGCACGGCGGCCACCACTTCCTTGGTGTCGGCCTGACCACCGAAATCAACCTGGGATAGGGGATGCAATAAGAAAGTCGAAGCAAAGCGTAGACAGGGAAGCATGCAAGGCTCCAAATAAGTGATGTGACGACATACCGGTACAATGCCACTCGCGTACATGGCCCGAAGTGCGTTTTCCAGTCGCTGGCTTGCCTCAAATTCACCCAGATGTGACAGCATCATGCATCCAGACAGAATCTGGGAGGTGGGGTTGGCTGGGCAGAGCAGTAAAAATTAAAAAAAATGAACAACCACCCAACAGATATGACGTGGCTAAACAGCCTGCTGTCCTATGTGCTGATGCAAGCCACCGACGAAGCTTACCAATGCCCTTGCCCGCAATGTCTGGCGCAGAGCCATGTGCAGGCTCAAAAAGAGCCTGGTGAGTGCCAATGTTGCCCGAGGGACACAGGCCCAGAGAGCCCACCATGCCACCTAGACATGATCAGGTGATGGGCATCAGAAAAACAAGCAAAATTCCGATGCGCCTGCGATTGTTATGCTGTGGGCGGGCTTGCATGGCACATACCAAGGAGGTCCGACACCTAAGACAACGAGAGCGGGAGAGGAGAGGGGAGATGGGATTGGAGAGCTGTGAGACATGGACATGGACATGGTCATGGTCGAGGGCGCATGGTGATCATGACGGTTGATGCGCAAGGAAAGTGGATTTACCAGATCGCCGTAAAGGTTGGGGCAGCACAGGACGTCAAAGCTCTTGGGTTCAATCATGAGCTTCGTCAAGCACGAGTCGGCCAGCTGGTCATCGGCGATGATACCACCCAAGTCGGTGGCAGCCGCTCGCTGGGTACACATGTGGTGGGGGATATCAGCAAGCAAGAACAGGTCCCATGCACGTGAGTATACGAAACGAGACGGAGTGGAACAATACGGCCCGAGAATGAGGCCCACCTCGTGGAAAGTGTTCAAAAAGAGGCCATCCGATTGCTTGCAGACGTTGGCCTTGTGTAGGGCCGTGACACGCTTGCGTTGATTGTCACGGGCATACTTGAAGGAAAAGTCAGCCACGCGCTGCAAGCAGTGTGCCCATGAAAATATGTCTTGAGGCCAAGAGCAGGCAACTGTGCAGGTGCGTGGAGAAAGCGGGTGGCTTTTGGCCTCACCTCAGAGGCACCGCGGGAGATACGCTTGACGCAGTGTACGGTGTCAGCGTCCACCCAAGTCTCCTCGCCGGTGTACACATCTTCGGTGTTCTAGAAAGACCAGAACAGTGAGGGGCCAATGCAATCGACACGGAACAGTCAGTAGATCTGGGTTGGCAATACCCACAAACCTCGCGGATAACGACAAGATCAACATCGTTAAAGGGCGCACGCACACCCGGCATGGAGCGGACAGGGCTGCAAAGGGCCACAGGTGCACAGGCTACCATGAACGATCACACGCAGGTGGTGGGCTTGGAAGCAGCCACCGGAAAAGAATGATCTCGTACCGAACGTTGGCAAAGAGTTGGAAGTACTTTCGAAACACCTGGTTCCCGCTCGTATAGCGCTTGCCTCGCACCTCAACGTAGGCATTGGTGTCCTTGGGCTGGTTTAGGAAGGGGAGTTGGGGAAGACGCGTCAAAAGGCCACGCCCTGCGTCAAGGCCGGGCAAGAGATGGGCAGAGCACGTACAGGTACAGTCAGTGGGCCCTTGAAGAGCACACCAATCTCCTCGAAAGCGTCCATGTGCGAATCATCAATGTACACGCCGGTGTTTTGCATAGCCTCATACCCCTGAGAGCGAAGAAGCGACAACACATGAGTTGGTGTATTGTTGCAGTTTGGTGAGCCAGGCATGAGGTAACATACCATGTCCATCTGTTCCCAGCGAATATTAACGCCGGTGGCCTCGATGCACTCTTTTGCCGCCGATACAATCTCACGACCAATGCCTGCCGATTTCAGAGGCATCAACACAAGGTCAAGTCGACGTGCCACAATCACACACAGGGCGGCTCGGCGGGCGCGTACCATCTCCATCAAACGTGAGCACGGTGTGCGCCTGCGTCGACTGTGCACGCTGCGCCAGCGCCCGCACCATGCCGGCACTGCGCATCGTCGTCGTCGTCGTCGCTCTCAACAACATGCTCCCCACCATGATTCAAGTCTTGAAACAGAGAGAGAAAAACAGAGAGAGAGAAAAACAGAGAGAGAGAACCCAGAGAGAGAGAGAAAATTGGTGAAAATCGATGATGGATTGAGCAAACGTGCACTTTGTGTGTGTGTGTGTGTGTGTGTGTGTGTGTGTGTGTGTGTTCATTGTCACAATTTTCTTTGACATCATCATGTGAATCTGTCTTGTTCGTTGGATGTTCCCCCCTCAAGTCCGATGAGTGCTGTTCGTTCGTGTTGAGGTTGCACGAGGAGGGATAAATGGTCTCAAGTTGACACCCTCAGACATTCAATAGAAGAGACGCCATCGATTCCGTCGGATTTAGCCAGCCAGCTCGTCCGCAGCAGGCTCATCAGCGGCCAAACCCATCTGCTTAAGAAACTCATGTTCCGCCTTCAGATACGACTTGAACAGCTCATCGGCGTTATCACTTTGAATTACTCCTCCAGATAGCTGTGCGTGGAAACGGCGGTGAGTGTCGCGTGAGGGCGTGCATCAAAAAAATGAAAAAATCACCGGACAGAGCATCTGGGTAAGCACAAAAAGACGTACGCTGACATCGGGGGTTCGACCTTCTGAATAGTCTTGAGCAGAGCCAGAGGCGTCGCGGTCTGCGACGTATTGAAGGCGTGCACGCTCACGATTGACAAATTCCTTCAAGACCTCATACTACCACACGTCCGAGCGAAGAGAAGCAGGGTGAGTCACACACACAAATGAACAGCCGAGTAGTTCATAAGTATACATGGGCACACCTCATTTGGCTGTGGAAAGGTCAAAGTTTTGGGCAAGTCCACGAGATGGAGGGTCCCCGAGGCAGAGCCGACGGCCAGCAGTCGATGCAGAATGCCTGCGCCAAGGCGGGTCATGTGCGCATGCTGCACTGTCGTGATGGCATCAGGCGCGCACATGGGCTGGCAAGAGGCTGGGGCATACGAGGAGTCGGAAAGGTCCCAAACATCCAGCATGCCATCTGCCCGGCCCACGTAAAAGACCGTCGGTCGTTGCAACGACCAACAAGCCGACGAAAACAGTTTGCCTACGCCCAGATCACCACAGCAATCGCAACAACAAGACATGAGAGCATGCAAAGAGCAATGGGCCACGGCAATAAAATGGCGACAAGTTGATAAGGTAGCATGGTCACGCAGACATCCTCCGTACCGGTCACCATATAGCAGAGCAGGACACTGTCTTCATTGTCAAGGAAGATGGTCAATACGTTGTCGCCAACCGATAGCACCACCTCGGGCATGAATGGATTACGCTGTTCATCGAAAATGCATTGCACCAATAGACAATGAGAGATCCAAGCGGCACAAAAGCCGAAACATCAAGTTTGAAGCAGATGCCGAGAGTGGCGACGAGATGGAGCAGATAAAGACACCAACCTCGAGCGCGAGGACTGGACCTCCATGCATGGTAAATTGCCGGTCGATCTTTTGGACTACCAAAAAGGGACAAAGTACCAGGGACCACAGATGAGTGAGCCAATGTGAAAAGCAGATTGTGTGGCATTTGATAATGCCTTCAACCCTTCAGCACAGGTATCCTGACATTGACGGCAAGTTCAAAGCGCAGGTCTGAAGCAAGCAAAAAAAAGGTTTCAGGCCAAACGTACCACCCAGTCGGCCGGATTCGGACTCGGGGGGCTTCCAATCCAGCTGAACCACCGTGCCATGCTCAGTGCCGACCAAGAGCCGGGAGCTGTGAACAAAGTCGTGCACCTCACTACGTTGACGGTGGCGCTCTAGATATCCGAGCAACCGTACACAGAGTGGATAAGGAACGGATACGGGTGGCAAAAGGCTGAACGGGAGCAGACTGACCAAGCTCGGAGGGCAGAATGCCGCGAAAGGTCATGGCGAGTGTGCTCGCATGCAAATTTTGAATGCTGTCGGTTGACAAGTAGATCTATGATGGTCGACATTGTCGAGTATCCCGTGAACAGGCGGGGGGTGCAACACACTGAAATGAGCAACATGTGTATGTGCGTGGGCACATTTTTGATTTCAACAAAACTCCAGGACAGGGGCAAATCAGAATCACATCTCTCTGACCTTGAGCAAAGGTGCCCACTTGAGATGCAAAGAGCGCAGAGGAGGCGGGGTCGTGGGGTTTTCCTTCAGGTCACCCCGCAAATCCCACACCATGCCAAGACCATCATTTGCCACTGTCACCAATTGTACCGACTCGGGCGTTTCGGGTTCCTCTTGAAAGAACCCACGATGGTCAATCTGCACAAGAGCGAGATGAATCCACGGTTGATTATGAGAAGACACCAAAAAAAAAAAAAAAAAAAAAACATCTGATGCCTAGGGGCAGACTTACGCGGACTGACGGCGGTAGCCAATGGAGCGCCGTGATTGGTCCCTTATGCGAATCCTCAATGGCCGTGGAGACGGTGTAGGTTACCATAGCCAAGGGGCTGCCATCTTCCTGGCTATCCGGGTCCGTTGTATCCTGCAGAATCCAGTATGGAGCCAGGGGGCGAGGCGAGGGGTGTGTTCGTTGAAACAAGAGCAAACCACGTGAGTCGTTGCACATCTCGTTGGTCCTGGTCCTGCCTTGAGCAAAATTTGGCGGCACGAACCTGAGTGCTGTGACCCTCGCTGGTGTTGAGCAATTTCTCTTTGCGGGAAAGGTCCCACAATGCAACCTGCCCGTTGTAGCAGCCCGCGGCAAGGAGGTGCTGGCCCGACGGGTTCCATTCGAGAGCAAATACATCGTCTGGGCTCTCCAAGACCAGCTGTCAACGGCATTGGAGCCATGCACAGGCGTAAGGAGTCGGGCTCATACATAAGCAACGGGCAGGCATGGCAAGGTCCAAGTCTGTCAGCCAAGTTTAGACAAACCAGGGGTTTAACAACGTCAAAGAGGCTCCAAATGAGCACGCGAGATTGAGGAACGTGGCTGTTATGTGCGACTCGTTCATCAAACGTCTCGGTCCGAGCATAGCCAATGGCCACAATGCCCGAAAGAGAGGGATGGAAGGCGGCGGCTGTCACAGCATGGGGGCCATCAAATTGCATGTATTTGAAGGATTGGTACTCCTTTTTCAACCCCAAAGTTGACGGAACATGTGGCAATGAGTGTTCCAAAAGCAAGGTCCAGCCAGAGCCACCAGAACCACCGATGCTGAAACCGACCTTGAGGCGAGTATCTTGCTTTTGGCCCAGCGTGATGGCGCGCCCTGTATCTAGGCTGCTCAAGCTATCCTTGTGCACCGATAGCACGACGTTCATCTGCAGTGCCTCAGCCATGCTGCATCGACGAAGCAATCGAAAACGAGGAGGCAATAGGTGAGATTAGTGACGACAGTAGTGAACAATAAACAAAACAAACATTCACAACCAAAACCCAAGAAAAACATCAAAAAACCGACGCAGCCCTCTTGTAACGTACCGCTTTTCCAAGGAAATGATCGAATCGTTCAAGGCGGGTCTGGACAAGTTGGCCACTTCAGGTTCCAGAGGCACGTCCATGGGCACGTACTGCGAGATTGCGTTCTTCATCGGAACCCTACAAGTGGGAATATTTTGGCGGGCATGGCAAGGACATGTGCATCAGCCGACGAGGAGTGGCGAGCGCTGCTCAGCAGGCAGTTGCGTACCAGCGAGTCTGCGTGGTGGCCGTGGTGACAACTTGGACGGCCTGCACACTCATATCCAAGGTTTTGCGGTGGATGACTTCTTGATCCTCGGGAATTGGCCGTGACTAGGTGTCAGGGTGGGTGCAAAGATTGCAGACAAGCATTGGGTGTGGAGTCGTGGGAAGCGGGACGAAATATGAGTGAGTTAGCGAGTTGCCTGACACCTGCGTACGGGGGAGACTCGAGGACGGCTATTCAGAGTTATGTATGATAAGGGGGCTTCAAGCTCAATGTCGCAAGCTAACCATGATTTGTGCAGCAGGCGGGTACTCGTGATTCGGGTTTTCGCGAGCATCGGTGATGCGGTGCGGGGCACCAAAGAGGCGGCGCTTGCGGCTGAGCAGGAGACGAATGCGCGGGCGGGTGGGTTGATAGTGGGCCTCTTCGATTTCAGCTTCAGATCCCTGGCTCACCCACGGGGCGGGAGCGCGTCGGTGCTTGATGGCGGGAACAGGGAGGCCAATGTCAAAATCGTCATCTTCCTCGTCTTCGTTTGCTTCACCATCATGGCCCATCTGACTGGCACCTCCTGTACCATCAGAGGGCGCAGACGGCTTGGGTGTAGTTGCCTATTAAAGCAAACAGTGACGCAGGTTTTGAGAGGGGCCACACCCAACGGGAATAACAACTGCTGTGGCGGCCACGGGCAGGCCATCGGCAAACACCAAGCGAGCTGAAATTCCAGACAAGAACACGTCGCTAGCCAAGATGTGTCCTCATAGCACATGTTGTCTTATGAGGGGGGTGCATGGGGATCAGCGCCAACCTCCAGAAAGGCGTCCTTGGCCGCTTTGGTGAGGCAAACGACATAGTTTTGCTCAAACTTAAAGTCGGCATCATAGCACACGAGGAGTTCGTCGTCGTCGTAGGCAAGAAGCTGCTCTTTGAAGACGCTAAAGTCTGAAACGGCGGCACGTGTTTTCATGTCGCTTCGCACGAGAGCGATGGGGATCAAGGCGATGGGCCGTTCTGGGGTAACATCTGTTCCTGCCGTGCACTTTGCGATTTCTTGCGAGGTGCCTAAAGGGGACCACGCCAGCGCAAGACGGCCAAGCGGTGAGCAGGGGCTGGGTATGAGCGATGTGACGTTTCCCCCACAGCCAAGTGCTTGGTGTCAACGTTTCCTAGCATCGTGGTGGAAAGGGGGGGGGAAGGAGCTGGCAAGCGAGCGCGCACGGCTCGAGTTGGATTGACGGGGCGTACCGGTAAGAAAGAGGGGCTGCACGTCGGCCGGGAGCTGATCGCCAAAGCAGTCTGGAAAAAGGGCTCCGAGGGGGATGTCAGGTTGCGCGTTTTCTGGCGCCTTGTCCTCTTCAGCCCTGGTGGGGGCCTCTGGTGGCGCCGTGGATTCCATTGTGCTGCTCGCGGGCGCCCCTTCTTGCTCAGATGCATCGGGAGCTTCGGCCTCCTGCATTAGAGCCGATGCTTCGTCAGCGCCAGCACCATCCTGATCGGGCGGCGGTGGTGCCGTCTCTTCGCTTGCGTCCATCACGATCACGATGGGATCCGAGGGCGAGGGGCAGGCAGAGAGGCCAAGACCAAACCAAATCCGAGCAGTGTCCCGCCCGCCGCTGGGTTCGTACGATGAAAAAGCGTTAGCGTTGGCAGTTGGTTCGCGTTGTCAAGCCGGCACCAATGCAACAGCTGTTGTCAACATCCCCGACGTACAAGGAGTACAAGGCCAATGTCAGACTTTTGGTCGATATGCGTCGATATGACATCCACAGCCACCACGTGAGTTAAGGAATTGAACGACCAAGTCTGGAAGAGCCGTTGCACCGAACTGGGCGGTCGAGTTCATTGGAAACAAGTGGAGAGAAAAACGGAGGAAAAAGGGAAGAAAGATAGAAGTATAGCATTGTTTTAGGGGATCAATTGAATCAACGCACGGGCGAAAGAGACAAGCCAACTTCGCCCAAAGAGCGAAGGCAAGGCCACTCCATTTATCGGCGACGGTTGTTGGAGCCAGGGGCCTGGACGTTGACGTCGAGAGAGGGCATGAGGGCCTTGAGCATCTCGGCCGTCTCCTTGTCGACGACGATGCCATCCTCTCCGGGCTCGAGGGCCGAGACCTCGGGCACGTAGTTGTCGCGGCGCTCGCGCTCCTCCTCTTGCAGGCGAATGGAGATGCCGCGGACGGGACCCTTCTACTCAGGGGTGAATGCAACGCACAATTCGGTCGGTATGAGCATACCAAAAGCAACAGGACAGGGCCATGGGAGCAAAAGAAAACGCTTTGACATCAAAAGCTTCCAAGAAGAAAAAGAACCCTCTCTCATGTCCAGTCCCATCCCCAAAACACGGGCCGGACGAACCTGGATGCGCTTCATCAAGTGGGTGATGAAACTGTCGTGCAAAGCAAAACGCACGTCGCCACGCAGGAATGCAAAGGAGATAACATGGAAAGGGAGCGAGGAGAACATGCACAAACCGGTGACCGTGAGCGCCGTGTACTCTGGCCTTCCTCCCTTGACAGGGCAGTCTCAGATGTTGGGGTCCAAAGCGCCGACAAGACGAGAGGAGCTGAAGCCCATGCATCGAGTCGACGCCCGGACAAGGCCCCGCACAGCCGAGTCCATCGCACGAATCAAAAAAATTCCTTCCTCCGCTCAAAGGCGGCAGTCGAGCACACGGCCAAGAGGGGGCAAGCGTGGAGGATGACAACGCCCAGGCCCGCCTTGCAACCCCAAAAGGTGAGCCAAGTAGTCAAGAGCCACCAAAAGCTCAACACGACTTGGGCACGCCCTTTGAGGGCCCGAAAGCGGCTGGGCGTGTCATCTCCATTCACGTCTGTCTGTGTCTACTCACCCAGCGATCTTGTTGCGCAGGCGCTTGCTGGGCACGATGGCGTACTCCTCAACCAGCTACACAACGCGAAGAGGAGAAACAAGACCATTGGCATGAGCAAGTCGGGCCATGTGACCAGACCATGCGAGGCGAAGGAACCGTCACATGGGAAGAAAAAATAAAAAAGGCAGTCAGATCGCCCAACGCAAACTATTGCCACATGCAACACGCAGAGTATCGCACAGTCTGCTTTGCCAAACGGCAGCCGGACGAGCCAACTTACGCGCTTGTTGGTGTCAAAGTCCATGGTGAGACGAGTGTAGTACTTCTCGATGATCACGCGAGCAGCGCGCTTGACGGTCTTGGTGCGAACGCGACCCATGCTGGCGGTGTTGTCGTCGGGAGGTGAACCGGTTCAACACGCTTGAAGAAAAAAGTGAATAAGTTTGGAACACTTTTTACCCACATGGTGACTTTTGAATAAACGAACGAGGAAAAATTGGTTCAGTCTTTTTCTTTTTGCGCGGCCGTGTGTAAAGGTTGGTCTGATCATGAGAAAACGTGGCCTGAAGCAGCGTTGAGCTGTCGACTGCCGCTGCCGTTGTTGCTGCCATGGTGGCCAGGGGGCTGGGATTTGATTGGGAAGGTCGGAGGCGTTTGGGTAGAGTGCGATGCCATTTCAGCTTGAATGGCCACGATGCACTCAAACTCAAGCAGTGCTTCAGCTGGTTGAGGCTGCCCTTGTTTTGAGCGAGCTTGGATAGCTTGGTCTGAGCTCCCTGCCCAGGGCTACGCGAGGATGGCCTGCTTGTCTTCATGGTTGCATCAGCGTGCACGGGTATCTCGACTTTCTTGACACGCTTGCTGCTGCGATGTGGCGAAGGTGTCGGGGGTCGGGGGTTGGGCGTTGGGGTTGGCTTGCATAACTCAACTCAGAGCCAGACACAAAGCCTCTTCGAGAGTCTTTCATAACTTGGGCAGCGCAATCGGTTTATGGCGTCGGGAGGGATGGTCATTTTTATCTCCAAACATGCACGTCAACTCATACAACATCCCACGATGCAGTTCCCCTACGACTCTTGCACCTCGGATGCCCTGCTCACCTTTGTCATTTTTGTTCAACGTAGATCACCATGCAGCTTTTCGTTCGTGCACAGGGCACCCACGTCTTCGAGGCCGACGCCTCGTCGACTGTCGATGATGTCAAGGCCTTTGTTGCCGCCGCCGAGGGTGCGTTAGACTTGTCATGGAGGGCTTGCCTTATTCCGACTGCCAGCGCATACGCGTGCCTTGTCCGCTCGGTGAATTGTGTAGTCAAAGCCAGGCGATCCGATCAACGGCTCACACCATGATTTTTTTGGGTCATTGATAGGCATCGCCGTCGAGGATCAGTACCTCGTTTCGGCCGGTCGCCCCCTCGAGTATGGCCTTCTTGATGTGTCGCCCCTGAGCACCATCGAGGTTGGTGTTCGCATGCTCGGTGGTAAGGTCCACGGCTCTCTGGCTCGTGCCGGTAAGGTCAAGGGCCAGACCCCCAAGGTCGAGAAGCAGGAGAAGAAGAAGGTGAAGACTGGCCGCGCCAAGCGCCGCATGCAGTACAACAAGCGCGTTGTCAACGTTGTCACTGGCCTCGGCAAGAAGCGTGGACCCAACTCCCAGAGCCAGTAAACTCTTTGCCCTCTCCCTCTTTGCCTCTGCAATCCAACAAGCACAGATTCTTTTGCAGCCTAGCCTGAATGCCAATTGACCATGTTTGTTGGTACTTGAAGTTGACGATTACGTCGGGTGTAAATAGCATGGTTCAGTTGACGATCACGTCGGGTGTAAATAGCATGGTTCAGTTGACGTTTGCTTGAGTCTGGGTTCAGGCCCGCATCGAACCGTGGATATCGTTTGGGATGTGTCTGATGGTGCAGAGGATGAATCATAGAGAGGGGGGAGGAGATTGGATGAGAGGATAACAATGTCATATCGTCTTCATTATGGATTGCGGTGCAAGAGGGGCGATATCGCTTGACGAACACAGGCACCGGCAGGTCTAAGCACAAAAAGGGTGTACGATGAAAAATGTTTCTAAATGTTCACTAATGTTCAGGCTTGACTCCATTTCTCCCGTCACAGGGACGGAAAGCGCAGGCTAAGGTATGGCATGGCTCACGGTCCCGAGGAGACCCGACTCAAACTAAGTGACGAGACCACCTTGAAGGGAGAAGAATACTCGTTTGTTATGGGAGTCACTGTGCTCCGGCAGGAAGTTTCACGCCCAGTGACGAGTGAGCACATTCACCAAGCAGCCAAAAGAACATCAGGCAATGAGGGGGCGAGCACCCGCTACGTACTCATGAGCTGTCAGCTGGCGCGGGGGAAGTGGGGCGGGTGCCTTGTCTTTTTCGGCCGGAGGCCTGGGCGCGGGAGCAGATGGCGGCAAAAGCAGAAAAACGTTTTAGCCTGCAGTTTGAAAACGCAAGCCCTCGAGATGATTGCAGTTTTTCTGAACAAGGCCAATCTTACGTCATGGTGGGTTTTTCCAGCAGCTTGATGCGTTCATAGCGATGCCAGGCTTCTTGAAAAGCAGGCAAGAGCTGACACAAGGCCACAGGTGAGACAACGCGGGGGAGCAAGGGTGATTGCCTTAAGCTCGACTAGCCGCACGGGGGTGACTCCCGCGCTTGCCCAGCTAGCTCGCTGGCTACAAACAAACAAATAGCAGAGAGAAGAACAACGCTGCATGGCCCGTTTGTCATTACCTTGCAGAGAGCCGTGCGCACAAGGCGAAGAGCGGGCTCAAATTCATCAAGACCAACAACGGTGTTGTTCTTCAGCGAGCTCAGCACAGCGTCCAATCGTCGCATGATTTGTGCTGCAATCGATCAAGCATGCAAATCAATGCAACTGAGCTCGGACCGGAGACAGATGGGCCACCACGGCTTTGATGGGGCACGTACCTGGCAAGCGAAGGCGTCGAAATGCATGTGGGGCCACATAGCTGCTGTAAATATCACGAAGCATGCCGAGTCGAGTACCTATGTAGCTGTCGGATGCCTTGGCATAGCGGTAGCACTGGGCGGGGCAGAACCATGGGCAGGGGCGTGTGAGCTAGACCTCGAGACACGCAGTACTCGGCTGAAGCGGCAGCTACGAACCGCGAGATAAAAGAGGAAGAAAGCTTCAAGTCCCTCGCCTTGACGAAACAACCACTTTCGAAAGTACTCGCGCTGTCCATCGCTCTCAATCAACTATGCACGCAAAGTCGGCAGCCAGGATGAGATGCCCATACAACGCCAGCGGGTCATGAAAAGGCATCGAGTCAAGTCGTAGACACGAAGAAGAGATGCCATCGAACCGTGGTTAACTGCATTGACTCGGCTTGAGAGCGCTCGTCTTCCCGCCGGATCTGGCGCTCCCGCGAAGCAGCCTTGGCCTACGTATGATGAAACGATAGCAAGATGAGTGTGCAAACACTTGTCTCATTTAAGGATGGCCCACAGTGGAGCACACGTACAGAACTGGACTTCTTAGGCTCTTCCTTGGCAGCTGCTTTGTCATTATTGGTGCTGGTGGTAACGACGTTCTATCAATGTCACAATAACCATCCAGCAAATGTCGCGAGTGTGTGGGGCCCGAGGCACGCGTGAAAACGAGTGTTGAGCGAGTGCACTGCTCAAGGTCGAAGGATACGGACATGAGCAGCAAAATACGACATACCCGCAACTTGATGCGCGCCTTACGATCCAAGCGAGGCAGAAATTGTCCTTGTCTGCTCGGTCGTCGAAGACGAATGCCTCCTTTGCTCGGCACAATGTCCGTAGCAGTGGGCAAGGTTGGGAGCTAGAGGAACAGTTTTCAGTGAGGGCATGTGCATAAGCTTGACCCAAGGATACACATTGGTCGCTGCAGAACTTTCTGCAGACAAGGAAAAAAAAAACCGCCAACTCCGCACACAGCATAAAAAAAAAAATCAAGTGGACAAAACTGATAGATCATTTTACCTTGGCAGCACTATCTCGGGCGCCACCTCGGCTTGCCTTCGCTCCAGTCAAAGTCATTCGAGAGGCCACTGAGTAGGCCGTCTGTCGAGCGCAGGCAGGGGCGGCAAGATCGCGGTCGACAAATCAATAAAAAGCCATGGGGCAGGTGGTACATGACGACGAGCCCTGGGGGTGGGGAGCTTAGAGTGTGACGCACCGTGGCCCGGTCAAGGCAGGCAACAGCACGGATAGCGGCACCGCGTACACCGCGTTGAAGCTCAGCACAGGCGCGCGCAAGGTCGACCAGGGCCGTATTCTCGGGCTGCAGGCGCTGAAGCGTCAGCTGAGGTCGGTGCACGAAAACGTGAGACAAAGGAGATGAGTCGGCACTTTGGATGGCAAACGCAAAGTCATAAGATCCAGATTGAGGGAGAAAGAAGAGAAAGAGAAAAGTGTGTGTGTGTGTGTGTGTGTTAGGAGGGGGAGGGGGCACTTGGGCACTTGGCAGAGCTGCAAAATGTGAGAAGAGGTGCACAACGCTCGAGGAGACAGACCTGTAGGCGGCCACCACGACAGCGATCGCCAATGAGCGAGATTTCAACGTCGGTCAACGGCCGGCCCATCTGAGCTTCGATGGCGGAACGAATGGCACTTCGATCACCACAGACGAGGCAGGTTTCTCGACTGAGGCTGAGCATGGCGATTTCGGCTTCGCTGCAAGCACTATTCTGCAAGTTGACGACGGAGGAAATCCACATGCCCTGCAAAAGCTTGTGCAAATCGCGAAGGCGAAAAGCAGCATCTCCAGGTTGCACCTGCTCGCTTCGCAGCGCACAATATTCATCGTATGCCACCTGGCTGTAGGGGTAGGTATCATCGAGGCCCTCAGTCAGGAGCAGGCATTGTCGCCATTGCTCAAACCCTATATGGAGGGGGGCGGGCCCGTTGGAAGCGCGGGCGTGCAACGGTCAAGCCAACGGACACGAATCCAGACTAGCACTGCAGGGCTGAGCCTCACCGTGGCGGTCTGCAAGCAGAAGGTCGATGATGCAGGGGTTTGGGGCCGCCAAGTCTTCAACGTCTTCAAAGATGCGGCCAAACGCCGTATGAGAAATGTTTAAATGGGAGCGCCCGTGACGCGGCGGTTTGCTGGTCGATATGTTGCGACAGCGAGCGGCATGTTGGTGAGCCAAGAAGCCAAGACGTTGGCAGTTAAAAAAGCCAAAAGGCGCGAGCCCATGATCAAGCACCAGAGCCCCTGCCCGAGCTCGAGCTCGCGGAGGAAGCCAATGGCCTGACATTGACAACAATGAACATCATCACATACCTCGCGGCCGCCATGGCTATTGAAACCAGCCGGAACCCTGTGTGTGGGTGTGTGTGCCGGCGTCCACCCTCTACCCAATAATAAGGAACAAGATAGACGAGTTGCAAATCCAAGAAGATGAATCAGAACCAAGAATCGCCAGCATTGATGTTCTTAGCCATCCAGCAACCAGCAGCCAGCAGCCAGCAGGGGCGTCCAGGCATGCAGCAGGCCCTTTTAAAATGGACAACACACACACTCACACACACTCTCTCTAACAATTTTCCACAAGCGACGCTTTGCAAGTGTGTGTGTGTGTGTGTGTGTGTGTGTGTGTGTGTGTGTGTGTGTGTGTGTGTGACTTCTTTTGTTGTTGTGGTGATACACACACCCACACACACACAAACAAGAGAGCAGGGCTGCGAAGGGGGCACACGCAAACATAGACAGCACCTTTCAAATATGCAAAGGGTGGGGGTGGAAGGATGGGGGGAGAGGGTTTCGGGCTGTGGAAGGCATGGGAGTCATGATCTGATGTTGGCTTCATGTGGTCCTGTCCTGTGCAGTGCTTGGGGCGGCGACTCACAAGAAAGTTGGGTTTAGAATGACGATCAGCCATAGCCATACATAGTCAGTGTATGTATGTGTGTGTGTGTGTGTGTGTGTTGTCAAGACCCAGGGATTCATTTTGTCTGACATCTGACATTCATCATGAGGCTGTCTGACATTTGCCACATTCGTCGCGACGGCGCATCTGTCACATGGGGAAGGCGCACTTACCAAGCTATTTTTGACGACGTGACACACCGAGCTCTCGAGTCGACCTCATCAAGGTGGGGGACGCGCTCCACGCTAGCACCTATCTTGTCGTTGAGGGGAAAGAGGTAGCACAGGGCGGGGTGTCAAAATTCTGGTACATGTGGTCTTTGCGCCTCATCGCAGGTCACACTGTAGCGTGCAGATTAGCGGGACACGACAACAGCCAAACAGTCATGGATTTTGATGGCCACTCCCTCGACGAGGAGGCTCTGGTCCGGGTTCAAAACTTTTTGCGCCCTCAAGAGTCGGCCGGCTTCAACTACACCAAACCTTTAATCATCGGCTTTACTGGAGGCTCCTGCTGTGGCAAGGTGAGGCGAAAGAGCTTGAAAGTGTTGAGCATCCATGCACGCCATTCTCGCTTTGCAAACACCTCCCTTCTCAAGACCGCACCCGGCATCCCTCTCGTCGGGCGCTCGCAGACGGCGATTTGTGAGTACGTGAAAAAGGGGTTGGGAGACGGCTTCAACGTTAGCATCATCTCCCAAAATCAGTTTTACCGCAAGGACCTCACGGCAACCGCCACCAGCATGCCCAACTACGATCACCCCGGTATGTCACAAGTCCCCGTGTCCTCTCGGCCAGCTAGTTTGAATGGTGCTCACTCCTTCAATCGTGCACTCGTGCCAGACGCCTTTGATAATGAGCGCTTGTGTAAAACCTTGCGTGCCATCAAGGCGGGTGAGGCCGTGGAGATTCGCCAGTCATCCATCGCCCCCGTGCGACAAGAGTACGTGACATTCCAGCCAAACCGTTTGACAGTCGACGTTAGGGGCTGTTGTATGTAATTTTGTTTGATTTCATCCTGCGTACGCATGTTGCGATACCGGGCTCAATCATCAATTGTCACTGGGGGCCATCTTTTGACAGCGAGAACAAAATCTGCATCAAAAAGCCTGACGTGGTCCTGGTCAAGGGCATCTTGCTCCTGTACTCAGCAGAAGTTCGCGCCCTGATTGACATTCCAGTTTTTGTTGACGTTGATTCGGATGCTCGTCTGTCGGCTCGCGGTACGTACCGCGTTGTTGTGCAGGGGAAAGCATCTTGCTTGTCCGTGGGTTGAGGTCTTTTGCCTATCAATGGGCTAGCTCATCATCGTTTCGCTTGTGCTCGGTAGTGATGCGTGATATCAAGAAGGGTCGCAAGCTGGAGGACATCATTCAGTATTACTTGGCACATTCCAAAGCTTGTTTTGAAAGCTACACGTCAACGGTGTGTTGCAAAGCTTTACTGCGCCACAATCCTCGTGGCAAAACACAGTTGTGCGAACCGCTAAAAAATGGTCTTTTGGACGAACGTTGTCTAGACCAAAAAGTACGCCGACCTTATCATCCCTCGTGGTCCCGAGAATACCGGTGAGTGTGGTTTGCGCCCCTGTCCGGCAAGTGTTGTTGAATTCATCAGTTTTCACACATCTTGGCCTTTTTTTCATTTCCCTCATTGATATGAGTTTTTGTTCACGTCGTTGACATCTCATTGCCCCCGCCTCCCCTTGAACGCGCACCCAGTGGCCATGGATCTGCTGTTGCAATTTGTGTGGCGACAGCTTCAGGGTGTCGGAGAGACGACGCGGTAAAGGGGCAACTCATGGTTAGCCCTTGCTTTTCCTCTATCATCCTCCGCACCGATCATCCCTCGAGTTTGGATGAAAGCGACCCCGACAACACAATATGCTGTCTACTTCAGCCCCAGTCCTTGGTGAAAGCCTCCCCAGCCCGCGCGACAAACGGTCACAGGATGGGCCGTGTGAGGGAACATCAAGGTTCTGGTTCTTTTTGTAAATCTATTTTTGTCGGACCTCCTGACCCGCTCTTCTCTCTATGTCGTGTTGTTGAGCCCCAATCGACCCCATTGCTCCCTTTGAGCCGTCACACCCGCCTCTTCGGCCATTCAAGCGTGTGCCGCTGACCCTCTTTAATGTCATTTCTGCACCACTCCTACCAACCACAAGTGAAAAACCCAGATCCATCATCCACAGAGAAAAAAAAAGGAAAAAGAAAGGAATAGAACGGCTCGTGCTTGTTGCATAAAGGTGTTGTATTGTGATGTTGTTGGTGCTTGTCTTGACCTTGACGGGCTGTCAATTGTTTTGCGTATCTCTCTCTCTCTCTCTCTCTCTCTCTCTCTCTCTCTCTCTCTCTCTCTCTCTCTCTCTCTCTCTCTCTCTCTCTCTCTCTCTCGCACGTTCCTCCTCTCGTCTGGCCTGGGTCCCATGTGGGCTGGTTTCAAGCCTTGGTAGAAGGGGATCATTCAGTCTGACTCAACCTCTGTATGTTTGTGCTTCGAGGTCGCGATCCCGTTGCCTTTGGAGCATAATTTCGCGCATCGCTTACACCACCACCACTGCTTGTGCCTTCTCCAAAACTTTCATGGGTGTCGAACAACAGGTCAAGGACCCAAGGTGAGCGGCATCCTCCTCCTGCCTCTTGCGTTGTCGATTGTATGTCTCACTCATGTTGGCGCTCTCCGCGGCAGCTTTCAATACAACTGTCAACAATGCCGCGTGTGCCTATGAAGCTGCTTGGTGGCAACACCAACCCCGAGCTGTGGGAAAAGGTTGCAGACTACCTCAGCGCCAAAATGTGCAACCTTGACGTGGCCAAGTTTGCCAACGGAGGTTCGGGGGGTTTTTTCTTTCTTTTCTACGACTCCTTCTTCGTCTCGGGGCTTTGCTCACCGGTACCATGTCCTCGTTTGGCCCGCGCATGCAGAGACGCAAGTGATTGTCCGCGAGACCGTGCGCCAGTCTGACGTCTACATCCTGCAGTCGGGCTGCGGCGATGTGTCCGTCAACGACGCTGTCATGGAGCTGTGCATCCTGGCCCAGGCCTGCTCGACCTCCTCTGCCCAGCGGGTCACAGCTGTCCTTCCTTACTTTCCGTACAGCAAGCAGTCAAAGCAGAAGCGTCGTGGTACCATTGCTGCCAAGCTGGTGGCTGACCTTTTGCAGGTGGCGGGCGTCAGTCACATCCTCACGCTTGACCTTCACCACATGTGCGTGGGTTTGCTCGCTTGCTTGATTTTGGTTTGCTTTCCATTTGTGGAACCAGACGGCGAACGGAGGCAATGGCCAACGAGGCAGGGTAGATATGGCTGGTCCGACTTGCACTGTTTCTCATTCTTGTCTGAATAGGCAAATGCAAGGTTTCTTCGGCATGCCTGTTGATAACGTCAAATGCAGCCCTTTGCTGGCCGACTACATCTTGCACCAGGTAAGGAGAGACGTCATGACCGGCCTCCATCTGCGTATGCGTTCAGCCTGGCCTACACGGCCTGTGACTCTTGTCCCGCTGTCCAACCGGCTTCTTGACTCAACGTGCAAACGCATCCGCATTCAATCACGTGCAGATCCCAAATGGCGCCAAGTGTGTGATTGCTGCAAAGAACGCGGGTGCCTCAAAACGGTGAGGTCCATGGCGACGGCCCACCCCTTTTTGTACACGTGTTTTCTACATTTACACACGGTCCCGTCCTGTTGGCCATTGACGCACTTTCTCATTCTGCTGCTCGATGGTGTGCGAAACTGCATCATCAGCGCTGCTGTCATCGCTAAGCGCTTGGGCTGCGATTTTGCCATGATCTTTGGTGAGCAAACCAAGTATGCCGAAACGCTGGCTGAGGAGAAGATGGGCAACGATGGCCGCGAAGGTTTGTGAAGAACCGCAATGCTCGCCTCGAGCTGATGTTTTCTTGTTGACTTGAGCGCCTCGGGTTCAAGTCTCACTGTTTCCGAGTCGTTCGCATGCATGATTCTTATCCTTTGCGTCGGCTTTAGCTGCGCTTGAAGAAACCCTGGATGCCATGGAGAAGGAGGAGTTGGAAGACTGCCACGAGGAGAGCGCCCAGGGAGATGGCGTCATTGGTGAGGTGTACGAGCGCGACGTGGTCATTGTTGATGATGTCATTGACGGCGCGGAAAGCTTTGGTTTGTTTATCGCTGCGTCTATTCGTGGCCGCCCAGACCTCTCTAACCCTCTCCCGTCTCACGACGCCAACCGCTTTCTTCGCCTGGCGCATGCCAGTCAAAGCAGCCCAGTTGTTCAAGGACAACGGCGCGGACAACGTGAGTTCGACGCAAATGGTCCAGGGGGGGACGGTTCTCTTGCCTTTCACACTTTTGCTCAACAGCATCGCACATGATCTTGTCTGACCGCATCGTGCGACGTGTCCTGTGCAACCATTTGCTAGGTCTACATTATCGCAACGCACGGTATCCTTTCTGGCAAATGCCCTGAAGAGTTGCAGGAATGCGATGCAATCCAGCGCGTGGTTGTCACCAACACCATCCCGCAGCGTGATCACATGGCGCGCTGTCCCAAGCTCGCCACCATTGACTGCTCTGACGTTTTGGGCGAAGCCGTGCGCCGCCTTCACTTTGATGAAAGCTTGTATGCCATGTATTCGCCTCCCGTTCCGGCTACTGCTAGTCCGGCACGACGCCGAGGCGCCCGCTCTCGCACGACCTCGGCCTGCGAGAATTAGTCCAAATAGCTATAGCCATGGCTCCCACACTTTGTGAAACACAGGTTTGCTTTAGCTTTAGCTGTTTCTTTCGGCCCTCCGTGGCTTCAGTGTGGTCTTCAGGGCACCATGCTCCTTTTGCACCACGTTGTCCTTCTATTCTCTCTTTTGCTTCTTCTTCTTCTTCTCTCCCTCTTCTCTCTCTGTTTTATCGCTGTTCTTCTTCGTGTCGCACGCGCACTCTCTCCCATCCCTCATTTGCTCTCCCTTGTTTACCGGGCACGGTCACATTCTATGCCTCTCTTCTGCATGGAAAAGCCGCATGATGCATTTTTGTCGTCGACTTCAGCTGGGTTAATTGTATGGTGCGAGTGCATTCAACTTGATGGTTCAGGTCATTGGTGCACAAGCTGAGTGGCCGAGCCACATTAGGCAGGCCGTGCCTTATATCAAACGGTTTGATGTATGAAGCATCTTGTTCCAAGGAGGGCGCGGGCGACAGCCCAGCACAGCCAAGAATTTGGTCGGTCTCTCGATTGCTAGAGCATATCAAAGTCCTTGTTGTAAAATGCGGGAACCAACACTCCAACAACAAGAGCATGGGCACTTCACAAACTCAGCGGGAAATGCGCCATGACAAGGGCTTTATCGCAGGTGTTTAGGCACGTTGGTCGTGTCCACTTTTACCGCAGCCTTGGGAATCTGGTATCGCTCCATCAAAAACTTGGCGACGGGCCCCACGTGGATGCCTTGGATGTGCAGCGGGCGCCCAAGCTTGAGATCCGTGGCCTTGCCAAAGCTCACAGAGGCTGACATTGCATTGGCAAGGTCACGCCGTAAAGCTTCATCGAGCTTGATGCCGTTGGCCTCTAGGCCATTGACGACGGTGATGTTCTTCTGGCGCTTGCGCACAAAGGCGCATGTAATGGTACGAGGGTTTTTACCCCCTCGGGCTTCCACAAAGCCGCTTGTGCCTTGCTTGGAGGCTCCTTGTGTGGTGGCAAATGCCACGTCTGCATCATCACTGGCCTGCGACGCCGCCAATTCCTCCTCTGTAAGCAGCATGTCGTCCTCATCCACGTCAAGGAGGCGAGAGTGGCCACGATCCACTCTATCAATGTGCACCACGCCTTGTTTGGGCTCGATCAAATGCACGACGCCCTGTTTTTCGAGGGATTGCATCAGCGTGGCCAGCTTTTTGAATTGAGTTTGCCGGATGTTGAAGGGTTCTGGCGGGTGATGCTTGATGCGCGGTAAAAGGGCGCTGACGTGTTTGCCGTTGAAGGTGGACACCAAAAGGGGCAGATCTGCATTTTTAATCTTACGCAAGGCCAAAAGAACGGCACGCTCGGCCCATTGATCCATGTTGATGTAGTCGTCTGCACTTTCATCTCCGGCTTCATCTGCCTGTGTGCCATCGGCGTTGTCGGTCGGCAATCCAGCTGGCTCAGCCGCTGCCGCAGGAGTGTTAGCATCGACTTCAGCGTCGACGTCAACGTCGGCGTCTGAATCGGCGTCCAAGTTCGCATTGTCTGCAGTGGTCTGACTCAGTTGGTCGGGCTGGGTCGTGCCAGCCTCAGGCCCAGCGGCTCCTGGCGGGGGCGGGGGTGGGCCGACAAGTGTTTCAGCGGTTTCTTCGCCTGCAGTGACGCGTGCCAAGCGGGCCTCGAGGTCGGCCAGCTCCTGTGACAAGGCCGACTCACGCCCAAGCTTGTCTTGCTGATCAGCGTCAGGCTGCAACTGGCCCGCCTCGACTTTAGCGCGTAGCTCCTGAATCTGGCGGAGGGCTTTTTGCTTGCGCTTAATTTGCTTCGGCCCATCGAGGGCAAAGGCTGCGAGCTGTTTGCGGGCCTCTTCCAGCTGTGCTGCATGTGAAGCCAAATTGGCTTCGTGTTCAGCAGCAATTTCCTTGTCCTTGATCTCTTGCAGGGCAGCGCTGACGTCGGTCAGAGGTTGGGTGGGCATGCGGCCGTCGCCGGCAAGCCAGAGCGCATCATCTAAGCAGTGCTCCACGTTGAGTGAGCAGCCCTGCTGGCCACGGTGCTCAAGCTCAGAGGAAGAGACATTCCAAACACCAGTGGCCAGGGGCATCCAGTGCCCACGTTCACGGATGGCCACAAAGTCACCAGCAGCAAAATTGCCAAATGTGGCGTGCACCCAGCTCTCGCGTGGTGTTGCGCCCTCCTTAATGACCATCCCCGGGGTGAAGAGGTCAGCACCTTTGATAATTTTGCTTCCAACGCCCTCAAAAATAACGACGTTTGACACAATCTGCGGGCAACGCTGCAGGAGGTAGAGCGAGGGCCAGAAGCGAGGCGCGCCCACATTCTTGGGCTGGTCAGTGTAAAAGAGCGGCAAGCCCTCGACAAAGTAGAGGGAGGTATGGCCTTGAAGCTTTTGCAGCTCGACTTGCGTCTTGACGCCATCACCCACCGGCCACACCACCTGCAACTGTTGGTCCGCCAGAAGCGGAAACTGCTGCTGTAGCTCCCTGCGCAGTCGACGCGCATCCGACGCCCGCACGACCTGGCGGTTGCCCTTGAGCTCCAACGTCTCAAAGCGCCGACAGCCCTTCATCCTGCCTCGGTTCAAGAAAATGATGACATTCTGACAAAAAATAAACAGTTACTTGTCAGAATGTTTTCATTGTGTGTGTGGTTGGCAACGCGCTCGGTCGAAAGGAACTTGGCATTTGAGCGTGCGCGTTCGTTCGGTCCAGCTCTGTCTGTCGTTGCGGGCTCAACTCTGGCTGTGGTCTCGGTGGAGGTGGCAACCAGATTGTCAGCGAGCAGGCTTGGGGGACACACGCGCTCTCCCACGTGCAACAATGGCGGATATCGACTCAACGACCTTGGACTTTTCTTTCTCTGAGCTCACTTCCCTGCCAGGTACACGGCGCACCTCACTTGCTGGTGTGACCGTCTGAGTGGCTCACTCGCTTGGTCGTGTATGTTCCCTTCTCTGCTCCTGGACAAACTGCTAGATGTCTATGAGGAAGAGCCGCGGGCTGGTGCGATCAAGGCGGCTGCTACAGGTGGCAAAGGGGGCAAGGGAGGCGTGTGTGCCAAAGGCAAGGTCGTTGTTACCACGCTGAAACTGAACAACAATGTCATCTCCGATCTGACGGAGCTTCCCACCATCCTGGTATGCCCTGACAGCGTCCTCCCACTCTTGTGTAGTTGAACGCTGCCACAGCCTTCTAGCCTGGTGGGAGGGAGTCTCGATGCGAGCGATGCTGATTGTTTCTGCGTTGTGCGCGTGATTCTTTGGCATGGTAGCCCGACATCTTGGTAGATTGGTCACAGCTGGTATTTTTGGATCTGAGCTTCAACTGTCTCAACGCCATTCCCAAAGAGCTCGAGTGCCTTCCACAGCTTGGCATTCTCTACCTCCATGGCAACAACATTGGTGCATTGACTGAGGTCTGTTTTTACTTCTTCCGACTCGCTGATGTCGCCTGGTGGTATCACCGCCGGTTTTTCATGGTTGTGGTGTATTGGCTATCACAGAATGAGGCCATGCTACCCGCCAAAGAACTGCGTCAAGTCGAAGCCAAAAAACTGCGACAAGTCGACAAAATTGGCAAGCTCATGACAAACCTCAAGAGCTTTAGCCTACACGGCAGCTATCTTGAGCGCATCGAAGGTCTGGACGTGTGACCTTGACCCGCATTCCTTCTTTCTCCTGGTCTCGTCTGTTTTGAGCTGCTGCGCCAGAGTAACATGGCACGTTTGATGGGTTTCCTGCATATGGTGTTGCAGGTTATCGGCAGCATGTGGTGGCGGCCATTCCCTCACTGCGCAAGTTTGACTTTGTCGCCGTCACGTCGGCCGATCGCGAGCGCGCCGCACGCTGGAAGGCCATGCATAGCCCTCGCCGCACCAAGGCACCGGCCTAAACTCCATCCATGCCACCTTCCCTTTCGAGGCGCTTCTCGCCGCATTGTGATCAGACTTCCCCCCCCCCCTCCCCCCCATTTTTTTCTTGGTTGTACTTTTCAATCTCAATAAGTGTGTGTGTGTGTGTGTGTGTGTGTGTGTGTGTGTGTGTGTGTGTGTGTGTGTGTGTGTGTGTGTGTGTGTGTGTGTGTGTGTGTGTGTGTGTGTGTGTGTGTGCGTGTGTGTGTGACAGAAGCGCTTTTTGAATCATCAGGTGACACACACACACACCCTGCGGTTTGACCAGCTGCTCTCTGCTCTGCGCTGCGTTGCGCTGCTCTGCGCTGCGCTGCTTGGGGCTCTGGTCGCAAGGGCACGCTGCCTCTGTCTCTAAATGTCAGTTGTTGCTCACTTGCTTGATGATCTTGGCTTGTGCTTAAAGTAGGCGTATCAGATCAGCCGAATATCAATCGTGCAGCATGGCTACCTCAATGCAGGTCTCGCCGTTTGCATCGGCCGAGCAGCGCCGGGCCGCCCTGGCCTACAAGGGTGACTCCGTGCCAGCTCACTGTTGCGTGACCGGTGGCACCGGTTTCGTGGGTCAACGCCTCGTTGAGATGCTGTTGGAGCGTGGGGCCAAGCGCGTTGTGTCCTTTGACATTGTGCCACCGTAAGTCGGGAGATCGGCGACGTAGCTGCCCACGTGGGTGCTGCCATGCCATGGTGCTGCGGCGACGCGATGGATGCTGGTCGTTGCTGTATCTTGCCAATTGTTACTGAAGACTCATGGTAACTTTTTGCCATGATCCACAGGCCCAAGGCCCACTGGGAGCACCCTAATGTCGAGTATGTCATTGGTGATATTTGCGACGTGGAGGCCCTCGAGCGCGCTTTCAAGGGCGCAGATTGTGTCTGGCACAACGCCGCCGCCGTTGGCCCCTTTCACCCCCACGAACTCTACGACAAGGTGAACCGACAAGGTACCCTCAACGTCATCGAGGTGTGCCGCAAACTTGGCATCCCTAAGATCGTCATGTCCTCTTCTCCATCCACGCGCTTTGACGGAAGCGACATCAACGGGCTCAGCGAGGCCGAGATGCCCAAGCTGCCCATGGCCACCTATCTCCAAGCCTATGCCCAGTCCAAGGCTGAGGGAGAGATGGCCCTTACTGCTGCCTGCTGCGATGAACTTATGACCGTGGCCGTGGCCCCCCACCAAGTCTATGGCCCCCGCGATAACCTCTTTGTGCCCAACATGCTCGAGGCTGCCGGCAAGAACCTGCTCCGTGTCTTTAGCAGTGCCCGTACTGGCTACGGTCAGAATCGCGTCTGCTTCACTTACGTTGACAACTGTAAGTCATCCTATTTTTTTTTTTTTTTTTTTTGTTTTGTTTCTTTGTGGGTTCTTTCAATCCTCAACGCTCCCACCCCATGCCTCTGTCACCGTGCAAGACGGCCCGTATTTCTTTCTCCCAGCGGGGCCGCGGGATTCTGCTTCAAACATTGACTCATACTTCTGTGATCCTTTGTTTTGCTTGCTCATGCTCATTTTCTCGGTGGGCCAGATGCTCATGGTCTGATTATTGCGGAAAAGGCCCTGTACAAGGGCAGCCCGGCTTTGGGCAAGTTTTATGTGGTGACTGATGGCTCCACTCACCCCCATCCGGAGGGTTATGCCCTGTTCTGGCCCACCATGGACAAGATGATCACCTCCATCGGATTCACTTCCATCTACACACGCTGGAAACTTTCAACCTGGTTTCTTTACCCTGTGGCCTATGTCTGCAATGTCGTGGGCTGGTTGATGGGCACCAAGCTCAAGCTCAATCCTTTCAACGTGCGCGTCCTCACCATGCATCGGTGGTTCAACATCTCGGCCGCTGAGCGTGACCTCAAATATCAACCCATCATCCCCTTTGAGGCCGGCATGATTGATACAACGGAATGGTTCAAGGTCAACTGGCTACCTGGCTTCTCAACTTCTGGTCGCAGTGTGGGCATCGCACAACAGTCCGAAGCCAAAATCAACGTTCAGGCTGCCGGCACAGACCGCAAATAGCGTCTCTGCGACGTGCTAAAAGGGGGTGGCCTATCAAGTCTAGCTAGCCACTCACCTGTGTGTGAATCCGTGTGTCTGCATTGATTTTGTTCTCTGTCTCTCTGTGTCTCTGTCTCTGTCTCGCTCTGTTTCCTGGTTGCTGTTGCTGCAAAAAACGCGCGAACAAATGGTATATAGGCCACTGTACCAATCTTGATCGAGTCGAGTCGCCAATAGTCGCGTAAATTGGGGCTCGCAGAGCTCAGGCAAACAACCACAAGAGAAAATGGAGAAAAATACAGTGTGGAAAAGGTTTTCTAAAAGACGAAGGAACCTTGGGACGATCAAACTAGACAAATGAACAACCAAGGTTCCTTGATGCTGATGGGAGGGCGGAGAAGAATAGAACAAGGGGGAACAAAAGCACGGGCGCCCTAACTATAACAATGGGCAAAGGACAGCGCCAGAGCTTGCAGCATGGCTGCTCAATGCAAGATCACATAGTATTGCTAGGGTCAGCAAGGTCTACATCGTCAGCCTCTTCTTCATCTTCATCTTCATGCTCACTATTCGAGCCGTCATCAGCGTCATCGCGATTGCCTCCTGTGCCCCCTTGCTCGTCGTCCTCCTCCTCAAGCAAGAGGGAGGCCACGTCATTAGCCTTGAGCTTTTCTGAGGGAGCATAGTTGCCGCCTTGAATAACCATTTGGTGCACTTTGCTCTTCTCTTGAGCACGCGCTAAAATGCGTTCCTCCACGGAATTGCGCGTGATGAGGCGGTACACCGTCACTGTGCGGGTTTGGCCCAGGCGATGGGCACGATCCATGGCCTGCTGATCCACAGTGGGGTTCCAATCAGAGTCGTAGAAAATGACCGTGTCCGCTGCCGTCAGATTGATGCCAATGCCGCCCGCACGCGTTGATAGAATAAACGCAAAGATATCATCCCTGTGAAGAGTTAGGATGCATCAAAACCCCGGGAGCGGCGAGATGAGCTTCAGGCTTCTCGACAAGGCGCCAGTTGTTTGCCGGGTGGGTGGGGCCGCTGGGCCTGCCTCGCGATTCACTTCATAACGATCGTCGCAGCCTAACATACCGTGATTGGAAATCAGCCACCATGTCCCGGCGTTCGCTAATCTTGGATGACCCATCCAAGCGCACATATTTGTACTGGCGATGTGTCAAGAACTCTTCCAACAGATCGATCATCTTGGTCATTTGGGAGTAGATCAGCACACGATGCCCCCCTGCTTTGAGGCGCCGCAGCATGTCGTCCAAGACCTGCAATTTGGCGCAGTCGGCCACAAACAGTTGTGCATCTGTTTGTGTATAATTCAAACGCGCGAGACAGGTACAGAAAGGCACGCACCAAGCAGCAACATGGTCAGACAAGACGCTTGGCAAAGAGTGCCAACCTCTCAAAAAGGGCCAGTGCGGGTGGCGCCACACCACACGGCGACTCAAGCAGGAAAAATGTGGGGGCCTCGGATGCAAAGCAAACCTGGATGACGGATGGAGTGCATGGTGTGAACGTCCAGCGCGGCAAAGGCATAGCCGTTGGTTGGCGCTGAGAGCACGGCGGGGGCCAGCGCGGGGTCCAAGGTGGCGGGAACGCAAACGCGCTGAAGCAGCGAGAGACGCAGGGCATCGCCCCAGCCCCAGGCAGTACGGGCTTGCAAGTCGATGGCGTGGCGATGTTGCACTTCAGGCAGGGTGGGGCTGGCTGTGACCTCAGGAAAGGCACAAACCAAGCCCGTTCGAAATCGTCGTGCCTCACGAAGCTCCCTCACAGGCACCAGACCCGAGGCGAGCTCGTTGGCGGGGTGTAAGGCGTCGACCTGCCGTACCACGGCAAGCAGAGGCTGGGAGACTTGTACCACGGGCTCGGGGCACCATCGTGCCTGGGCGTGCATCTCGCTCACATGAGCCAGGAACAAGAGTTCCAACTCGCTGCTCTGCATGTGCAACGAGACGTCGTGAGGGCTGAGGCCAGCATGGGCCAGCACGCCCACCAGCGAGCTCCCTGACGCGTCTGCGTCCCCAGGACTGGCATACATGACGGACGCTAGGTGATCGGGCGCGAAGCAGCCGTATTTGTGAAGGAGCCAGGTCCGGTCGTGATCACTTTCAGAGGGGACGGCGCCCGGCCAGCACTCTTGATAGAGCAGGCGCGGGTACGACAGTGTAAAGGGGCTAGCCAAATTAGAGACAACGGTGCCGTCATAGACGGGAACCACGTCGTGCATGGCAGGCAGGGCAACAACGGGGGAGCGCACGGGGCGCCGTGCAATGAGGTTGGGGTGATTGCAGATTTTACGAAACTGCATCACCATGTTCAACAGGCTGGAAAGGGCCTTGTCCTCCGCACGCGAGCTCCGCGACACGGGTGCCATCGCTGCTGACGTGATGGCGCTCAATTGATCGCGTTTGATGTTGCTCTTGAGTCGACGGTAGATGCGCGATTGACGAGCTGAGAGCGGGCATTTGATCATGACCTCGACCTTATCTGGCAGCTCATTCTCAACATTGCGCTTGATACGGCGCAACATGAAGGGCTGCAGGATCATGTGAAGGCGCTGCAGCTGCTTCTCGTCAAGCTTGCTGCTGCTGTTCTGAGCATGGGATTCAATGTCCTTGGAGAACCACTCGTTGAACTCATCGTGTGAGTCAAAGAGCGTCGGCATGATAAAATGCAGCAGGGCCCAGAGCTCTGCCATGGTATTTTGTATGGGCGTGCCCGTGAGCAGGAGACGATTGCGACAGTTGAACTTGAGCAATGTGTTCCACCTGAGTCGGAAGAGAATTTGGAGTAAGTACAAAAATGTTCCAGCCTAGGCGTGTCACACGCCAAACGCGGAGGGGTGACCAAAGTCTCGAACGAACCGCTGGCTGGTGCTGCTTTTGATGGCCTGGGCCTCGTCCAAAATCATGTACTGCCAATGAACGCGATTAAAGTACTTGGCATCCTTGACCACAATCTCGTAAGACGTCACCTGCCAGGCCATGCAGTTCGCCACCGGTGCCCCGGAGCCGATGCCAGCGGTGAGAGCCTGATACTGACATCGTGGTTACGAGCCATGCACAAAATGCCTCATTTTGACAAACCATGACGTGAAAGTCGGCTTGTCGCGTGTAGAGCTTGCGTGAACTCCAGTAGCCTCGGAGAATCTTGCGCTCGTTTTGCGTTCCCCTAAGCAAAGCAGAGCAGCAAGGTTCAAGCCGGTTTGATGAGAGTGGTTCGGGCTTGAGGCAATCATGAAATATGGAGACAGCTCAAGGCATTGCTAGCGTACCAATAGGGGAGCACCTTCAGCTCGGGCGTAAAGCGAGAGACCTCCTCACACCAGTTATGTAGGGTCGAGGCCGGTGTGACGACCAAGAATGGACCCCAGATGCCCTCATGTTCAGCCAGATGGGCGAGGGTAGAGATGGACTGAATGGTCTTGCCCAAGCCCATTTCATCTGCTAGGATGCCGTTGATGCCCTGTTCGTAGAGATTGGCCAGCCAGCGAAGGCCCTTGAGCTGATAGCCCTTGAGTTTGGCTTGCAACATGCTAGGTTGATCAATCTCCTGGATGCCCTCCATGTTTGGATTGGCCAGGCTAAAGTTCTCATCAAACTGTTGCTGGCTCTGCATACCCAAAAAGGGAAATGGAGGGGGAGCACAGATGCATGAGACAGGCGCACGAGTTGGGTCGTGATGCAATCGTCTTCCAAGGCAAAGACCACGGGCGAGTCTTGAGGATGGGCACAGGACGTTAGCAGGCAAAAGACGGGTCGCACCGCTTGGGGGTTGTTGGGTTGGTCACGAAACTTGTCAAACTGTTGGGCATGCTTGTGAGAAGCAGCCACGGCCTGCTGGGCTTGCGCCAAAGCACGTTGCTTCATCACTTCATCTGATTCGTCGTCGTCGCCAAGTCCATCGCCCGAGCCATCCAGTTTGTTGAGAATAGCAGCCGTATCATTGCTGCCATCCTTGGCGGCCTTGCCGCGCATAAAGTGGGCATACAGCTCAGACTGGGTGAGGAGATAATTAAACTTGCGCTGCTGACGGCGGGCTTCACGGGCCTCTTCCTCGCGCTTGCGTTGTTCTTGCAGCTCCTTTTCGGCGCGTCGACGGCGCTCCTTTTCTGCGCGTTCATTCTTTTTCCAAAATGCCACAGCCTAGAGTGCAACACGAGACCACGAGCAAAGCAGATCAAGTCGCGGAGAAACACCATGCGCCCTGCTTCCCTTTGAAGACGGCAGCTGACCCGGCACCCGCACCCTGTGCTGAGACAAAGCCATTGGTGCGTACCTCAGCTACAAGTTTACGCGCACGTCGACCCGTTTCACGCTCGGCACGCAAGGAAACACGAACGAGGCGACGGGACAGTTCGCGCTGGGCTTCGACGGCCAGCTTTTCAGCCGTTTGCTGTTTGTTGCTCTTGCCTTGATGCATGGCGCGAAAGGCCCGAGGAATATCGCGTCTGGCGATGGTAGCCTTGATGCGTTGGAGCTTGGCGGCGTCCATGTTGCGTTCAAACTCCTTGAGCTCATGGGCTTCTGTCTCAGCGCGCGCTCGAGCGATTTGGGCAAGGCGTTCTTCGAGCTGGGCCTGCATCTCTTTGACGCTATTCATCAGCTGTGCGGCATCCTTGCGATGGAAATTAATGTGAGGCTTGGGCTCTGCCTTGGCCGGTGGCAGGTTTGAGTTTGAACTGGTCGCAGTGCCATCCTCAGGTGAGGGCCCAGTCCTATGGCGCGCATTTTGCTTGTTGATAAGGCGCTGAGAGATAGCAGTCACTTGTGCTTCGGAGAGGTATGCGAGGGACGTTTTGAGCAGTGCTGAGGTGAAGCTGTAGCCTTTGCGATCCTGAATGGGCTGTGAGCGATGGAAGCACGCATTTATGGACGAATCGTTGGTGAGCCAGGACGTGATAGGTGTAACGCATGTCTGCAGAATAAAAACTTGTGCACGCGTGCATGCAGCATGGCCAGCTGGATAGGCTGAAGGAATGCGTACCGCGGGCATGTGGCGAAGACGCTTCTGAGTTTTGCGGTTGCGCAGCATAGTGTGGTAGTCGTGTTCGGTAACTTCGGCTGACACTTGCGCTTCAGGCCAATGCTAACATGATTTAACACACACACACACACACACACACCAAAAAAAAAGGCCGATGGCAGGCGCAGAAAATAAGTGTGCCAAAGCTACCCAATAACATTTCAATGCCCCCCAAAAAACTTGAGCAAAAGACTGGAAAGAAGAGCGGCGTACCAGGACTTGATCAAGCCATATGCGTTTGCTCCGTTTTGCTGCTAGGGTGGTGTGGTGAAGCTCCATCATGACGTCCATGGTCTGTTGTGAATCGAGGCTGATACCCTGGATGGAGCGCGGTGGCGTCGGACAGCCGCAGCGAGAAGAGGAGCATCGATGGATAAGGAAAGGTCGGCGGGGGAGCACGGAGGCGGGATGCAAGGGAGGAAATTGCGAGCGGGTGTAAAGGCAAAATCATGCAGGCCAAGGTGCACATCACACATCTGGATGCCAAACGGATGGGCGATCCAGCCGACAAGGGCGATGCGCAAAAGGCCAACGGGACTTTAACCGAGCAAACGCACGTGGGGCAAAGCCATGGCCCGCCGAAAGTCTTGCAGACCAAGGGCTGGAGCTGTATCATCCCTAAGGGCGTGCCGAGTACCAGTCAAGCAGACGGATCAGATCCAGCGATTCAACATGGTGCTGGCTTTCTCTCGGAGGTCTCAACCCTTGGCAAACACGAAAGGAAAGGCTCGGAGAAAAAACAAGCTGACAGTGACTACAGAAATTCAGAAGGGACACCCGAGGAGGCGGACTCAAGCAGATGCGGCCATGGGCACTGGTTCCCTGGATGGGTGCCTCCTGTCTGGGATTGCGCGGGTTGTGCGGGGAAATGTTTTGTGTGTGTGTGTGCTCTTGGAAGAGAGTGCGGGCGAACGCAAGCTTACATGACTGGGCGAGCTGAGGGGGAGGAGTCCGCGGCTAGCGACACCGTCTCCTCAATGCCATACGCCCGGGCCGCCTGTGCGACATAGGATGGATCAAGCCAGAGGGCAATTTGATTGTGGTCACTGGCAGCCGCCATGACCAACGGTGTGCCCTCTCTCCGAGATCTGCACGGCACAAAACAGAACAGAACAGAGAGAGGGAGAGAGAGAGAGAGAGAAAGTGAGAGAGAGAGAGAGAGAGAGAGAGAGAGAGTGTGTGTGTGTGTGTGTGTGTGTGTGAAGAAGAGAAAGAAGAGGGAGAGCGCGCCAAAACAAAAGAGAGGGATGGTGAGGAAAAAGTAACGGGCACAAGTGGGGAACGTTCAGTAGTAGGTGGTGCACGAGAGGACGAGGGGGGTCAGGACGAGAGAGAGAGAGAGGAGGATGGATACGTGCGGGGATGGAAGAGAAGACGAGTCGGGTACAGTCTCATGGACTTGTGGAGGAGGTACCACCATCCAAAGCCAAAGGGTGGGCAAGATGTGCGAGAGAGGAGCCAAAGAGAGAGAGATCGAAGCTGGGAAATCGCGACTGCGGACAAGATTCTCATTCTCATACAGCAGTGTTATGGCAGAGGTCGTGGTCAGCAAAGGCTGGCTTAAAAGACACTGCCCTGCCAGCCGTAGTTTGCCCCGTTGTTGAAAGGATGTGACCCTCGCCGAGCCCTGACTACATCCGGATGTACTGAAGAATGCTGTGTTTGCATGATTACGATGGTGGTGATGTGATGTGGTGTAATGTGTTGTGTATGTGTGTGTATGTGTTTGTGTGCGTGCGGGGGAAGATGCGCGCAGAGCGTCAGAGCGCGCAAGTAGGCCTTTTGATTTGTCAGATAAAATTTGGGCGCTACCAGATGTGAAAACCAACGGGCGCCACGGCTGTTGGGGCTGATTTTGGCGATGCACCACCGCTTGGGTCAAGGGTTACGTAGGGTGGATGGGATCCCAGTTGATCCATCAGTCAATTCCAACGCTTTGAGAAAGGAGATTTGATGATTTGGTCCCTCTCGCTACCTCCTCTCAGTCTGTTTTGCCCACCTTTCCCACCGCGCCTTGCGCCTCGGCGCGAGCGCCATTTACGAATGTGCACAACAACTGTTGTTACGCAGAAAAACCCCTTCAGAATAAACAAATCAAGTTTGAAGGGAACTGACATCGATCGACAAGGAAAAAGCGATTTTTTTTTTTTCCTTTTCGTTCCAAGCTTTGAACCTCTCCACCACTCAGTCTTCTGGTGGAACGACGGTGCGCTACCTTGTGTCATAGCGTTTTGCTGTACAGCAAAGGTACGGGCCATGTGTGTATGGGGCTCAACACCTCAAGCACGAAACAAGTCAGCAGCACTCTCCTTAACCTCCCCCCTCCCTTGGTCTCCTTCGCGCGCTGCTGATGTCCTGCAGGGTTTGACTGCTGGCAGGCAGCTGACACTGATCTTTTCTTCCCAGCATCATGCCGAACCCCTTCGCTGCTCTGGACGACAGTCCGATCGAGGCCTCGGCCCCGGCTGCGGCTGCGGCTGCTCCTGCTCCCGCGGCCAAGCCCGTCGCCCCTAAGGCTGCGGCCCCTGCCGCTGCGACCGAGCCCGCTCGTGGCCGTGGTACGTCGCCTCTTACGCGCCGTGTCCCGCCGCCCTCCCCCTTCCCCCCAAAAAAGATACACATTATGACATACAGACCACTCTGCCCTTTCAAGTCATCTGTTGCCACCGCCATCCAAGCCTTGTGGGGGGTTTTTGTTTGTTTTGTCTTGGGGGTCAGCCCGCCCCGCAGAAACCTCCCCGCCCCTCTTGCACAGTCATATGCACATGAGCTGGCAACTTGCCAAAGCCCGCACTGCCCCTGTTCCTCCTCCTGCCCAAGCAGCCATGCAAATGGTGTGGTGTAGCATGGCGTGAACACACCATTCTTGCCGGGGTTCAGCGAACCTGTCTTGCCCTGAGATTGTTGGATGCGGAACAGCTGCCAGATCGCAATGCCTTGTGTTCAACGTTGTTTGGCCCCTGCTTTTGTTCCCATTACAGCAATGACAATGTTGGGCTTTACCTGGTCTTGCTGGTTGCCTTTGTGCTTTCCTGTTCTGTTTTGGTTGTCTCCTTTCTCCTTGTGGCGGTGGTGATGGTCGTTTACGCTCGTGTCTTCGCCAGTGCCCCTCTTTCTCTCCCCTATCAACTCCACAGAGCCCTTCTTCTCCTCCTCATTCAGTTCAACTGTATTGGTGCTCAAGGCTCATCGTGACACGCCTGCGTTGCTTGCTTGTCTTTCTCAGGTCGTGGCCGTGGTGGCCGTGGCGGTCGCGGTGGCCGTGGTGGCCGTGGTGGCCGCTCTGATGGTGGTGAGGGCGCTGTTACCGGCGGCGAGCCCACTTTCGAGCGTGACGATCGTCAGGCTGCCAACCGCTCGCACCGCCGTGGTCGTGGTGGTGCCCGCTCGGACCGCAAGCCCCGTAACCCCCGCAGCCACGATGTGGAGAAGCGCGATGGTGCTGGTCCCGCCAACTGGGGCAGCACCACCGATGAAGTCAAGGAGGGTGCCGCTGCCCTCGATGCTCCCGCCACTGTACGTTGGAGATTGTCTGCCTGGCCTGGAATGACTGTCGGATGTCCCTTTCATGGCCCCACTTTTGTCACTGTCTTGCTTCAACTCACGCGTGTTTCGCGTCTTTGTGTGTGTGCGTTTGATAAAGGAGGCCTTTGTTGATGAGGAGGCCGTTGAGCAGGAGGCTGAGCCCGAAGAGGCCACCATGACTCTTGACGAGTTCCTTGCTGCCCAGGCCGCCAACGGCTCGCAGCAGGCCGCGGCCAAGCGCCAGGCCAACGAAGGCCAGGATGAGTCCAAGTTTGGCCGCAAGCACGAGCGCAAGCCGCTCGAGGACGAGAACGCCGCTGCCAAGACTGGCCGCGCTCGCCAGCAGCGCAGCGCGCAAAAGGTGGCCGTTGCGTCTGAGTTCCGCGTTGGCAGCAATGTTGACGACTCGTTCCGTGGTCGCGGCCGCGGTGGCCGTGGCCGTGGTGGCCGCGGTCGTGGTGGTGCTCCTCGTGATGCCGCCGCTCCTGGTGGTGAGGAGGCTAGCCGTGGTGGCCGTGGTGGCCGTGGCCGCGGTGAGGGCCGTGGTCGCGGCCGTGGCCGTGGCGAGGGTCGTGGTCGTGGTGAGGGCCGTGGTCGTGCTGGCCGCGGTGCTCAGGGCCGCACCCCCGATGTCTCCAACCAGGACGAGTTCCCCTCGCTCTAAGGCATTTTCTGCACGCTCTCGATCGGCGTTCGTTGCCTCGCACAGAGACAGCCCGCAGGACGCAATAGCTGGATGTGACATGTCGATTGGTGTGGTGGCTTCATCGGTCTTCCGGAACCGGGGGAAGAAGAGGCAACAAGCTTGGAGGAGCAGGGCAATTTAGCAACACACGGGCTGATGTGACTGTTGTTTTTTCATTGTGTTGAGTTTGTATTGTTCACCTCTCTGCCCTTGCTACCCGTTGTTTGCTCTTGCAACTTGTTGACTTGCTTCTTCTTCCCCAATCTGGCTGCCTCGATGAAGTTTCCTCCTAGGCACCTTTGCTGGCGTGTGTCTCATGTCCCGTGCCCTTTGCGCATCCCTGCCAACCGGCCTCCTTTTTTTTCTTTTTTATAAAAAAGTCTGGCATGAAAATTGACAAGAAAAAATGAAAAATCAATCAGATCAAAAAGATCGAGAAACAAGAGCTTTTCATCAAATCCGCGACAAAAAATAAAAACGGTTTCAAACGGTCAAACCCATGATGTTGACACAACCAAAACATTCTGCTGCTTGAACACACAGTTCAAAGCCATCAGATTCGGTTCATTTTGTGCACGCCGCACCAGCACCAGACGCCTTGGCCCTTTGACCCTGCCTTGTAGGTACAGTGACTCAGGCGGCTCTCAACCTTCCCCCCCCATGGTACCCGGACGTGGTCATGGCCTCTCTGGTTCGAATGACCCACCCCCTCAGCATTTCTGATGTGTTGTGGCAGGACATCATGACCGACCAGCTGATCTAAGGGGCTAGCATGGCCTTTGCTGCTTCGCTGGGCTGGCATGGGGCAGCTTCATCAAACACCAGCCCAGCGTCGACCCCATCCGCTCTATCCCCGTCCCGCTTGGATGCCAGCGTGCGTGCATGGCGCATCATCGACCTCTTTTTTTTTTTTTTTTTTTTTTTTTTTTTTTTTTTTTTTTTTTTTAGCACTTTGCTCACATCCCTTGAGAATCTGTGGTACCTGACATTGTTTTACCCCCTGGGACGGAATGAGCAGGCTCCTGCGCTGTCTTGTCCCACGACCCTGTCAGGAACGCCGGCTGCCACCAGCATGGCAAGCCAGGCAAGCCAGATGTCCAGCAGGCGACCCCAGAGGCCACCTACACGGGCGCCACCCCTGCGACGCAAGCCTCTCTCAAAAGCTGCCCAGCGCTCGGCGCAACTAGCAATGCATCCAAAAAAGGTGGAGGAAATTGAGGCCTGGCTTCAGGCGCTTCAAACAGCCATTAAGCAGCGTGCCCAGCACCGCCGTGCACAGCTTGCGGTATGCCTAGACCGCCGACGCACCATGCAACCTCTCAAGGCAGCCACGCCTTGCTTTCCTTGCGCGCCATCCCTTTTGACTCTGATGCTGTCTTAGCCAAGCCTGACTTTCCTATTTTCTTCCCTGTGCCTTTTCGGTTGGACCCGGCAGATGGCCCCGACACTCGTTCTCACCGGACCTGCAGGTAGAAGTTCCGCTTGACACCACACATTCTGCCACCTGTCCGACCACAGCATCTCACCCGAGCATGCTATTCCATCTCCTGATTCAGGGTGCGGCAAAACGGCAGTTGTCCGCCATCTGGCCGCCCAGCACCAGCTCGAAGTAACCGAGTGGATCAACAACGTCAAGGCTGAATTTGGATCAAGCCCCGAAGATCGCGAACTCTCCGTTTACGAGTCGCAGCGTACCACTTTTGAGGTCTGTGCCACCTGCCTTGGCCCATGGCCTTTGGCCTCCGTGTGCCCATATGCACCATACTGATTGGCCTGTTGCTCTCCTCCTTCCACAGCGATTTCTTTTGCGAGCACCCCGCTATACCAATCTCACCGCGAGTGCTGAGGCCAACGCGTCCAAACGCCGACTCATCTTAATTGAGGTGAAACACATTGTCATGCACTCGATGGCTCCAGGAATGTGTTGCTGCCAGCACGTTACAGATAGCTTTAACCGTTTTCGGTTTCTTTTGTTTTCTGCACGGTGTTTAGGACTTGCCAAATTACCTCACTCGCGACGATGCCGCTGGGACCTTCCACCACTTGCTCGGGTATGGCTGAAACTTGCATGCGTCTCAATGAGTGATGTCATGTGCCCTTATTCCTTGTCCTGCGGTGTGCTTATAATGTCCGTGCCGATTTGGCGATCACTTTGTGGGTTCGTGGCGGCATGTTGCAATGCTGGATTGCAGTCAGCTGTGCCGGACAGCCCATGCCGCAGTCATTTTCGTGTGCTCGGACATGCATATGGGCAGGTAGGGGGCCAGCGGCTTTTTGCACTCAGCGCAGGGCTCGTGTCAATGCAGATTTGATTTGCCTGGCAAGGCTCATTTCACCCTGGCCGCGCGCACACTGGTGGTAGCCAAAGTCTTTGGCTTTCCCGTCTTTTTCCTCGACAACAACGCGATGTCCTATTTCACGAAATTCGGTGTGAATCGCACCACTCCCCGCTTGGTATGCTGCACTATTTTATTTTCTTAACGCAACTCTTGTATCCGCCTGCCATTCAACTGGGTCGATCAGGTGTAATCCCATCAACAAAACGGCCATGAAGGCTGCGCTCAATGCGCAGGCCTCGCAGGTATCGGCAAACCCCCAACACCTTTGAGGCCATACCCCACATGCACTCACGACAAATGGCGGTGCACTTAGCTGACGGATGCACAAGTCGAGGCTTTGGCTCAGCAAGCAGGTGGAGACATCCGCAGCGCCCTCTCCACATTGGCGCTGCTCAATCTGCAGAGCGATGGTGCGGCATGCACACTTTCTCCCCGTCGGTGCTGGCGCGAGTTGAGTTTCTTCCTCTTCTTGACTTGGACTGGGCGTTCTGACTTCCTGCTCTGCACCTTAGATGACAAACCTCAACTCTCGTTTCGAGGAGGCGCGCCACGTCTCAAACGCCCCAAGCGCGCCTCTCCTCCCACGACCATTGCTGCGGCCATGAGGTGAACGCTTTTCATTTCTCTCGCGTGTGCGGTTGTTGCTCGGCGATTCTCACCGCTGTTGTGATAATCTTCTCTTCTCTGACTCGCACACATAGTGCCGGCATTCAACCCCGTGCAAACGGCCTTCAAATGTTCCATGCACTTGGGAAAATCCTACACGCCAAGCGTGAATCCAGTGTGCCCCCTGGTTTGTTTTGCTATACTGTGTATATTCTTCCGGCCATTTCTGTTCTTGTCTTCTTTTGGTGACTCGTCGATCATGTCTTCCTTTTTCGTCTGCCCCTGCTCTGAGCGGGTTTAGCATCTCCTTTCTTTCGCCCCATCGCCCCATCGCCCCCCTGACTTAACCAAATGCCAGGGTTCTTTCGTGTTGAAACAGCCTCGGCACTCATTATCTCTCACCTGCCTGTTAGTGGAGGGTCAGTTGCCCACCTGGCTCTCTACGTGGCGCCGAGCCAAGTTTTCTTCCGCTGAAAGCCCCGAGGTATGCTTCTGAGCCTCCCAAGCGACTATTCTGCGATGGCGTTCATGCGCTCACATGCGCAAGCCCTATTCGGGCTCTTCTCGAACCAGGCTGTCATGGAGAGCACGTGTCTGGGGGAAGACATCTTTGTCGATTTTTTGTTTCAGAATTATCCCCCCTACGTGGGTGACTTTGATGCCGTGGTATGTCACGTGTCCCCTTTTCTTTTCAAATAGCGACAAAGGCCGGGTCTGAAAGCTCTCTGGTTGTTGTGTTCTTGCTGATGCCGTTGTTCTTGTTTGCTCTTTCTCCCTCTTCTTTGGTTTTTTTTTGTTTTCCTTTTGACATATCGACATATGACAGGTAGACATTGCTGAAGCCTTTAGCGATGCTGGTGCGCACTTGTCAAATTATACGATGAGCGGATATTATGGCTCTGCCACATGTCGCTCTCTTGTTTTTCATAACCAGCGGCGTACGAGCAGCTATCGTAGCATGACAAAACCTTTGTTTAGGAATTTGCATTTTCAGGTCTGTCCGAAAGTGCGCACGCGTTGGCATTGGCTCTGTGCCTCACGCCCTTGCTGCGTTGCTGGTTGGATGCAGATGACTGATCAAATGCGTGACTTGGCTGGCACCTTTCGCACACCAGTCCGCGCCGACGATAGCCTCGGTACGCCCAATACCCCGTGCGCATTCTCGTAGTGTCTGGTGTGCATGAATGCGGAGGCATGTTTGATTGGTGCAACACCATATTGTTTTTTGAATTCATTGCCATCGGGATAGGGCGCTCCACCCTGCGAGAATTGGCGCGGGAGATTGTGCCATATCGGCGCCGGATTCCTTCTTGCTCCTGGACTCCTGGAGGTTCGTACGTTCCCATCTAGTCGCATCTTTGCACATTGTGGCCCACCCCCTGAACCTATGAACTTGTGTTTGTTTTTTGTTTGTTTGGTTTTTTTTTTTTTTGTTTGTTTGTTTGGTTTTTGTGGTTCCGTTTTTCCCTGGCACTTAGAGCGTCGCCTCGTGGATCAGGTGGCTTGGATTCGCCGCGATCGTATCGGGTGAGGAAAAAAGGTCGTTGACTCGAGTTGTTGAGGATACGTGATGCAATGTGGAGGGAGAAGACATGCTCATTATCCTCTGGTTCGATTTATCTGACACTTGTATCCTATGCCTGGTGGGCACAATCAGTGAACGAGCTGCTCCGCTCCGGGACTCCGATTTGGTCGAGCTCGACGAGGACGATGACATGGGTTCAGCCGACCAGCGAGGTGGCTCTAAGGTTGGGCCGGCCCCTCATCGGAACGTTGAAGTCAAAGATGATGGGCTGCAAAGGCCATCAACCCTTGCGATGGATGATGATCCCATCGAGGACAGTGAGGAAGATTGAGTGAGCCTAGTGGGTCGTCAGATCTGGATGTCTGGGCACAGGCAGATCGGAAGAGGCCACAATGAGGTGGGCATAAGAGAAAATAAAATTGAGCTGATTCGACCAGTGGCAACAAGCTCCGATTGGTACCCAGCACGCAGCCTCCTCAGCAGTCCCCCCTTCCTTGAAAGATGGAGAGCAGCAAGACAAGGAACAAAACGACGAGACAAGACGAAGGACTTACGATATCCGAGCCCCTGTAAAAAGAGCACAAAGGCAACCAGAGCATCGCGCGGACGCTCTTCGTGAAACAAAGTTCCGCAATCATACTCCTATGTTTTCGTGAAAACACGAGTCTCGGGTGAATTTGACGCTGACCAATGGAGAGACATACTTTCACCAGAGCTGCGGGGTCGTGGTTTGCTGAAGCACCTTAACAAAAGAGACGCAGTCTGGACGCAAGTGCGCAATGGATTCCGTCAAATCTTGCAGGTAGACGGAATGGTTGCCAGCCAGCAACAAAAACTGGCCGTCCAACTCCTTGCTCAAGCGTGTGAGCAGCGAGTCGCGCCTATTGAGGTGAAGAGATAACCACAGGCACATGAGCATCAAGATGCTCGGGTGGCTTTGAATGACACGCCCAGTGGTAGACGCAGGTACATCAAAACAAACTTGAAAGCAAGCTTGAGCTGTTGAAGAATTATGCTGGCGTTGGCTTTGTTGCGAAAGTACGATTTGATGCTGTTGATGCGATCAATGCTATTTTCAACGGTCGTCTGAGAGTGGGAGACATGATTGATGTGAGACACTGGGCACCAGGCCAATGATTAGAGACTCGGAGCTGCGTGGGCCGGGACAAATGCAGTACCGGACTAAAATAGAAGGAAAGAAGATAGTCTTGCAGGGTGGGTGAGAAAGTGCGCGTTAGGCTGGCTTCCGTGGAGACTCCCTAGCCCAGGATGTGGTGAAGATAACACGAAGATCAACGCGCACAGCTGCGTGCTTGGCCAATCCCATTGCGGTGCGCGCACTCAATAGCAAGGCAGATCAAGATGTGCCATGCCCTCGCTCAAAACCCGACCGACCTGATAAATAAGCCAGGACAGCCAAGAGGCTTGTTTAATGGGGGCGCCCACCAGTACAAGACCAGAAATGAAGAGCTTTGGGTGACGGAGCTAGAACGGGGGCACAAGGTAAAAGGTCAGAGCTCGTCCAGGCGGGTCCTCGCGTGCATGGGGACAGCAGGCACGGTATGGTGTATGGGTGCGACTCAACCTTGAGACGCAGTCCAACGTTGCCACCAAGTCCAGCACCAAAGCAAATAATGCTTGTGACTCTGCAAGGACCCATGCATCACAACATGTCCTTTGATAAGAAATGCATGGCCTAAACAACAGTTGATCGTCAAGGCGGCAGGGGTCATCTGGGGGTTGAGGGTACATACGCCAGCTGCTGCGAAAGCACCTCATACAACGCATCTGCAAGTTCATCCAGACCCAAAACGCGTGTGGACTCGGCGCCTGTGACTTCAGGCGTCTACTCACGCCATGTCGAGAGTGAGAAATCTTTCTCAAGAAGAAAGAAAGAGCAAACAGAGTCGAGACGGATCTGTGCCAAACAAAACAAAGTGGTGCAGCCAAACCAACTCTCGCCCTTGCCGACAACGCGACCTTTTGAGCATTTTGCAGTATCGTACCAGGCCGGATTGTACGTAAAAGAGAACGGTAAACCGCGAGAAGAGTGCCTGTGCCCCGGGCTGGCTGCAGAAGGAGTTGAAGCAGATGTCGGCTACCGGATTGCGCAAAGGACAGCAATCGTGACGACCATGATTGCACATGGCAGCAGAGTAGCAGAGCGTGCATGAGCGAGCCAAAGGCGAGATGCCGGGGAGGGCCGGATGGACGCACGTGTTAGGCCCAAATCGGAGAGGAAGAGCAGCACGGGGCCTTTTTCGCGACCAGCGTGCCACAATCGCAGAGGACCGCTGGCTGTTTCGTAGACGACCTCACGCTGAGACATTACATGCCATCCAGACGTAGCAAGAAGCACGCAAAGGTAAGTAAGATGGATGAGCGGTGCGGGTCATTCGCAAGGGAGTACGAAGCATCAGATGGATCAAGGCGTCTCTACGACATGCACGCGCCCGCAAAACCGCGCACACGCGCGTGCATCATGGACCTCTCTCTCTCTCTCTCTCTCTCTCTCTTCTCTCTCTCTCTCTCTCTCTCTCTCTCTCTCTCTCTCTCTCTTCTCTCTCTCTCTCTCTTCTCTCTCTCTTCTCTCTCTCTCTCTTCTCTCTCTCTTCTCTCTCTCTTCTCTCTCTCTCTTTTCGTGCTCAACACCTGAGGGCAGGATTTGGGTAGCGTGGAAGCATGGCGGCAAGCTTGTATTTGGATGCGCGAGGGCAGCAGGCGGTGGACGGGAGCCGTTATGGCACGGCGGACAAAGTGACAGAGGCACGCGTGGCTCAAGGTACGTCAAGAATCAACGGCCAGGTACCTTCTGGCTGAGGAATTTGATGGCCAGGCTGACACACCACGCGTGTGTAGTGACAACCAATGCCAGCGAGCTTCTCTATGTGGCAGCCAATGAGCCCTCATTGGGACTCTACCAGTTGCAGCAACACGTGCTGCGCTCCATGCCCAGGATCGCGGCTCAGACAGTAAGTGCTGGCCAAAAAAGAAAATCCTGGTGCGGGTGGCTCGCTGCTCTCACTTGCTCGCGTGCCTTGCCATGAATTGTGTAGAAGCAAGTCAAGGCACATGTGCGTGAATTGGAAGGTGTCCGCCTCGACACCACCTATTCCCTCGAGTACGTTTGGGTGCTTTGTGCCGGTCAGCGAACGACGGGACAAGCCTGACTCTTGGTGCCCTGCCCGCGTTTGACATGATGACGCAGAACGTTGGCGACCATGCAAAAGCTACCACAGTTCTCAACCTTGCGGGTAAAGCATTGCCGAGCTCGCTTCGTTTCCTTGCGCCCGGCGCCAAGCCCTCGGGCCTGACACCAAGTGTGCCAAAGTCGATTGTTCTCGCCTGCACTCACAAAGCCATTTGCCGTAGAAATTGGCAGATGAGGCACAAGCCCTGACTGTCAACTTTGCTGATGCCACATCAGTTGATGGGGAAGCCTCGCACGACCCCGCGTCCAATGCTGCCCCGACTCAAGCAGCGCAGCCATAAAGGACACGCGTTTACATTTTTAATAAATTCTCGACCTGATTCCAGGTGCCTGGCCCCTGTCCCCTGTCCCTAGACCCAACATCTGGTTGCCCTATTTTCTTGATCCCAGACCTGTTGCGTCCATCCCTGCTGAGCAGCTTCGAAGAGGCTTTTGGTTGTTATCACTACCAATTCACACGCCTGCCCATCTGTCGTGGTTGCCCGCCTGCCTGTCAGTTTTGCTGCTCCAGAATACGCCAAACGTCTCCCAAAGCCAATAAATAACACTCAGTCTTGCGCTGCCCAAGTGCACGCCCCTCCCCAAATCACACACTACTGCTGCCACACCATTGGCCCCGACCGGCATCAGTCTACCAGCGGGACCCCTTTTCCCTCGTCCCTCTCTCTCTCTCTCTCCCTCTCCTCGCTGTTCACGCCTTTCTCTCTCTCCTTTCTCTCTCTCTCCTTCTCTCTCTGCTGTTGATTTTCTTACAATAATTTGAGCTGATGTGGCTGTTGCCTTGCAACAGACCAGGTTGCCTGTTTGCATCCCTGTCCTGCCCGGTCAAGGCAGTGGGGCGAGCGGCGTCTGATAAGGGTGATGCACACGCATCATGACACTCTTCAAGTCAAGAAATGAGGGATGACTCAAAGCACGACTCATCAGCCAAAACAAAAGGTGGTGGAGCTGTCTGCCACCCTGCGAACGTTGGACCCAGCCACCCGCCCATAACAATTCTTCGCTTTGGTTTTGGTTGTTGTTTTGAAAATTCTTCTCTCTCTCTCTCTTCTCTCTCTTCTCTCTCTTCTCTCTCTTCTCTCTCTTCTCTCTCTTCTTCTCTGCTTTCCCTCTGCTTTCTCTGTCAAACTTTCTCAAATCTCTCTCTCTCTCTCTCTCTCTCTCTCTCTCTCTCTCTCTCTCTCTCTCTCTCTCTCTCTCTCTCTCTCTCCCTCGCTCTTGCCGATCGGCTGTTCTCAACTTTGGGTCCGACCGCATCAGTCAGCTGTAGTCACCGCCATTCTCAAGCCCATTTGGTGCTTTGTCGGGGCCTCGCGACCATCTTCACTGTTTGGCACAAGTCTCGCCGCTCGGAACTTGTGCCTGAAAATTTCCCTCACTCAAGAAAAGAAAAACAAGGTGCGCTCGCCTCACTGCGACGACACACAGACAGTGCAGTGGCAATGTGTGAGGACATGTTTCAAGCGGTCCAAGGGGCCGAGGCACCTGTAGCCACCGGCGCGGGGAACCCGGCCTTGCCGCCCCGGTCTTAACTCAACCTCGACATTGTGCCCTTCCCCCCGCCATTGATTTGGATACAGCCACTAGCAAAACTCGAACGTGACCCGCTCCCACACTTTCGAGCCTCTCGCTCAAGCGACCAGGCTGGACTCATCGCACATCAACCGTCCACGCTCGAGCCCCTGCCCCCGCCCCTGCCCCTGCCCCTGCCCCTTCCTTTGTGTTCCTCGCCAGCACGGGCGGCTTGAAACATCCGTACACGCACACACAACGAAAGCGCGTTCGCCATCCTTGCCACCCGATCGTGCTTTCGCACGACACGATCACATTGTCTCGTCAGACGAAGCCCCCCTTGTTGACAAAAGGTCGCGCTTTGCGCGCAGATACTAGCACCATTTCTGTGTGCCTGGCACCCGTGAGCCACGGCGCCCTGGCGCCAACGCGTGGCCAAACCATCGGCATGGGCAACACACTCGAAGGCGGCCAAATCGACGACTCTCGTGCCAGCGAACTTGGTGTGTTCTTTGGACAAGGGTATTCCATCACTCGGGCCAGCGCTTGCGGTGTGGTCATTTGATCGAGTTTGATTGGTTGCCCCTGGCCTTTGGGCAACCCTGAACCTAATCCGCAACCCTTCATATATGCTCACTCATCAGCCCATCATTTGCCTTGTGTGCTCTCATTCATCGGTCTGGATAGGCCAAACTCTGTTGCAAGACTGGCAGCGTCAATTCGACAACGCCTACTGCAACCCGGCTCAGGTATCACTCAAGGCGTGGGGGGATCAGCTGGGACTCTTGAAGCATCGTCTTGGGATGGCCTTGCCCTCGTTGGGGAGTTTGCACGGGCTCGGCCCACGCGCTTTTGATCCGTAAATCAGCACTTCCCCGTCCTTTATTGTTGCCTCATGTTTATGTTGCACCCAACTCACCCATAGCGTCGATCGGCGTCCGTGCAAGACTTTGAACAAATAAAGACAGTGGGTACTGGCTCATTTGGCCGCGTCCTGCTCTGCAAATATGGCGCGCGAAACACTCCTGTGGCCCTCAAAATCCTTGCCAAGGCCACAGTCATTCAAATGAAGCAAGGTATCGGTTCTCTGCCCGCCCCCAAGGCCCTGTTGCATGTTGTTGTTCCTTATGCGTCTTGATCCTGCTGAGACTCACCGCTGGTTGGCTGGTTTTTCTACGTCCCGCCCCCACCTGCACCCGTCAGTGGAGCACACTGTCAACGAGAAAAATATTCTTCAAGGCCTCCCTGACTTTCCTTTTATTGCTCGTCTCCATGCCTCCTTTCAAAATCCCGTCAACTTGTACATGGCCCTTGAGGTATGTTTTGAACTGGTTCTTCTTGTTCAACAACATGTCTGTTCAAATCTTGGGCAGCGTACATGCTTCAAAAGCATCTACACTCCTCGCCTTGACTGGGCTACATGTTCGTGTTGCCAACAGTATGTGCCAGGTGGTGAACTCTTCAACCATCTGCGGCACCAAGTGCGTTACGCTGAGCCGCAGTCCCTCTTCTACGCCAGCCAAATTGTGCTCGCCTTTGAGTTTTTGCATGGCCTGCAGATCATGTACAGGTCCGCAAGCCATGCCCCGTCCTCAATCCTCCGTTCTGCTCTTTTTGCCTTTTTTTTGTTTTGTTTTTTTTGTTTTTTAAACGCCAAGAAAAGGAATCGCTGGTCACTCATATGTTATTGGGTTTGCAGAGACTTGAAACCCGAAAATTTGTTGTTCACGGCCGAGGGTTACCTGAAGCTGTGCGACTTTGGTTTTGCCAAGCGTGTGCTTGATAAAACTTGGACCATGGTTAGTTATGCTCCTGGATCTCTTTTGCTTTGTGCACAAAACGTCCAACATCCTCCTCTGATGCGCTAACATACTCACATACCCCTTGCCTGTGTCTGATAGTGCGGGACCCCAGAGTATCTGGCTCCTGAAATCCTGCACATGCGGGGCTACACCAAGGCAGTCGACTTTTGGGCCCTTGGTGTCCTCATTTACGAAATGACAGCCGTAAGCCGTGAACCCTCCAATGCAGCTAGTACCGTTGCTTGTACCTTTTACAAGAGCAATAGGTTCAGGATCGAGCAGGTCTTCCTCGGTCCAAGTCGTCTGTCTCACTTGTCCTTCGCCTTTGGCTCTGTTTAGGGCTATCCGCCATTTTATGCGGAAACACCCATGGAGATCTACCGCAAAATCCTAAAAGGCCAGGTACTTTGGTCACACCCTCGACCTCGATGCTCACAATGTTCTCCGCCCGTGCGAACTGTCCTACCACATCCCTCACCCAATCCCATCTCACCAATCTACAGGTGCGCTGGCCATCCCACTTCTCTCAGGACCTCATCACCCTCCTGAGCAACCTACTGCAGCCTGATATTACCAAACGCATTGGCTGCTTGCGACGAGGAGTGACTGAAATCAAGGTCAGTGCTGCTCCTTGTTACTGATTTGATACGTTTTTGTTTTGTTTTTTGCTTTTTGCTGCTGTTTGTTTTTTTTACGTTTTGAGCAAGGTCTGGCTTTCTTCTTTTTTTTCTTTTTTGTCTTTTTTCTTTGCTTTCCTGGTGTTTTCAAGTGGACTTGACTAGACTGGGATCTTGTCTAGCTGCAGCCATGCATGTTGATTTGAACAATATTGCAGGCCCATTCTTCATACCTCATGAGTGCTTTCAATTGCCTGGGCCTCAAATGTTATAGGAGCAAGCTTGGTTTGAGCCCATCGTTTGGTCAGACATCTTCTTGCGCCGAGTGCCAGCACCTTACACTCCCACGCTCTCAAGCGACTTCGATACTCGCAACTATGACCAATATCCTGAGGATGACATCGCCGCTGGTCCAGATGGTATCGATCCCGTCGATTTGGACTTGGATGCGTTTCAAGATTTTTAATCGCCATATCTGCCTCGGTTCACAATCAGCTCGAGTGCTTGTTGTCAGCGTTGCAGGCCCAAACGCCCGATGAGGCTCGCTTTCGGCCTCGACCCATCGATCCCTTGTTGATCCTGTGTGTCTTCATGTGGTGCTTCCCCCTCCGTGTTGGGGCGTCTCTCCGTGTGGTCGTCTGAGACCGTCTACTCATTGTTCCGAAGAAAGAATAAAGAATGTTGTGCGCCTCTTTTTGACCTGGCGTTGGAGCATTGCGTGCCATGTCGTGTATTTGCATGCTGATCCCAACCCTGCCGTTTCGCACCTCAACCCTGCATCTGCAACCTGGACGCCGCACAGTCACCCTGCAAGCTTGCGTGCAAGGCCTGTACATAAATGTCAGGGCATTGGCATGCTCGAGCGCATGGTGCACGTGTGGCCGCAAGCCAAATTGATGCAAAAACTGGCAAGAATCGAAAATTACGCATCCGTCTTTGATCGACTAATTTCCGGTCACGGGCATGCTGTCAAGGACTCAGTGGAAATAACAGCTCGTTTTATCAACCAAACTAACATCGCAGTCACGAGAAAAAGTTGGAAACCCACGGCTAATTAAAAGCGCTCAATCTGTACCGTCATCTGGGTGACCCCCACCTGTCAAGTCAGTGCAATGAGAAGAACCATGAAGAGTGGCGCTGAGTCATCGCGAGCGTTTTGTCAGAAGAGGGTCGCCATGTCATACCTTTCGGAAGATATCATGCACAGCAGACTGGATGGGAGTATCACTAGCATTAGTTTTGATCACAATGGTGATGGTTCCGACAATATAATCACTGTGTGTGTGTGTGTGTGTGTGTGTGTGTGTGTGTGTGTGTGTTCAAAACAGATGCCAGGCAATCACATGAGCTTGGAACCAGGGTCACGCTGACACAAGGTGCAAATGCTCATACCCAGACATGGACCAGAAATGAGGATCCTTGTACGAAATTACGCCATCAACAAGATTGATCTAAGGGATGTGTGCCAAGCCAATTGGGTAAGGGCTTGTGACGGTGTAAGCTGCCCATCAAGTGTGATGATGACACGTACTCGTCGGTAACACGTGTAGAGTTCGGCATCCAGTTTAGCCGGAGTGCGCTGCATCAAGATTGTGAAGGAGTCGCGCAGCAGCGGCCATGTGCTCACAAAAATTAAGACAGAGATGAAGATACTGCAAATTGGATCAGCGATCATCCACTGATACTGGTGGATCAAGAGCGAAGAAATGATGACCCCAATCGAGCCCATGGTGTCAGCCAACACATGCAGGAGCACCCCTGGTCATGATTTGAAACAGTGGGGAGGGACGTCATGAGCATCGCATAAAACACACAGCTGATGGGCAGGAGAAGACGCAGGACCATTCACAAGGTTGTAAGCACGAATCAAAGCAGAAGCACCAACCATCCAGAACAAAGCTACGATGCTTCTGGGATTCATGGCCATGCCCGTGGCCGTGAGCATGGCTGCCGTGGCTATGAGCATGGCTATCGTGGCTATGTGCATGACCATTACCATGATTGTGGCCATGGCGACCCTCATCATGTGCATGACCGTGGCCATGACCATGGCCATGGTCGTGGTCATGACCGGAGACATTGTGTAAATCTTCAAAACCATGGTTACCGTGGCTGTGACCATGATCACCATGCCCATGTGAATGGGCATGCTGAAACGCAACAACGCCAATCAAATTGACCACTAGCCCCCCCACGGATACCGCCACCAGTCGGTGGGTGTGAACATGAGGCGGGTCAAAAAATCGCTAATAAGAAGACCATGCGAAAACGTGCAGCCGGTCCAGGAGCAAATGGGAGGTCAGTGAGGTGACAGGCAGGCAACAACCACGTGGCTGTTGAGCAATGATGTGCCCTTTCAGAACTTCTGAAGACTACCGCCGATCCAACACACACGTCGACTCCAAACAAGAAGCAACACACCTCAACAGCCTCCTTGAGCACGAAAATGGCGATGAACACAAGAAAAAGTGCGTTGACAAAACCGCCGAGTACCTCTGCTCGCTTGTATCTGCAAGATTTAAGGATCACATTCATACACACACACATACGGACATAAGTCAAGCACTTGATCATTTAGGACAGACACGGACAATGCAATGCGCACACAGACGAATGACGAACCCAAAGGAGAAGCGCTCATTGGCAGGTCGGCGCGAGATGACCGAGGCTACCAAACCAACGACCAATGCCGTGCAGTCAAAGAACATATGAAAGGCATCTGAAATCAACCCCAGGCTGTTGGTGGCAATGCCGTAGAAGAGTTCAACAAAAGCGAAGGAAAGGTTGATAATCAGGAAAAAAAAGATGCTGCGCGATTCGCCGTTACTGAAGACTGAACTGCAAATCTCGAACAGCATGCCCAATTGTGAGGTTCGGAGACAGCAATCCGCAGCAAGTTGCACTCTGATCCCTTGAAGAGTGAGAGTACCGTACACCAGCCAAGACTTGATCCCGTGTGCTGTCACTGCAACACCCACCTGATGAAATGCCGGCAACCTGCGCAGCAGCCACGGCGCGGATGGCCCTTGAGCTCACCCTCATCGTCCTGGTAGTGTGGTAACATTCCGCTTGCCTTGGCGGTGACCTCAAGAGGTCAAGCACCACGAGCACACGGTCGGCCGAACGAGCAGGTCACTGCAATGGTGTTTCCCGGGCACACACGATCAAATCAACCCCAATCAAGAACCGGATCGCCCACGACACTGTCCGGGTCGCGCTGAATCTCCGCCCCAACAACACACGCACAAGAAAATTAAAAAAAAAAGAACGAAAGAAGAAAAAAAAAGCCTTGTCTTGTTGTATGTTGGCTCTCTCTCTCTCCTCGTCGTTGTGTGCGCGTGGACAAACTCGTTGCCGCAACAAGAAACATGTAACAACAAGAAGGCGAATGCTTTTTCGCTGACAAAAAGAACGGAGCAGTAGACTCCGACTCGGAGTTCAGGTCCGATGAAACAAGATCTTGTTTTAAGCCGTCGTAACCTGTCTGCACATCGTCAAGCTAGCGAGCGCCGCCGCCGCCGCCTACTATTATTACCAAGTAAGGCGCAGCCCCCCAGTGACCCTTGGAATGATCGAGCTTTCATCGCGCGCTCGTTTTAGCTGACAATTCGAAAGAGTTTTGCAAGACTGAGCCATAGTCCTGCACCCCTCGTCTCAAACGATGATCGCTCAAATCCAACTCCCTGGAGCCTAACACCTTGACTCCTGCCTTCGGTTACGACCGGCTTCCAGCTCTAAGTTTCAAACACCTCATTTAGCATGGCTACCGGTCAAGGTACTGGGCGAAGGGGCCATCTACGCGCGTTGTAGGTGTTGGAAAAGGGGAACCCTGAGTTCAAGGTGAATAGTGTGTGAATGGGGGCTCCTGAGTGTGAGCATCAACTCCCACGCATTTGAACACCCCGTGGCTTTAGCACACATTCAGCGTCCTCCACCATGCGTCTCATCACTAGGAATCCCTAAAGGTGCCACTTCACTCACTGACCAACACCGAGGTCTTTGAGAGACCTTTCAGGAGGGCAAGACAGATCAAGGCCGGACTGTCAGGCTCCAGAGCGTCTGGAGGCCGGTTTTGGGTAGCAAGGAAGTGCGTAGGTTTGAGGAAGCGTTTTGAGAGGGGTTTGAGAGACGTCCGTCGGGACGGAGCAAAAGCTTTCATGGTCTTGAGGTCAATTGAAGCAGCTGCGGTCGGCAAGCACTCACAGTGACCAGACCAGGTGCACCGTTAGAATCGCTGTAGAGTCGCTCAATCCCGAGGATAGGAAAGGGCAACTCGTGCCCAACCGCAGGTGCCACAGCAAAGGGAAACAACAGTAGTGATTTTGGCCTTGCCTAGCATGTTGTTGTCTGCTCCCTCGACCGCACTGTCTACGATTGACCTGCGCAATATGTTTCACGATCGTCTCCGTTGGCTTGTTACGGGGCAACTAGGTCGGGTCGTGGACGCCATGCGCAAGGCAGTCGCACGCAAGCAGAGCCGTCGAGGACAGCTGAACGCCGGCGCGGGGGCCCACCCGAACGACGCAGTCGACCAGAGCCTCAGGTCGCTCGTCCGCGACCCGGACCTGGCGGACGAAGCCTGGGCAAACCACGTCACGAACCGTCTGAACCGAGGTCAGATTGCCAAAGCATTTGATGCCGACAAGGCTCGTGCCGTGATTGGTAATTCTGAGGTTCAGGCCGTGCGCGACCTCTTGGTACCGCCCGGGCTGACCCCGTACATTGCTTCGACACCCGCCTCCACGTCTACACTGGCACCAGCCACGGCTGCGAGCTCCCCAACCGTGTCCTTCACCAAAGGTGAGCTCCCCAAGGCGTTGGCGGCCACCAAGGGTGTCACCGACCCCTATGGTTGGTCTGGTGAGCTTCTTGCCTCCATCTACCGCATCAAGGAGCACTTCAGTCAGGTCTTGGGCCCACGCCAGGGTTCTACCAGCGACCCGACTGCTCCTTCTGATGGAGACGCGCCTCAGGGCCCCACCACCGCCACTGGAGGTCCTCAGGTTGCCTTGAACAAGATCTTTCACCACATTGCCAACAACACCGTGCCCGAGTCGATTCGACATGCCCTTTGCTCCATCAACTACACTATCCTGGAGAAGGCCAATGGCAAGTTTCG